CGGGCACACAAGGGGGTTTGCGGGATGGCAAAAGATAAATTGAAACATATAAAAGAACATAGAGTTAACGAAAACGTAAAAAAATAAGGAAAAAATGAACAAAAAGTCCTAGACCATGAACGATAAGATCAAGATGGGTAACACAAAATAGTGAAGAAGAAAAATGATAAGGAGATGAAGAACTCAAAGTTGAAGAAGAAAACTGAAAGAAAAAGAAGAACAAAAATGGTAGATGAAGAAAATAAAGTATAAGAAGATGAAAATCCGACAATGAAAAAGAAAATAAAAAGAAGAAAGTAAAGATGCGAAAAAAACAAACAAAAATTAGAAAGAAAAAATGTTTGGATAGGACAAAAATGATCAAGAAGAAGTAAAAAGCAGAAGATAAAAACGGCTAATAAACCCAAAAGAAGAATAGTATAAGATGTTGAAGAATAAAAATTTAGAGAATACAAAGACAATAAAATAAAGCAAAGAAAAAGGGGCAGACAAATAAAACAAAAAAAAATCAACAGAAAAAACGAAGAAAAAACCGAATGAAAAAAAATCAAGAAGTCAAAGAAGATGAATAAAATACATATGAAGAAATAGTCAAAAACAATGAAAGATAAAAAGGAAAAAATAAAGAATAGAAAAACTAAAAAATAAAGAATAAGAAAACAACGATAATATGAACAAAAAATAATGCAGTGAACAAGTAAGATAAAAAAATAGTCGGATAGGTCGATGACGATGAACAAAAAAAATTAAATGACCAATTGGAAAAGAAAAAAGATAATCAGAAGAAGAAGTCATAAAAGAAAACCAGTAGATAGTAGAGGAAGTGAAAGAAAAAATAATGGAAGAAAATGGAAGATGAAGAAGACAAAGTTGAAAAAAGTAAATATGATGAAAAAACGAAGACAAATCAGATGAATAAGAAGTAAAAAAAATGAAGACAATAAAGAAGAACAATTTGAAAACAAATAACGATAAAAAAAGAACTCAAATATATAAAGAAAAAAACTAAAAAAAGGAAAATATAAACCATGAGAGGAGTAAAAAGACAGATAAGACAAAGATCTTTAAAATATGATGAAGAATTTGGAGAGAGGAAGAATAATTGGAAGAAGAGGAATAAGAATCTGTTGAAGGAGAAAATAAGAAGAAGAAGATAAGAAAGAGAAAAAATTGGATGAAAACCTTAAAAGATGAGGAATTGGAGAAAGTAGAAGAATATGAAGATGAGGAAAAAGCCGAAAAACACCAGAAGAATAAGAAGTCGGTGATAACGAAGAAGACGATGATAATGAAAAAGGAAAATAAAAAAAGAAGAAGAAATAGAATAATAAAACATTGAAGAAGAAGAAAAAAGTGAATAAAACCTGGAAGAGAAAAAAATCAAAAGATGTATGAGAGGAAAAAAGAAAAGATGTGGAGAAGAAGAAGACGTGAAAAAGAAAAACCAGCAGAATAAAAAGTAAAAAAAAAAGACATAGAAAATAAAGAAGAAAAAAAACAAAAAAAACAAAAAAAGAAAGAAAGAAGAAAATGATAGAGAAAAAAAAATTAAAAGATAAAAAGAGAAAAAGATGAATAATTTATATTAATCTTATTTTAATTTGTGTTTATTGATTTCATACACTTATTAGTATTGATTTTAAAGTTTTTAATGTTAGACAATGATTACTTTTATAGGTTAGCTTTATTTTAATTTTGTATGTATCAAATTCTTGATCTAATTATTTTTGATTTATGACATAAAATTTTATTTTAAGTTTTAATGAAACTTTTCGGCCTGAACACCTAGTATCTTTTGAGACACGAAAACCACGTGATTGAATCTCCGAAACGTCCAAAGAATGAGAGAAATGTTATACAAGAGGCCAAGAGTGTTTCAACCAAACGGCCAAAGTACCAAACGCTCCCGTTGGAGAAAAGATTTCCTCCTAGCTGCGAATTTTACGGGTTTATGAAATAATGGTTTTTTTCCGTTAAAATAAAATAAAAACACGTGGATTTAAATTAACATGGGCCTAACTTGGGCCACATTGAAGCCCACAAAGCTATATTAAACCAGAATGCGGGTTCACAGCAATGGCGGGAAGGGTCAACCCCGAAATAGGAGTGGTCTTGGGTCAACCACATGACTTTGAAAAACCACCAAAATGCCACCTTAAGTTAATTTACACCCATAAACTGTTTCCGTTTCTTGTATTCAACCGAACAACGGTCAATCTTTACTTTTCCAGGTCATCGATTTACTAAATTCAGGCGCTTTGGTTTTTTGTGCTATCTTTCCTTCACTTACAATTTTCTCCATAAATTCTTTTGTTTTCTCTTTAATCGTTCTCTGCAATCGAATTGACAATGACATATTCCGATCATCACCCATAGATCGAACTCAGAGACCCGAAGAGTTAGTGTTTCAGTTTGCTCCACCTTACCCTCTTCACATTAACTAAAGGTAAGATACTAAGATGATGGTGAGTTTTATACTTAGCGTTACGTTTAGTAATTTCGATGATTTCTTGCGATTTTGATTAGTCCTTCTAAAATCTATCTTTACAGTTATCGTTACAGAGGCTCTCTGCTCGGATGTAAAAGACCTGACATTGCTTGCGTTGACGACCACAATGATTCAGCTTTCACCCAAGTAGAGGCAGATTCTGTGGACACTTGTTTGTATTGACAACAATGACTCAGATTTCACCCAAGTAGAGGTAGATTTTGTGGACATCTTTTTGTAAACACCATCCGGTTCATATCTCTTACACACATCATATTCAAAAAGGAAAATGAACTGCATTCATATTCATCTCACTCATGTAATTAAATTAGTTGAAAGGATGAATCCATGAAACAAGCAGTAACTGCAGCTACCATTTGGGGAATTTTGTTGTAATAATTTGTAAAAGGCTAACAAACGAAAAAATAGGAATTGAGAAGAGCATGAGTGGTCAAAGGAGACATCTAGATTCGTCCAAACCCGCGAGGGAAATTTTCCTTACATCGTCATCTCTGTCTTTTTCTACGCTGTCTTCCTCTCGTTCGTCATGGGACGATGCTGCAGAGCTAAATACGAGAGAATCCAGAACATCTAGTAAGGAGCAAAAGGGCAAACTCTCAGAAGATTCTTCTCGAGGCTCTGGAATGTCGGGTGTGACTCATGTCAGGACGCAACCTGCTCCATCTCGGTTAGGACCAGCTCAGCTGAGGAACAAGGGTTACGATCCGGAGAGAATTCCAGCATCGGTGTTTGGAAAGACAGGGGATTTGAATTGGAGTGAAGTCTCGAATGATTCTTTGTTTAGTCTGAGAATGTCCACCTGTCAAGCATTTCGTCAAAGCAATATGAAACCTGAAGAAGTTCTGATGTCGGGTGAGTTCTTGTCATTCTCCCCGTCTCTACCAGTCAAGCCTGAGGATGCAAAGAAGAAGAGATCTCAAGTGAAAGAGGCAAAGAGTGTAGTGACATCGGCCAGTCATCAAGACAAGTCCTCATCAACAACTCCAGTTGTCTCTGCTCTGAGTACTATCCCCAGCAGTTTTTATGAATTATATCAAGCCCCGCCCACAAAAGCTCAATCCTTTTCTTGTCCTGTCGGTGACAAAAAGAGCAAGAAGAGAAAGAAGACAAGAAAGAGCAAGAAGACGACGAAGAAGAAGAACAAGTCGTCTTTCATATGGTCTTGGTTGTTTTCAAGATTTCCAAAGTGCGTGTGTAACTTTTGTTGCTACAAATGGAGAAAGTGTGGCTGCTGCTTCAGAAGGCCAAAAGCTATGGCTGATAAGTCATCATGATCAGAGTTTTTTTGACATCTAAGCAAATTCTGAATTCTAAATCTATGCATCTAAGCAAGTTTTTTTGACATCTAAGCAAAATGGTTATCCAATATTATTCTACTATGGTCGATATTGATATTCCATACTATTTAATCCATTATAGAATGAGATAATATTAGGATTACAAGCTGTATGGGAAAATATTATGAGTGGTGCTGACTATGACAATGAAGAAGGCATGGAAAATGTACAACTATTTTGACTTTGAATTATCAGTTCACACCAAACACACTATCTATAAGACATATTAATACAGTAGATAAGATTCTTCAATCAATTATGAAGAGTTAATACAAGTTTTTGATTTGGTTGATTATGGAAATGACAAGGATAGCCTTGGTGCCAGGGGATCCGTATAACGGCTGGAGAGATGAATAATAACTTCTCTGGTCTTGGAAAAAAAGCAATCATTTCAAAGCGAAAGGAAAAAGGGAAAACGTAAAGGGCAGAGCCCTTTTTCTTCTTCTTCTTCGTGAAGAAGCTGCATCCTCAGATTTTTTCAAGGGTTTCTTTCGATGCCCAGCTGAGATAAAGGAAACGACTTTATCTAAGCCAGCGAGATTATCATCAGGTAAGCTAGATTTGATTCATAGAATCTTGTGTTTGTATTTTATTCAACATGTTTTTTGTTCGCTATTGATCGGTTCTTCTTTGGCTTAACTCTAGGTTTAATTGGTGTTATTTGACAAGGATCATTGATTACCCCCTGAAAACTCGAGCTTCTAGATCTATCGGAGCTCGTGGGTTGATAATCGCTTACTTCAATCGATGGGGTGCGATTCTTCTTTCAATTTCAATTTATTGCCTTTTATTCGGATTTGAGATTCTGTTTGATGGGTTTTGCTCCTGCGTTATGTGCTGCTGGGTTCATGAACCATGATATGTATAAATCCTGATTTTGTTGGTGGATAGATACCCTTTTACAAGGGAAGAATGAAATCTGTTTTGGCTTATGTAGATAGATAGAGATATATCTGAAGGCGATTAGATAAATTGATCGGAAAAACTAATAGCTACAATCTGAAAATAAGGATGTGTCTGGGCAATGATCAGAAGTTGTGGTTTTGTAACAGAGCAGTGGCTGCGTGGCTTGCTACAGAAAACAAAGATCAACTGAAACCCTGAAGGATCCACCTTCCAATTCCATAGCTCAAACGATTACGAAACCGAGTGTCTCAGAAGATTTCTGGTCAACAAGCACAATTGATATGGACAACACCACCTTCCCTTCTCAGGGGAGCATATCATCAAACCAGACTTTTGATTCTCAATCCGGTGCCAGAAACTCAAATGCTCCTCCTGAATTTGTAAACCAAGGTACTTGTAGATTCAAGGCGGGAGCGTATGGTCTAGTTGTTTTGCGATGGTTATATATGAAGTGGGTCTGTGTGTTTGCAGGTCTTCTTCTTTGGAATCAGACCCGGGAGCGTTGGGTGGGCAAGGAAAGACTCAATAACCCACCGGATCGCAATCAAGGAGCCAAGTTAAAGTGAGTGGCTCCATTTACACACTATTGTTTCCTCAAAAGCCAAGGCTAAGTATGAAAAATGGTTAACGGTTTATATGTGATTATCTGCAGTTGGAACGCAGCATCTTATGATAGCTTGCTGGGGAGCAACAAGTTATTTCCCCAACCTATTCCTCTCACTGTAAGTAATCAAACTCTCCCAAGTGCAGAAAAATTAGGGAAAATCCCTGTCAAATTAATTGTGTTGCTGCTGATGAAAACAGGAAATGGTGGATTTTCTAGTGGACATTTGGGAACAAGAAGGTCTATATGACTGATGAACAAGACTTGAAAGACGCACAAACACACACACATACACTCTGGTTCGGACATTTCCGATTTTTTTTTGGTTTCGGCTTTGTTTTCGTTTCTGAAATCCCTTGTTGTAACCATCTTTCAGTTGGAATTGATCTGAGAAAAATGGTATTGTGGCTCTTACTTTCTCACCGTAAAAATGAGAAAAACCTTGTTGTACCATCCTTCAAGTCAAAAGGCTTAAGACCAAATCAGTAACACAATCTAAGATATGTCTTTGTGTCTCTATGTCCAAATTTACACATTGATGATCCTTCATGTATTTTCGTTGTTTTGTTTTATGTTAGGATTAATGCGTCATCGGATAGAGGGATTAGATTATTCCAACAAAACAAAGAATCTATAATCTATGCCTAAGTTTCACAAGAAAGAGTTGTAAAACAAAAAATGTTCCGAGTAAGTAAAGTATTTGGGCCAGTTAACATGGGCTTGCATTATGTGGACTAGGTGGATAGGAGAATGGGAATAAACAAAAAAGGTATATTCTCCGTAACACTACCGGTCACGTAGCGGACCTCAACTCCACTCTCTATTCTATATTATTTTTCTTTTGTTATCAGAAAAATCGCATAAGCGGGAAACAGATGCCACCTTATCCAACGATGAAGCGTCGGCTAAATAAGGCACGTGTCGAGCTCAAAGAGGTCTGTCACTGAACTATCACGTAGCCCCAGTGTAAATTTATCATCAACGTACTCGTGGATTACGTGGAGAAAGGAAAATCATTTTTAGTTAGAAAAAGAAAATAATAAAAAAAAGAAAGAGAGACAGAAACAGAAGGGACACGCAAACATATCCATTAGGTCACAACGGTTCTTGCAACAGCTCTTATTACCAGAAAGGAAAGAGAGAACGAATTTTGTTTTTAAGATAAAGGATTTAAGTGAGAGTTTGTTTCTGTGGTACTGTGTCAGGTGAAAGAGAGACGAAGATGGAAAACACTGACGAACTCGTTTCCATTGAGCTCCCAGCTCCTGCTTCATGGAAGAAACTGGTATTTTCTTCCTCTCTTTTTTTTTTTGGCTTTTTCTCCCCACGATTTCTTAAAATTTCTGCTGTAATTACTCTACTCTTTTCCCCTTTGATTGATTTCGTCTGTGTAATGGGTTGTTTGTCTGTCCTGCTTTGTATTTCGAGTTAGTTTATTCTGTTTCTTATGGTCTAGGGTTCATGTTCGATTTGGGGGAATTTTAGGAGATAATTTGTTTCCATGTGAATTGAGGCTCTTTATGCTCAATTCATGTTGGAATTTTCTAATTAGATCAGAATTTAACGCTTAGGGATTTCTTTGGGATCAAAATTAGGGTTTCGAATGATAGACTCTCTGTCTAAGACCTAAACCCTAGAATTGGTTGATAAAATTTGGGGCTTTTCTATAGATTGTGCCTGGAGAAGTCATATGTTGCTTACCAGTTCATGCTTTGTCTATGTGAATAAAATGGAAGCTTGTTGTTTTCAGTTTTATCCGAAAAGAGCAGGTACACCGAGGAAGACAGAGATTGTGTTCATGGCTCCCACTGGGGAAGAGATCAGCTCGCGCAAGCAGCTGGAGCAGTACCTCAAGGCTCATCCAGGGAACCCTCTCATCTCTGAGTTTGAGTGGACAACTGGGGAAACTCCAAGGCGATCTTCAAGGATCAGCCAAAAGGTGAAGGCAACAACGCCCACTCCCGACAAAGAACCCCTCCTGAAGAAGAGACGGTCTTCTCTCACAAAGAAGGACAATAGAGAGGCTGCTGAGAAAAACGAAGAGGCACAACCAGCAGAGGCTTCTGTTAAGGAGAACGTGGAGGCTCACAAGGATGGGCAGACAGAAAACGCAGAGTCTGCTGTGAAGGAGAACATGGAAGCTGACACAGAAAACGCAGAGGCTAAGAAGGAGAAGGAAGGTGAGCAGGACGGACTGAAGGAAACTGCAGAGGGTGCTGTTAAGGAGATCAAGGAGGGTGAAAAGACTGAGGCTGAGAAGGAGAACAAGGAAGGTGAAAAGACTGAGGCTGACAACAAAGAGGGAGAAGTTGTGACGGACGAGAAAGAGCCCATGGAAGTGGCTACCTCTGAGGTGGAGAAGAAGACTGAGAGTGGAGAAACAGCTGATGAACCTCCCAAAGTTGAAGACCTCAAGGACACTGAAATGAAAGAGCCACAGGAAGTTGTTGCTGAGGGTGATGGAGAGAAGAAGCCTGCAGAGGAAGAGACTGAGAACAAGGGCAGCGTAGCAGCAGAAGCTAACGGAGAACAGAATGTGACTTCTGGTGAGCCTAACCTTGACGCAGACGCAGAAGCTAATAAGGGAAATGAAACCAAAGAAGCTGATGAGAAGAAGACAGATGGAGAGCCTAACCTTGATGCAGCCGCGGAAGCTAATAAGGGGAATGAAACTGATGAGAAGAAAACCGAAGCTGTAGCTGAGGAGAAAAGTAACGACATGAAGGGAGAAGACGCAAACAGAGGCTTAGAGGCGAATCAAGTCCAACAGCAGCAGGGCACTGCAGCGTCCGTGAGCTGTTAAAACCTATCGTTCTGTACAGAGCACAGGACGTGAAGAGTTTGTTGTCTGATTTCAGGTGTAGCATTAACATTATGAGTGGTTGTTGTATGTGTTGGTAGAACTAATGTGTCTATGTAGTTCATCATCATTAGACTCTTGTACTTTTGTACCTTTGTTGTATTATCAATGTTAGGCATTTTAGTCTGTTTATTGCTCATACTTAGATAGATGCATGAAAAGTGATGCCAAGTAAAAAAAAGCACAGCAGAAGATTACATAGTAAGATCAAAGAGGTAAAATCAAAGCAAGGCCATAAGTTACAAAAGGGCAGCTTTTATGGAGCGTATGATATCGGTGAGGGAGACGACCCCAATAAGCAAACCCTTTTGGTCCACCACCCACACTCTGTGCACTCCTCTGGTCACCACTTTCTCTATCGCTTCCTCCATCGTCGCATCTACAGTGCAACTCACCGTATCTTTTCCTTTTCCCCAAGCTTTTTCAGTGAACTCCAGAGCTCTGAGTGGCAGCCATGTCTGCAACTCCGGCAAACGACATCCTTTTAAATCCGTTGCGGAAAACGTACCTATCACGTTCCTATGCCTCCCCTGCAATCTCAAAACACAAAAAATGAAGCATACATTCGACACAAACCAAGCATATATACATCTACAATGAAGCCTACATTAATAAGCTGTAGATGATCCTCTTCCGCTATATCAGGGGCGTAAACGATGGGGACGGCGTTGAGTTGAGCAGCCTTCATAGAGCTGATGGCACTGGAAACAGTTGTTCTCTCGGTGATTGCGTAAACAGAATCGTTAACAGCTCGGAGAGTGGAGATGGAGCGTGAGAGAATAGTCTTGAGGTCATCAAAGTGATGGTCCCTGAGGAACCGCAAGAGATCCATCTGAGTAAGCATCTTGTAAGAAGAGGCGGACTCAACTAACTCAACTCCTGAAATGGTGTTATTGCTCTCTATGCTGCTCTCCAAAGGCACTAAAGCTCGATGGATCCCTTTGCTAAACACTTCCATACACTCCACCAAGCTAGTATTAGGATTCAGTGTCCAGAGACTGAGTCCCTCGAGGCAATGACCGATGATGGAAGACACCTGTGAACCCATCTTGCGTTCCAAATCGGAGAGGTCAGAGAGATTTTCTCCGCCGGCGATATGAGCAAGTATGTCGAGCATAGTGAGAATTCCGATGTAGTGTTTTCGTACGGCTCCAGTATGTTTATCAGACTCCATGATCATGGAACCGCCGGCTCCGATCCAGTGTCCCGGTGGTGCAGCCACTGGGAGGGCGGAGATGGAGTTAGCCATCAATGTGTTCATTGCTTGGGAGAGTATTGCCGTGTAAGGAACCTCCACTAGCCGTTTGTTTCTGGCCGTTAGATCTTTGGCCGTGACATTGTTCAGGCGGCTATGAACTTCTTGGCTCTTCTCTTGTTGCATTGTGTCTAGTTTGTGAGTCTTTGAAAGTAGCTGGAACGTGTTGCTTCTCGAAGCTTTTAATGTGTTTTTGATATTTTGCTCACTTGGTCGACAAATAATAAAAAGATCTTTGGCTCGACTTTTCAAGTTTATGGATAGGACTGCGTGTGATGATCCAAACCCACGTGGCAATCTATACTTGCTCGTGACATGCTACACGTCGCATTTCAGCAAGTTTGGATGAGATCATTCTTTATTTTTCCCATACCTCCAAAAAAAAAAAAAAATTCCTCAGTATTACTATAATTATGCAAGAATTGTGTAAGAGTACGTACTGATTCAAATTAATTGTAAGAATTGTTGATATTTACGTATATCAAGAAAATTAAATAACACAGTTGAAGGTAGAATATTGTTCTATGGGTTACGATAATTTATTATACGGTCTCAAATCCTAAGAATACTTTCTCCAACGGTTATTGACTTATTTCATAAGCAGCAAACATCTATTAGAACAAGTCTAGTGAATTTTATACAGGGGTTCATCTGAATAAAAAAATAATATTTTTGATTTAATTGGTTTGGAAAGAACCTCGGGTGAAAATAGAGTTTCAATAATAAATTCTATTATCTCAAATAAAAAATTAATTTTTTTTTGAAGTTTAATTTTTTTTAAAACAAAAACACATATTTATTATAATAGACAAATACAATTCATTACACATAATTTTAGAACATACAATATATAAAAGTATAATTTAATACAAAAAAATTAGAAACAAACATTATTTGAAAAATTTAAAAACTTAACCAAATTTACTATAGACTATAGTTGTGATATTGTTGTCTTGGTGTGGATGATAAAATAAGAAATGAAATTTGTTTTAAAAGAAAAAGACTACTTGGGCCTTAACGTCATTATACCGAACGGCCCAGGATTGATAATGACCAAAATAGCCCTTCCACTCTCTTTTGTTTGTTTTCGTTACTCAATTCTCTCATAAATTCAATATCTCCCTCGCGTGCGCGGATGAAACCGACTTGACAATCCAAGAACGTGGGAAAGAAATCAGTGCTGAAGAAGCACGAAGATGGCGAGAACAGCTGATATGGCGCGATTGTGAGTATCTTACCTACGTAATTTTCTTCCGTCTCTCGTTTTCTTGGCTGCATTAGTCGGATTCATCGAGCGTGATTGTTCCAAGTTTGGTCGTCTTCTGTTTGGAGATTCTGTGTTTCCATGGTTTAATCGCTTGGGTTTAGGGTTTTCTTTATTTTGTGTCGCATTGATTAGAAGTAGAAATAAAGTGAAAGCCTTCCTCAGTTTCTTTCTGTAGACCAATTGGAGTATTCGCTGATACAGCATTTCTATTTAATTTCTGAGAGTACGGATGTGAATTGATACCTCAAAATTGGCTCTTATAGATCAATTTCATGATTTTTCCCTACCAAATACATGTATATCGATGCAATTTATGATATTTGAGTGCGCAATGAGAGATTACGAGAGTAGGTGCTTGTCCAAATCAGTTGAATTGGTGTTTCTTCCTGCAACGTAGTGAAGAGAATGGATTGGAAGAACCCAACTATGAGGAATCAGTTTCATGGGATGATCTGGAGAGAGACGCTGCTAGTAAGGCTGGTGGATCGTCTGAAAGATTGCAGGCCAGGAGACCTCACCAGCAAGACTCCTCTAGAAAAGGTTTCCATTCTTAAAGTAGTTTTGAGTTATGTACATGGGTGATATTATCTGTTTTGTCATCATGATAGATTGACTAATGTTCCAAGCATAATTATCTCTGATTACTTAGGTGACGAATCGCCTGGAGAATTGTACGAACTGTGGAGGCAAGAACAGAACAGTATAGCCGCAAGACTAGACAAAGAGCTTAAGTCCAGGTGGGAACTTGACGAACTGATTGAAGAACAGCTGAGCAGATACCAGTCCCATTACTACAAGGCCATGGTTTCAACGTCCTTACAGGATGTCTCTAACCTCCTCATGCCAATGTGGCTACCGCCTCATGAGCTTGCTGCCGTGTCCTGGCTTGGAGACTGGCGTCCCACTTCCATTCTTGACCTTCTCCGCATTTTGGCCGCTCACAACCCCTCTTTCTCTCTGTCTGAGTCGAGTGAACGTGTCCTCTCTCAGCTTCTCCGTGAGATACGCATTGAAGAGGCCGTGATCGATGAGGAGTATGCAGAAATTCAGGCCACTTGTGTTCTGCACCTTCCCTTTTCACCGCTCTGTAATGTTCAGTCGCATGAAGAAGCTCTGCGTTCTGTGCAGAAGCTGTTTGGGAATATCCATAAAGTCATCTCAAAGGCACAACGACTCAGGTTTGCTTTCCTCTCCGTCATAAATAAAGGAAACTGTAGAGATGAAGGAAAACAAATAGCTGACACCACTAGATGGTGGTTAATGTCTTAGTCTGGTTAGGTTAAGGGAAAGCTTTGATCAGCAGATATGATAAGGTATTGAGATATGGTGTGCAGGTATAAAGTGTTGGAGTTGGTGATGAAGAAGCTGCTGAATCAAACAGATACAGCCGAGTTCGTGGTCGCATTTGCAGGGATTCAAGACGCCATCCACCAGTTTGGAGAGCAGAAGAAGCTAAAAAAGCTTTACCCGGCAGTTCCTCTGAAGGGATTAGGATCATCCAGTTGAGAGCTATGTAGGAACGAACACAGTTAAGTCTCGAGAGTAAAACTAAAACCTGTGATGCTGGATCTGCCTGCTGCTCACTACATTCTTGGAAATTCTGTGTTTTCATTAACTCATATAGTCCAGTTACATTAGTCGGAAATCCGAAACTAACCTGGTGACCATTATGTCCTTTGGAGTCATTGGTATTTGTAAATACGTCAGTCTTAAGTAAGAAGAACGATATTGACAATGATAAAACTAATTCTTGCAAAAAAATTTCAGGCTCTTCTTCTATATCCTTTTCCTATTAACAAGCAAATTTTCTTCATCGAGTATATAGAGATTCATATTTCCAAAAACATTCTAGAAAAAGAACAGGTGACTGAAGGAGATTTGTAAAAATGGGATTTTTATTGAAGGCATTATCTATCGTTTTTCCTTTTAAGGGTGAGGTGGAAAGAGAATCGTAGCCATGGCCAACCTCTCGTAGCACTTTATACTGCCAAACCAAGAGGTTGGGCCTATCGAGCTTCTTTAGGCCCATCCGCTTTGATATTCTTTGTTTTAGGGGTTTTGGAATTAAAAAATTAATAAGATATAAAGATCCTCGGATCAACCCTCAACATCTCCCGCCTCAATCGTCTAATATCCGACCAAAATCTCTGATAAAAAATCGAGCCCTAATTCCTCGAATCTGAATCTTTTACTCGAGAAGTTTTTGATTGCTTGTTTTTTTTTTTTGTTGAATCTCGGGAAATTATACAGCAGGGAAAATGGTTTTGGCTGAGCTCGGCGGGCGGATTACCCGCGCCATACAGAAGATGAGCAGAGTGATGGTTCTCGATGAAAAGGCTCTGAATGAATGCTTGAACGAGATCACTCGCGCTCTGCTCCAATCCGATGTTTCTTTTCCCCTTGTGAAGGAGATGCAGACCAATATTAAGAAGATCGTTAACCTAGAGGATCTAGCAGCAGGCCACAACAAGCGGCGTATCATTGAGCAGGTTTTGATTTTGACGTAGATTCTGCTATTTCTATCTTTGATCGAATTTTGGAACTACATGTAATCGGATTAGTTCTTTAAATTTGTGTATGTTTAATTACTCCTGCTTCTCGTCTCTTAGGCTATCTTCACTGAGCTCTGCAATATGCTGGATCCAGGAATGCCTGCCTTTTTCCCCAAAAAGGCAAAACCTAGTATAGTTATGTTCGTCGGATTACAAGGTTAGGTCTCTGTAAGATGCCAGTCTCGTTCTTCTTGTTTCTTGTCCGTGGTTGAATGAGTTTGTTTGTAATGTGTAGTTAGATTGTAGGCATGTTTCACTTTTAAAATTGCCTCTACTTCTTTTGAGATTAGGTGCTGGAAAAACCACTACGTGTACAAAGTATGCTTATCATCATCAGAAGAAAGGGTACAAACCAGCTCTAGTGTGTGCGGATACTTTTAGGGCAGGTGCTTTTGACCAGCTTAAACAGAATGCCACTAAGGCTAAGATCCCGTTTTATGGAAGGTACTCACTTTAAACACTTTTTCAGTTTTATGAGATCTTATTCGTGTATCCTCCTTTGTATGAAGATTTGGGCGTTCTTGTTGAATTTGTTTGTGTGCGTTATGGATTAAAACCATACTCAAGGGCGTACTGTGTTTGCAGAATGTGCTAATGTTGAGCTGTGATTCTTTGCAGCTACACGGAGTCTGATCCTGTGAAAATTGCTGTTGAGGGAGTTGATAGGTTCAAGAGAGAAAACTGTGATCTTATCATTGTTGACACGAGTGGTCGCCATAAACAAGAAGCTTCTCTCTTTGAAGAAATGCGTCAAGTTGCTGAAGCAACGGTATGCTCTCTTTTCTTGAAGTCTTCTGTTTGTTATTTGTTTATTCTTTGAGGTGCTAATCGCTGCTTTTTCGCTTTACAGAAACCAGATCTTGTCGTATTTGTTATGGATAGCAGTATTGGTCAAGCTGCATTTGATCAAGCTCAAGCATTTAAGCAAAGTGTTGCAGTGGGAGCTGTAATTATTACTAAGATGGACGGCCATGCCAAGGGTGGTGGTGCTCTTAGCGCGTAAGTATCATAGCTACTGAGTCCTATTTACTCGAAATGGTCGATATGAAAATCTTGCGCGCTTCTTTAAGTGGACAACTGAATGTGACCTATTTTCATCTTGTTAGTGTTGCAGCTACAAAAAGCCCTGTGATATTCATTGGAACAGGAGAGCATATGGATGAGTTTGAAGTGTTTAATGTCAAACCATTTGTCAGCCGTCTTTTAGGTAACTTTCATGTCGTTGATTGAAGATTAGTAGAACTAGTGTGAGGAATAATCAAAGTCTCCCCATGGGTTTTTTGACTCAGAATGTTGATAATAATGTTTATGTACAACAGGAATGGGTGATTGGTCTGGATTTGTGGAAAAACTACAAGAGGTGGTTCCTAAAGATCAAAAGCCTGAATATTTGGAAAAGCTCTCTAAGGGTAACTTTCCATTGAGAATCATGTACGACCAGTACCAGAGAATGCTGAACTATGGCCCACTTAAACAGGTCAGAATCTCATGTCAAATATTAGCCTGAACAGCGAGCGGTGCTGAGGCTAACACAAAGTGAGTGTGTTTGTGTGTAGTTTTACTCGATGCTGCCTGGAATGAGTGCTGAATTGATGCCGGAAGGACACGAGAAAGAAAGCGAGGCGAAGATGAAACGATATATGACAATGATGGATTCCATGACAAATGAAGGTGAGAACAATATCTTATTTGTAGAAACAGTGTAGAGTAGAGGTACTAACAGTTTTGAGCAAACATGGTGATGTTGTGCAGAACTGGACAGCTCAAACCCAAAGATGTTTAACGAGTCAAGGATGATACGGATAGCGAGAGGGTCAGGGAGGATTGTAAGAGAAGTGATGGAGTTGTTGGAAGATTACAAGAAGCTAGTAAATACATTGAGCAACGTGAAAGGGCTCAAGATCGCAAAGAATGGAGATATGAGCTCAAGAAAGAAGAGCGCGCAACAGCTGAGCAGGGTCCTACCGCCTCAGGTGCTAGAGCAGTTTGGCGGCATGGGTGGTCTCCAGAGTCTCATGAGGCACATGGGCGCGCAAGGAAATGATTGGAATCTTCGGTTGATGAGACGACTAGTTTCTTTCTTTCTTTCTCTCTTGCACAGCCAAAAATAAGCTAGACTTCTCTTTTGTTTTTGTTTTTCTTCTCCCTCGACTTGAAAGTACAAATAACAAACCATTAATTGCCGAAAAAAGTTAGAGATAATAACTCTCTATAATTTACAGTTGAATATATCGTTTTAATCTGTTTAGAAATTTGTGTTGGATATAGTTAATTCTATTTTGTGGCACTAATACTGCTGTAAAAAATTTTGTATTTTCCTTTTTTTTTTTTCTTTCCGTTTTCTGTGATATAGGGCAGTTGCCAATAAATGGAAAAAAATTAAAAGAGAGAAACAGAGGGTCCAGATTAAAATAAGATCCGTAGATCTACGGTGGGGGAGACCTTAAGGGATTAGAAATAGAAAACTGCATCTTCCTGATTATAAAGTGAAACAAAAAAGGCCGACGAAAAAAAGCTCAAAACCCTAATCTGAGCCAAGCTCCTCCAAAGCCCATTACTTGCGTTTCATTTTTCCCGCCGTTGCTCTCTCTCTGCGTGTGAGTTTAACAGTTTCTCTCTTCTTCTTCTTCTTCTTCTTTGCGAGTTCGTATTTTTTCCCCTCGATGTATTTGCAATTTGTGTGTCCTCTCGATTGATTTCGTGGTCTGCGATATGTATCTTCGGTTTTATTGGATGAATTGTTTCTATGTCTCCTCTTCTTTCCTCGTTTCTTCGTTGCTCTGTTAGTTGAATTGTGTCCAATCTGTTTGTATCAACGAATAATTGATTCGATTTCCTTGTCGCTGTTTCAGGATTATGGATACTAGTACTTCCGTTCTTGTTGATAACAACGTTTCTCTTGAGATGGATTCTTCTGATACACAACCCCCAAACGGTAGGAAGAGAAAGTCTATGGTGTGGAATCACTTCATCACTAAAACTGATAGCCCTGGAACTACCAAAGCTTTTTGCAAGCACTGCAACAAGTCCTATGCCTACATTACTGGTACCAAGGCTTCAGGCACTAGCCACCTTAAGCGTCACATTGAATTGGGTATTTGTCAGATGTGCCCAAAGATCAATTCGCTCCCACAAATCAAGGATGAAACCACCTCCTGCCCTCCCAAGAAACGTCAGAGATCTACTGCTACTGTCCCTTTAGATCAAGATCGCTGCAACCATGAGATGGCAAAAATGATCATCATGCATGATTACCCTCTTCATATGGTCGAGCATCCTGGTTTCGCTGGTTTCGTGAAGGCTCTTCGTCCCCAGTTCAGTATGGCAAACTTCGATTCCATTCATAGTGACTGTCTCAGTATCTTCTTGTCCCAAAAGCAAAAACTTTCAGACTTGATTGGAGAGATTCCTGGGGCAGTTAACCTTACAATAGACTTGTGGTCATCAACCCAATCAATGGGTTATGCTTTTGTGACTGGGCACTTTGTTGATAAAGACTGGAATTTGACTCACCGTCTTCTAAATGTTGCCGTTGTTGCTTCTCCTGATTCTGATTTTGCCTTAAACCAACCTGTCGCAGCTTGCTTATCCGACTGGAAACTGGAGGGGAAGATTTCGAGCCTCACTGTCAGCCAATCATTAGTAAATAAAACCTGTATTGATAATCTCAGAGGTTTCTTGTCTGTTAGGAACCAGCATGTGTTGAGCGGTCAGTTTTTGATGGGGAAAAGTTATGTTCGCCTACTAAGCAGTATGGCGCAAGATGCACTTGCAGCTGAGAATCTTCAAGCACCCATAAAGAAAGTCCGAGATAGTATCAAGTATGTTAAGACAAACGACACTTGTGGAGACAGATTTGATGAACTGAAGAGACAGTTTCCGACCCCTTCTTCTTACAAAGATCTTCTCATTGACAACCAAACGAGATGGGACACAAGTTACAACATGTTGTTGGCTGCCTATGAACATAGACAATTTTTTACTAGTTTGGAAACCTGCTCCCGAAGAATATCGATATCTCCCGAAGAATGGACAAAGATTGAGAGTCTCTGCTCTTGCTTGAAGGTTCTTTTTGAAGCGAGTACCGTCTTCACTAGGCCAAACCACTTGACAGCTAACGATTTGTACCATGAGATGACCAATTTTCAGCTAAAGCTGAGCCACGCAGCCATGGTTGAAGACCCGGATGTCAGAAACCTTGCAAACTCGTTGAGGGAGAAATTCGACCTGTACTGGAGAGAATGTGTCCTAGTTTTGGCGGTTGCTGTGGTCATGGATCCTCGGTTCAAGATGGAGCTTATTAAGTTCACATTCAGTAAGTTTTATGGTGAAGATGCAGAAAAATGGGTCAAAGCTGTCAGTGATGCCTTCCAGGATCTATACGTTAACTACAGTGAAAACGACCTGCTGGATGCTTATGTGGATCATGGCTTTTCTGAAGCAGAGGTGGCTCAAGAACCACACTTCCATCAAGACATGCGTCAAGACGCTAATACAGGGAATGGCCAATTAGGATATGAGACAAGTTCACAAGTAGAACAAACTACAGAGACACGTCCAGTAACAGAAGAGGAACAGCAACTTGGTGATGATTCTCGAGCACATCCAATAACAGAGGAAGACAACACATCACTTACGGTTGAGCAAATCACAGAGTCACAAGAACATGAGAGACAGTATAAAGTAGAGAAGCAGAATGTGGAAGGGGTATGGGAGAGAGTGAGTGAAGAGTGCCAGCTAACAGAAGAGGACCAGCAACTTGGTGATTCTTCTCAAGCACAACCAATGGCAGAGGAAGAACATATGTTTTTTACAGGTGACGTGCTTCTCCAAGAAGGGTCTACTCTCGTTACGATAGGAGAATCATTGTCCGACTTTGACAATTACATGTCAGATATCAAAACGGAGCTGAATCAATACCTCGATGAAACTTTGATACCGAGGTCGGAAGACTTTGACGTTCTGAGCTGGTGGAGGCTCAACAGCAACAATTACCCCGTCCTCTCTAAAATGGCTGCCGATCTTCTCTCCATCCCCTTTAGCACCGTCTCACCTGATTGCGTATTCGACACAGAGGTGAAGCAGATGGACAATTATAGGACCTCTCTTCCCCGTGTAACCTTGGAGGCTCTCTTGTGCACCAAGGACTGGCTCAAAAACCAAACAGTATGAAATTCTTTTAGGTTTTAACTCCGTTGAACTTTTTTAGGTTTGTTTTACTAGTTCTGAATTCAATTACCGGATAGCCATTTGATATCTGAGCTCATTTTGTAAGTGGAAGCAAACTATCACTCTCCTTTCGATTGCATTTGACAATGTTTTACGTTTCAATTTTAGGATTAAAAATGTCAAATTGTGAGAGATATTTGTACTGGGTAACTCTACCTGTCTTCGATTAGCTGAATTATCGGGGAAAAATGTTAAATTCTCGTAAACACCACCAGAGATAATGCAGCAACATCGTCAAATATCTTCTCTGATTTTCAACGGCAGAGAGAGAGCGAGCTCGACTGTGTAACCCATCGGGAATTCCAAGAACTCTCCTCTTGCTTTCCATCGACAAACAATGACCCGTATTCGTTATTCGGGTCGTGCCACGTGTTTTTCTTCTTGAGGTTGAACCTCGGACGATACACGGGAGGATTTCGAGATTAGCCGGGTTTGGAAGTTGAGGAAGACGAGTGATTTGGTAGAAAACGGTGGCGTTTTGGAGAAAAGGAAGTGAAAAGCCTTTTTAATTTATTGTTGAACTTCAGTAAGTGAAAAGCCATTCATTAGTGATTTCTCAGCCAAAAAATGAAAGTTTGGATATTTGAATGTTAGGAAAAGAAAAGGAGATTTTTTTTTTAGGAAAGTGGGTCCTTTTTGTGGCGATTTATAGAAGAAAATCGGAATATTTTTTTTTCCAAATGATAGCCTGATTCATTTCCTATTTTCTACTCAACAACGGAGAAGAAAAAAAGTAAACGGAGCAAAATTGTGGATCCAGGTATTTGTTAAACACCGGTTATCCGGTTAATGGCAGAATGAATAAATACAGCTGGGTGAAGTGTTTTGTGGTAATGACACCATTACTGTTGTATTTTAAAATGTGATGTAGTAAGGTCTTACGTTGTCGTCTTATGTAGGTGAGTGTAACGGTAGAAGGAAAAAAAGAGTGGAACTCGTGCATTTTATGTGTAGACACAAAGTTGGTGGTCTTATTAAAAGAAAGAGACCATTGACTCAATGACTTGAGTGGGGTAATCACTACTACTACTACTAAACACCTCCAATGCACAGAGCGGACGATTCGAACCGTTGATTATAGAAAAAGCGAAAACAAACAAAACGGAGTCAGGACAAGAGGCCACTGTCCCCACCACTCAATAGTGCCACGTGCCTCAATCTCAACCATCTCCTCGTCTCGGTCGAATTGCATGGGACTTGGATTGGGGCGTTAAAAAAAAAAAACTTTAATGTGCACATCAAAACTCACATGTACAATCTTTGTAGTATTTGAGATAGAGAGAGAAAGAGAGATAGTTGGCGTTAGCGAGAAGGAGAGGCCAGGATTGGTCATATATCTCAAAAACCAAATTGTAGACCCAAACCAAAACCCTTATCCTCCCTTTTTTATATCTTCTCTTCATCCTCTCACTCTCTCCCTTTCTTCTTCTCAAGGCTCTTTCTTAGCTCCTCTGTTCGGAATCTCCGCTCCAAGGTTCGGATTTATTAGTTTTTTGGGTTTGTTTGTTGTGTTTCATGGATAAAACAGAACTACGAGCTGTGTGGAAGTGGATGATTCACCTTTTTTGTTAAAGAGTTTTTGTGTCGAAATCTCTGAGATGGGTTTGTTAACCTTTATAATTTAGATAATAATGATATAATTATGTTGTGTTTCCATGACGTAAGGATCAATGGCACCAAGATCAAGCAAAGGGAAATCGAACAGAGGGAAAGGAGAGAAGAAGAAGAAAGAAGAGAAAGTGTTGGTGCCGAGTCTGGTGGAAATCACAATCTCGACTCCGTACGAAACACAAGTGATACTCAAGGGAGTATCTACTGACAAAATCATTGATGTGAGAAGACTTTTGGGGTCTCACGTTGACACTTGCCATTTCACCAACTATTCTCTCTCCCATCAGGTCTTTTTTTTTTTTAATAGATAAATCAGTTTCCATGAAAAAAAAAATGTGACTGATATGTATTAAGAGTTGGTTTGGTGATTGATTTTGCAGGTGAAAGGGCATAAACTGAGTGACAACATCCAAGTGGTTTCCCTCAAGCCTTGTTTCCTCCGCATGATTCCAGGTTGGTGGTGCAATAATATTAGTATATAGTTTCTTAAGCTATATGATTAGTGTCTGAGAGTGAGAGATATGGCACTAATCATTGTTTAATTTTTTGGAAGAAACCAATAACACAAATTATATTGGTAATCGACTTTTGATCGCTGCCCTTAAGAGTTTGTATTATTTACCATCGTGCCACAGAGGACTACCTAGAGGAAAGCCAAGCTTTGACTCAGGTACGGAGAGTCGTAGACATCGTAGCATGCACCACCAGGTTCTCCTCCGCTTCCAAGTCTTCCAACAAATCCCTCGCCGCCGAAAATGGAAATCCGGCGCCGGAGGGCCTGGACATGGTCGCTATCCACCCCACACCCAGACTCTCGCAGTTCTACGATTTTTTCTCCATTCCAAACGTCTCTCCTCCGATTCTTCGTAAGTTACTCGGAGTAGACCTCACTAGTTTTCTATTGTTCATTGCCATTTGCGGAATTAGCTCTCGCAGCTCCGTCTAATGAATCGCTCATTTTGTCTTTCTCCATTATCTTATAACCCGCAGATTTAAAGAAAGTCGATGTTGAAGAAGCTGGACAGATGCGTGATGGCGACTATTTTGGACTTAAGGTGCCATTATCTTTCTTCTCATTTTCCTTCTGGTTACTCTCTGTCTCTCTTGGATTGTTTCACCTGGTGATATTGATGGCTACAAATTCGTTTGTCTAGACCTTGATAGTTGCTGCTCTCTTCCTAACTTCAACATACTTCTCTTCCTGACATTTTTTTCTTTTTTGGTTTTAGGTCAAGATCTGCAATGGGAAGATTATACATGTGATTGCATCTGTAAAAGGATTCCTCGCCGTTGGAAAGCAGCTCTCACATAGCCATTCTCTTGTTGATTTGCTTCAGAATGTCAGCAATGCTTTTTCCAAGGTTGGGGCTATTACATTATTTACCTCTATGTTTCGTTTCTGTTTCAATTAGATTCTACCTTCAAAAATGGCATTGTCTTGTGAAACTTTTATTTAATTGTTCTCCAATAAAAATTCATGTTCCACTACGAAACTAACTTATATCATTCTGGTAATTGATGCAGGCATATGAGTCTTTAATGAAAGCTTTCACTGACCGGAATAAGGTGAATGCTGTTTTTTGCGTCTATTTCTTCGTTAATGATTTCGAGGATTCTTTTCAAGCTTAACGGTTTGAAGTTTGGTTTCATTCGTTTTCAGTTTGGCAACCTTCCCTACGGATTACGCACGAACACATGGCTTGTCCCTCCTTCTGTTTCTGACTCTTCTTCAACCTTTTCGGCTTTACCAACAGAGGATGAAAATTTGGGTGGGAATGGTGGCGGTCAGGGGAGAAATGGTGAGTATGATCTTCGTCCCTGGGCGGCAGAGTTTTCTGTATTGGCAAAGCTTCCTTGCAAGACTGAGGAGGAGAGAGTTATTCGAGATAAGAAAGCTTTTTTGCTTCATAACCAGTTTATTGATGTCTCTGTTCGTAAAGCTGTTAGAGCCATCTGCGACGTGACTGATACTAATCAACACACAAGTAGAACTAGTGACTACCCTGCAGGCTCGATTCTTCTTGAGGAACGTGTTGGAGATTTGTCTATTATTGTAAAACGTGATATAGCCAGCCTTGACCCAAAGCCTGAAGCTACACTATCCTCTAAGGAACTTAGTGAAAGGAATCTGCTAAAAGGGATAACAGCTGATGAGAGTGTAATTGTTCACGTAAGTTATTTCTCGTCCCTTTCCCAGCTATCTACATGCTAATGGTATTGGGCTCTATGTTTTGCGTCCATCTTCTTAACTCCATTGCCATAGATAAAGTAATGATGTTTTCAAAGGCAGGGCCTAAAGTGAACACCAACAACAGTTTGACATTCACCACCAACAGTTTGTTTCTGCCCATCAGCATTTTGCTATGATCTTAATAATGACTGTTTGTGCACTACAAAATTTGTTATTATCAGTATGACACTATCATATGAAATTACCAGTTTTCGTTGATGACTGAGTAGAGTGGAATTGTAACAGTTCACAATAGATATAATAGTCGAACTGAATAGATTTACTTTAATGACGATTTTTTTTTCAGGATACTCCGGCTTTAGGCACAGTTACTGTAAGACTCTGTGGATATACAGCGGTGGTAAATTTGAAGGGTGAAATTAAAAAGGGATTGACTGATTTCCGTGATATTGTGATCGATGACCTACCGGATGGAGGAGCCAATGCTCTTAACCTTAACAGGTCTGTGCACCCAACTGGATTTCTAAGTATACTTATTTTTGCAAATTTGTACATGTTCGTATAAAAATTTATCTTGTTGTTGGCCTCTCTTGCTTTTATTACTTTTCAGTATTAATTTTTAAATGAATTTAGCAATGGTTATTCGTGACTGTATCTATAACATCACGGTGTTATGTAAATTAGGAATAGACAAATACACAACAAGTTTTCCCACAATTTATTGCCATCCCTTGCGAGAAGACAATTAAATATGTCAGCATTTAACTTATCGTTTTCCACCTTGGTTGATAACTTTATTGCAGCTTAAGGGTTCAGCTTCACAGGTCCCGTAGTGTCGGAAAATCTGGAGGGAACCAGCCTTCACAGTTTGATTCGGATGATTTAGAGTCGTTTAGATGTATTGTACAGGAACTAGTAAAAATTAACGTAAAGAAGTTAGAAGAGAAAGGAGCATTTTCCGAAAGGTCCATCAGATGGGAGCTAGGTTCTGTCTGGATTCAGCATCTACAAAAGAAAGAAAAACCAATGGAAAACGTCTGTGGAAAGCCTGCAATGAATGGTGAGACTGAACCTTCAATTAAAGGTTTGGGAAAACAGTTTAAAGTTCTAAAGAACAAAAATAAGAAATCAGAAAATGTAAGTACCGGGAAGGAAAAGGAAGAAAATATCAGTCTATGCGAGTTAGATGGGGAGGCTTATCTAGGGCAGAAAAGCATTGATCAACACTTTGAAAGTGAACTGAAGGAACTGCTTTCTGAAGAAGCTTTCTCTCGCCTAAAAGAAAGTGGAACTGATCTCCATTTAAAGGTTACCTTTTCTTCTAATTTGCACTTTTATGAAATCTATTTTCGCCCTTCTCTGTTTGTTCAATGTATGACTACCCTTTTTTTTGTTTCTTATGGAGACGGTGGTGCTTACTCGATTTTTTGTTTTTGTTTTTTGGTGGCACAGTCTAAAGAAGAGCTTACGAAGATGGTATATGGATACTATGATGAAGTTGCTTTGCCAAAACTGGTATGTGTTTAGTTAGATAACGAATATAAATTTCTGAAATTATCTCTGAAATACTATAGCAAGGAATCATTGTAATGGTTTATTAGGTAGCAGATTTTGGGTCCCTGGAGCTTTCTCCAGTTGACGGTCGCACATTGACGGACTTCATGCATATAAAAGGACTCCAAATGCGTTCCCTAGGACATGTGGTAAGAATCCTTTTCCTCATCAATAGCGCCTTTCCTGTTGCCAAATTATCTTGATTTGAAATAATTTTGTTGAGCTCAGAAGTAGTGTATGGTAGAAAGTTGTTATTGAGTATTCTGGTGCACTATCCCTATGAATCAGGCTAAACTTGCGGAGAACCTTCCTCATATACAGTCCCTCTGTATTCATGAGATGATAACGAGAACATTCAAGCATCTTCTTAGGGCAGTTATTGCATCTGTCAATAATATGGCAGAGCTACCCGGGGCAATAGCTGCTTCATTAAATTTCATGTTTGGCCTCCGTGGGTTGGAAGCGAGTGATAGGATCTCCAGTGAAGAGTATTGTCTCAGATTACAGTGGCTACAGAAATTTCTCTCCAGAAAATTTGGTTGGACACAGAAAGATGAGTTCAAGCATTTGAAAAAAGTTTCCATTCTCCGGGGACTTTGCCAGAAGGTAATGTAGCTCTGTGTTAATGTATTGCTGCTTAAACAAAAATTATAGTTCTCTACTCATGCTGCAGGTTGGGTTAGAACTAGTTCCAAGAGATTATGACTTCGATTCTCCAAATCCCTTTAAGAGCTCTGACGTGTTCGCCTTGGTACCTGTGTGCAAGGTTGGTCTCTCTCTCTCCCCATGATCCAATATTAGTTTGACTAAAAGCGATTAGATCACAACCTGCTTGCTGCTTGAATCTTGGTCTATCGAAACATGGTTCAATTTCCAGACAACAATCTTTAAGATATGTTTGATTGAACAGAATGTGCAATGTGATTCATCTGATGGAAGGACTCTCTTGGAGTCATCAAAACATGCTCTTGACAAAGGAAAACTAGATGATGCTGTCAACTATGGAACAAAGGTACCGATTCATTTGATAGCCTTGTTATCTTCATGCTTTAACCATCTGAGTTGGTATCCAAGAGATGTTGACTTCTTGCATTCCTAGGCATTAGTCAAGATGACTGCCGTCTGTGGGCCTTATCATAGAAATACTGCTTGTGCGTACAGCCTTCTCGCCGTTGTACTATACCATACTGGCGATTTTAACCAGGTATCATAATTTCACATCTTCTTCCCAAATGGCAAGTTTGATTATCAGTTCAACTAGCCAATAGAGAGTTTGTCGAGCTTGATGTTTATCTTTTTCCAATCTCATTTCCAATTATAGACAAAAATAGCAGAGAAAAACCAATGAAAGGCACTGTTATCTCTGATGTTTTTTTCCTCTCTCGATCAGGCAACTATATATCAGCAGAAAGCCCTAGATATAAATGAGAGAGAACTTGGTCTTGACCATCCCGACACTATGAAAGGCTATGGCGATCTTTCTGTATTTTACTATCGTCTTCAGCACATTGATTTGGCACTAAAGTAAGTGATGCATATGGTCCAACATTTCCGCTAAGTGGTTCTCTTAAGGGCTATCCAGCATCTATCTAACCTTTTATTTGTCATCTGTTTATAGATATGTGAACCGTGCTTTGTTTCTTCTTCATTTCACTTGTGGGCTGTCTCACCCGAATACTGCTGCGACATATATTAATGTGGCTATGATGGAAGAAGGAGTAGGGAATGTTCATCTAGCTCTAAGATACCTGCATGAAGCCCTAAAGTGCAATAAAAGATTGCTCGGAGCTGACCATATTCAGGTTAGTCCCTTATCTATTTTGCCCCATTTTGCGCTCATTTTCAAACTAATCATCGCTTTTGTGTTGACTTTTCCAGACAGCGGCAAGCTATCATGCAATAGCTGTGGCTCTCTCTCTCATGGAAGCATATACCTTGAGTGTGCAACATGAACAGACTACACTTCAGATACTTACAACAAAACTTGGATCAGATGACATTCGTACACAGGTGATTGATACGCTCCTAGTTTTTAGGTCACTGCATGGACTGCAATCTCGTACTTCATTCACATGAAAACTTATTGATTCCTAGGTTTCTGTCGTACACTTTTGTCATCGAGGATTAGGAATCATGCAAATCTCAGCTGAACATTGTGTTCTTACTGGCAAAGTAACAAAGTGAATGTTTTGAACTCAAAATTCATTTTTGTCTCTCACAGGATGCTGCTACATGGCTTGAATATTTTGAATCAAGAGTCATAGAGCAGCAGGAAGCAGCCCGAAATGGAATCCCAAAGCTCGATGCTTCTATCGCGAGCAAAGGCCACCTTAGGTACTAAAATGGAAACTTCCAGAACATATACAGGATATGGTATTTAATTTATTGGCACCAAAGTCCGACCTTTTATGCAGTGTATCAGATCTCATGGACTATATAAGTTCTGATCCAGACACTAAAGGAAGTGTTGTTCACAGGAAACACCGGCGTGCCACGGTAATTCTTAAATTCTGCGATCCTTCCTCTGGTCACTTATTCTGGAATTTGTTAATGAATCAATTACCTGAATAAAACCTGTCAATCGTTTAGAACTCTGCTTGAAGAGGTTGAAACTCAAACTTCGTCGCCTGGAATCTAGATGTATGTCTAAACTGGAGTATAGATCTAAAAGCATCCCATGCGCTTGAAAGTTAATGGAAACACGTGTGAGATATTGTAACGAAATGAACGAGATGAATGTATCACTCTAGAATTTCGTATCAAAGATATATGACATTACTTGTATTTCAACAGGTAGTCCAGGTCAACGATAATGTTGCATCAGCTGATGATGCCACCCACAGCGTTGTATCACAGCATGGTATGGCTACATGGAACGACGTGGCAGAAACAAATGTCACTAAGCGTAGGACCGAAGTAAATGATCCTAATGCATTATTGGAAGAGGCCGAAATAGTGACAGATGATACTGTAATACATAGGCTAAATGTAGACAACCAAACTGTGGAAGAGTCAATTTTAGATGAGGGCTGGCAAGAGGCTTACTCAAAGGGGAGATCTGGAAATGGTGCTGGAAGGAAATTTAGACAAAGGCAGCCTGATCCTATGAAAAAGAGAATGCTGCTTAATAGGAATCTCAATGGGAGACAGGATGTTCAGCAACAGTATATATCTTCTCCGTTGCAGAAAACAACTCTGAGACCCTCCCTCTCTAAGTCATCATCCCTCAGGGCTCTGAAGGCTGCAGAGATAATTAAGCCACTGTCAAAGGCTTCTGGTTCTTCTGCTGCGACCACTTCTACCTTGGCTTCAAAGGCTCTCTCATACAAAGAGGTTGCGTTGGCACCACCAGGTACAGTTCTGAAGCCAATGTTAGAAAAAGTAGAACTGAATTTGGAAAGATCTGAAACTCAGATATACAGGATTTCAAGTGCGTCAACTGGAGCAGAAAGCAAGTCCGACTTTGTAATGTTGGATTTGCCAATGGAAGGCACAGAGCTTCCCTGTGAAAAACAAGAATCTCAAGAAAGTGTTGAGTTAGTAGAAAAATTAACGCCGGAGTCTGAAGGGGATCTGGGGTCCTGTCGTGGGCAAAAGGCTCCTGATATAAGCAGGAGAAAGCTGTCAGCCGCCGCAGAGCCTTACAGGCCAGGAGGTTTCGTGGTTACTGATCCGCAAAGCGTAGCAGCAACAACAGGCCACTCCCAAAGTATGGTTGCAGAGCCTTATTCCGCTGCTGGATTTTCATGTGCGGTTCACTCACGACCATATTACAGTGCTATTCACTCAAATAGAGTTGAGATGCCAAGAACCATGAATCCAGATGCACCAGAGTTTGTTCCTAGGAGAGCCGTGCAGAATAGCTCTCAGCATGCAGGAAGTGCATCCATTGACTCCAGCAGTTGCCTAAAGGCTGAGAAAAACGCAGCTGATGTGAAGAAGCAAGAGCTGGCGAGGCAGATCCTACTTAGCTTCATTGTAAATTCAGCTCAGAAGGAGGTTGTAGCTACTCCGAGGAAGGAAACGAAGCCTAAAGATGAATTGGAAGATACCTCTGCAAAGGATAGTGCAGTAACAGAGAGAGTTTACAGAAGAGAAGTGGAGAGTAGAGTGAAAGAAAATGAGACGAATGGAGGCGAAGGGTTTGTGATTGTGGCGAAGAAGAAGAGGAGGAAGAACAAGCAGCGACTTACAAACGATGTTGCCGCTGGGCTGTACCATCAACAGTCGTCGGTTTGTGCATGATCTGATAAGTGATTTTGATCAATTAAACAAAATAAAGCTTCTTGTGAAGCAGAGAATCTTGTCATCTCATTTGTTTTTTTTTTTTAGTTAATTTCGGGATTATGTGGCTGGTTGATTCTGTTCTTAAGCTGCACTTTCGATGCAGCTTCAGCCTGTAATGTAGTAAATTTTTCGTAGCTTTTTTTTTGTTCTGTTTTTGAGTTGTATAATCGTTTGTTGCATCCGCATTTGGGTGATTTTTCTGCCTTATTACATACTAGTTAGTGGAATCACAATGGTTTCGCAATACAGCCTCTGCAAACAAAAGGGGCCAGTCTTGTTTCACCAGCAGGTGAGAAACAAAAACCATGCTAAAGTTTCAGAGCAACCCAGATTTATGACATTCGAGAAAATTGCTGTAAAAATTCCTAAAATGTAGCCGACATCCATTTACATGTCACAAGTCTCAACCATTAACCATTTTTAATAAATATATCGTAGCCTGTTTGGAAACTACGTTCTACATCGAACAAACACATTCAACCAAACCAAGATCACATAACGGAAGTCATCAACGTTACATCAGAAACAGAAATAAATTACATACGAAAAATGGAAAGAAGAAACACCAAACATGCTGACCAAGGCTTGGGACGACGACTTTCCTGAAAATAGCGCCAAAAGGTATTACCAATGAAGCGGATGATCGAAAATACGAAACAACACACGCATACATACCCATAGATTTATATGAGCCACCAAACCCTCTCCACTTCATTTCTATTTGCTAGTAGTAGTCTAGTAGTATTGTTCCCTCCCTTATAAAACTGCAGCAACAACCACACTCCAACATCCATTCCCTATTACTCTATTACTATCCCCCGCAATTAGAATACAGTTTTGAATCACTTACCTAAGAAATTCAAGAACAATTGTGGCCTAAAGTGCTCTGTTACGAAGCTTGGAGAAGCACGCAGGCGCTGAGCCAAGGAGTCCCTAACCCCACTTCTTAGTTTCTGACAAATGTATTCACTTGCTAAAGCTCATCTCCGAGTACCTGCATATACACCAGTGACAACTCAAGCACCTATTCTTTTTCATGATCGGATCAAATGCATCATGGTCCCTAATCCTAGATGGTTCCATATCAACAGGTGATCAACTTGAAAGAGTAGGTCCGAGTCTGAAAAAAAAACTCACCTACGAGGGTGCTTGCTTGGGTTGTTGTTCTGCCGTTTTGTAACCCCACCCTCTGTAACCTCTGCATAGAAAGAGAGTAACTTAGGTTAGAGCGAATGATCCCAACAATCAATCGTCATATAAGCAGCTGAATCTCTCTTTCATTGGCAAATTTTGTGATTTCTAACCGAAGAGACAACTTTTGAAAGAAGTGCCGGTTGAATCGATATTCATCATATATTTTTTTTTCTGAACCAGTTATCCTCATAATAAAAGCCAATAAATGAAAATCTATCCCCTAATAAGGGTGTTATTATACCCAAACACCTGATGTGTAACCATTAGAAAAATAAGACAGTGTTGCAAAATGACTGACCAGGCCTCTCCGCGAGTTTCTCCAGGTCATTAAGGTTATTAGTACTATTCTCTTTGCTGCAAAAATGGTAATTTGAGTGAGCAAGCTAAAAATGCATGCTTTCCAAATACAAATATGTATATACAATGTGTGCCAAGCATATGCAGTAGGTATAAAGAAGATAAAAATAAAATGATAATTTACAAATATCAGATGATTTTGGGCTATTTAAAGCTCTACACCATTCACATTGTTTTGGGATTAAAAATATTTAAGGGAAGGCAAATTACTCTCTGTACCTGATCGATCCTGCAGAGGAAGGTAGCTCTGGCTTGTGTGGTTTGTAAGAACCATCAATAGCAGCATATGGTGGACTGTATGAAGCCCCTAGAGCTCCTGGACCAGTCAAAACTGGCATCCTGACATAAACAAATCTCAAGTTATCAACAGCAAGCAGGCGAAAGAACAAAATGAGGAACTAGATATAGATGGAGAACCCAGAGCATTACGATACGAACAGGACAGTATTTAAACAGAATTTGCACATTGTCTAGTTCTTTAATTTACGTCTTCGCGGGTTCAGGATTTCCAACATGCAGACCCAAACAAAGATTATCAAATGGGACAGCATATATAAACATCAAAAACACGGCGAATCAGCGAACAATAAGCACAATTTCTAGTTCTTTAAAATGCTTACATCCGAGAACTCTGAGAACTAGCATTCACAAATTTTCACCGAGAAGGGGAAGGAGTAGCCATACCATGTCATCTCCGGATTTCCAACACCATTTTCAGGCTGGACGTATCCTGGAAAAGCCATTCCAAAAGCTGCAACCCCACCATGCTGACCACCAAATTGCATAACTGCATTTGAATTTAATCAAGAATAAGTAATACAATAATCTAAGTAGTACTCAGATACGGAAACAAATAATCGTAAACAGATCATTCCCAAGTTGGTACAACAGGACTCTGACAATACTGTCGACGGACATCCATCCCAAGTGGCTCAACATCAATAGCTTTCATATGCAAAAACGATGCATTGTTTGATTCAGAAAAGAAACTTTCGACTCGTCCATTGCAAAAAGAAGAGTCATCCAAAAAATCGTACCAGGCAGAAAAGCTGGGAAATTAGAATTGTCCCCAGATTGCAGACTTTCTGCTCGCCCCATCACTTGAGATCCGTTGTACATCAAAGCGCTGCTTTCACTAGGCTGGAGAGTCCCTTTTCCCTTAGCAATCCATGCACCTGTTTCCAACGCAGATTGAGGATACCGATTAATTGATGAGCTAGTTTTCTGGGCAGAGGAAGAAAATGATCTGATAACAGCAGAGTGCTGATCAACACCCTGACCGGAAGCTTTAATACCGTTTTGGCCAGTGCCTTTTGAATCTCCATTAAGTTGCTTTGGTGATGAAAATCTGACACCTTGACGGTGAGATTGGGGGTAAAACTCATTCCCAGCAGCAGGTGCACCTCTACCTTGACTCGTGGACTGAAAAGTCTGGGCAGTATAAACTGGTGAAAAATCAGATCTCGTATTCCTATACTTCTTCCCAGAGGGCGCGACACTTTCATTCGTGTCTAGTCTTTCCATACCAACTTGTATACTCTGAACCAAGTTACTCGAGGACACTGAGGGATAAAATGGAGGAGAAGCAGAACTTAGACTTGAAGCAACTAGATTCTTTTTGGTAAGGGCACTTTCATTCCCAGTTTTAGCAGGTGCAGTTGGTGAACGCCGCGAATGAGAGGTCTTCTCATGAGAATTTCGTAACCTACAAAATTGTGCACAAATACATTATATTAGCGATAAAACCCTTCACTCAACTAAAGAAAACAAACAAACTGTAAGAACTCACTGTTTGCTCTGCGCGGAATGTGCTTGATTGCTTCTGAGTCCTCCCCCTCGTGTGACAGTTTTAGGAACAAAAATTTGCTGTCCACTGGTGGAAGATGCGTTAGAACTGCTCCCTCTAGCGTATCCACGCCCTTGTCCCCTACCTCGACCACGGCCTCTGAATCGGCCTCTAGAAGTCTTCTGCTGAATCCACAGGAGTGCAATCAATCGGTCAACTATATAATTAAGAAAGGAAAAGGACAAAAAAAAAAAGCAAAGACATATGTCGCATATTGTATAACAGATTGAGGGATCTAAAAATAATTTCAAGAAAAACCATAGACAGAAGCTCTACATCATAATGTTTCTCCTGAGTATTCATCTCTTCAAATTTGTCATGTCCCCATTTTCTTTCATCTCCAGATTGCCTTCCACCACGCATTCGCCTACGAAAGCAAATTCAAGGATTACATCAATCGACCTATGAGACCGTGAATCAACAGAAAGGAGAAATTGCGTTTTGAAAAAGAGTGTACCTGCTTCGTCCGGCAGAAATTTCCTGAAATCTGTCATCATGCATATAAAAAGCTCCACCAGTAGGCACTGAAGACGATTGCTTCTCCTTTTCTTCCTCTCCATCAATATGAGCTGCTCCATCTTCTTCTGCTGACTTCATCATATCACTCCTCTTGCCATCATCGACTGCTCCTTCTTCTTCGTCCTCATAACTATCTTCACTCTTGTTTTCGTCATTATCATACTTCACCTGTTCATCTGATTCGTCGGAATCAACCTCAGCTCTCTGGTTTTTAACCTCTTGATCCTCGTATTCGTCATCGTCATCGCTCGCTTCTCTCCTCCTCGTCGCCAAGGATCGCTTCAGCTCCTCGGGATCACTCTCATAGTCGGGCTCTCCTGCGTCAGCTGGCGCCATAAGACTACCTCTAGAAACCTGAAAAAGGAGAGCCGTCTCGTAAATCCAAAACCTAGATGAAGAAATTTCTTCTGAGTAATCGAAAGAATCGCGGGAAAACTATGAACGAAGAAGCTCTCTCACTGACCTTAACCCTATTTTACCTCTGGAGGCGGTCTTCTGCGATTTTGGGCGTTTTTGCAATCAATCGAATGGAGCGGAAGGGTCCTTTTAATTTTTTAAAATATATATCAATTGGACAAGTCTTATCCAAACTAATCGATTTTCCTATTTCACGCATATTAAAACATAACACGACTGTGAAACAAAACCTTCAAACTCGAATTTTGGGAAAGTCAAATTAGGAAAATTAATTTCGATGAATTAATTAAGGTTTTGAGAAAATTTGATTTAATGAGCAAAAGTGATTATTGGAATCGATTTAGAGAATTCAGATTCGGAAAATACGATTTGAGAACAAAAATAGAGATTTAAATTTAACTAGTACATATACGTTCATTATATTTTGCGAGCGAAAACAAAATCAATTAATAGTGTATTCAAACTGAAAAGTACGTTAAGCCTGTGCAAGTTGAGTTTCTGTAGGAGAGGATTTGCCTCAAGTTGGATGAGGAAAGATCAGAGATTTGACAATGGAGCACTTCTAAAATTAGTAACAGAAACCTCTCTAGTTCTGCTACAGTTATGTAATAGAGCTCAAAAAACCAATGTCTTTGTATAAAGTTCTTGATGATATGTGGAAAAAAAAAAAAAAAAGTTCTTGATGATATATAACCAAAGGATGTCTCGTTGAAAAAAAAAAAAAACAGAACTAAAGCAGATTCAATAACTCTCTCTCTCTCTCTCTCTCTCACTCGCGCTCAGATTTATATCTTCTTGACACTGGAGAAAGTTCCTAAATCTGAGAAGTAAGTGCTTTGAGTCCCACTGTCTAATCGAAGAGCATGAGGATTGCACAGCTCTATTCCCTGCACAGGAGTGAAAGCAAGGCTCGATGTCATGAAACCAGAGGAGGTATTAGCACCACCTGAATACTGTCTTTCTTTTAGCTTTTTGGCGACCTTAGCACTAAGTTTCAGTTTACTCGGGACACTAGACACTCGCAGCCTATTGCTCTTAGCATGTCCAAGCATTCCGTATCCTTCCCCTAATCCATCACCTAGTGAGCTCTCTTCGGGTGTTACACCAAATGCAACCCTGTTTGCTTGCTCTCTCATCTTTGTCATTCCATACCTTTCCTTCGTTTTTCTATGGCGGCGACCACCTCTTCTTTTCTTAGGCCCAAAATCTGGAACAGGAAGTGGCTTAGGTTGCCTTGCAGGACAAGGTTCTTGCCACTTGTCAATCTTCTTAAGGATCTCTTCCCTCAAAGCTTTTCCATATGTCCCCAAAGGGTCTCCTCTTGCAGCGTCACTTCTTGCTGCAAGAGTCGATTTTCCAGCCAAGAGCCTGCTAACGCGCACTCGATATCCAGGAGGCGTGCTTTGGAAAATCTCAGTCTGCTCCAGATAACCAACATGGGACTGTGACGTAGCACTAGAGAACCCATCAAGATTCTTCCTCTTGTGGCCAAGAAGTTGAACATGACAGGCTGGTAGTTTAGCAAGTGCTCGTAAACCTCCAGCAGTTCCCATGAGCTTGGCCGCAACAGAGCTCCCGACAATGGCGGAAAGATTTGGTGCGATGCATCCCATCTTGCTTTCAAGAAAGTCAAGGATCTTCTTGCGTGCGGAATCAAGATCAAGAGCACGATCACATGCTTCCATCGTCTTTTGCAGGACATCTTCAGGCAGAGGTTTCCCTTTTGTGGTTGAAGCAGTAAGTAAAATAGGCATAACGGTAGCTTTGTGAAAATCGTTTAGATCAACGAGGGTTATATCGGTCTCGTTCCCAATTCGTTTCACAATACGGGCGTAATCGATTGCGTGATGTACAAACGACTCAAGCTCTGGGAACTTCGATTTGTACTTGAAACGGATAAAGCTGTGGACGGTGACGATCTCATTCTCGATATCAACTGAGAGCTGATTGCAATCCACGATTAGTTTGTATTCAGGATCACCGTTATTGGAGTCCTTCCCGAGAGCCTCTTCCACTTTCTGCATTATGTCAACATATCTCTGAGTTTTCTGTAGCTTAGAAACGCTATCGAGATCATCAGAGTTTAGGGTTTCTTCCAAGTCTGCCATGTCCATGTCCATGTCCATGTCCATGTTAGTATCTTCTTCCTCCTTTCCATCCAATTTTGTTCCTTCATTGTCATTGTCAGATTACTCCTCAAGCTCTGCGAGTAAAAAATCTGCAAGAGTTTCCATATCTTGTAAGTTGTATCCAAGAAGAAGAAACTAAAAGAATATAACAACAAGCTCACGATTAGGAGGAACACACAGACCAAAGAATTAGAGCTCTTATTCGTCTGGTTCTATCTCTTATTCTTCTACTCTGTTAGGTTTTTATAGCTAAAGACACGATACAAAATTTCCTTTTTCTAGTTTGCTTTGCCTTTTTCTTATAGATTCCTCCTCCTGTTATGAATTCTGATGTCGGCCGACTACAACTACTGGGCCAGCCCAATCAATAACCTCCATATCAGTTCTGACTTCGGATTTGGGCCCAAAGACAATTTTTTATTGAGACCCAATAGATTCACAAAACCTCGGGTCATACTCTCTCCAAGCCCATTTCATGGGTTGCGTCGTTATTACGAACTCAATATATAGAACAGCAACCAGGGATTCTATCGAATACAGGTCATTCCGCATTCGTCTGAAACTCTCAGCTCCTTTTTCCCAAAATTCTCAGATCAGCGACGAACCCTAGCTCTACAAACCAGTCATGTCTTCCAAGCAAGGTAAAGAAATTTTAGTTTTCTTGATTTTGGTTCTTTTTTTTTTTTAAGGTATAAAAGACATCGTTTTGCGATCAGCTAATCGTTTTCGTTAAAACAGGAGGAAAGGCGAAACCTTTGAAGCAGCCAAAAGCTGATAAGAAGGAATACGACGAGGTGACTCTACTGAAACTCGATTCTAGATCTTTGTTTTTTTATATAAGTGCGATTCTCTGTAGATTTTGCCTCTAGCTGAGAGAAAGTGAGCATCTTAGATCGTTTTTTATTGGTAGCTTGAGACCTGGTTTTGCTTTCTGGATCTGTTTTTGATAGTGTAATTAAGTTGAATTCTTAAAATTAAAAACTCAGACTCATTTCTCTTGCTCCGCTCTAATAATGTATACACAAGTACGCATTGATTTAAAAGCATACTCTCTCGACTCTTTCAGATGATTTTCTTGCCTACTATTCGTTTCAATAATTTTTGACATTCTTTTTACACTCCCTAATTTCTGGAATTGTTTATCGGGCATTAATGCAGCACGACATGGCTAACATTCAGAAGAAGAAAGAGGAGGAAAAGGTGAGTTCCCACTTCGTTGCTCTGGCTAGTTTTATCTCTTGTTCATATAAATTTTTGTGTTTCGCAAACTGCATCTACTCTATGGTTTGGCTCCTCTTTTCAAGCAAAGATAGAGAGGGCTACTACTTTAGAGAGATGGATTTTCTTAATATTATGCAGTGCTACTTTGTCAGTTTGGTGACTCTACAACAAGATGTGACATTTTATTAACTGTTTAGAAATTCATTACGGATTCTATCTATTAAAACAGAAGACATGGATTTGGACGCTTAGTTTTACAGATACTTTGATGAAAAGTGAACATTTGCCCAGAGTTAGGATGCTTATTTCACTTTGTTTACACACAGTGATCTCTTTGTCTCGCATGAGAAAGACATACAGTGATCGTTTGTTATTGAAAGCCTGACCCATTTTATTTGTGAATGAAAATGGTTAAACAGGCACTTAAAGAACTAAGAGCCAAGGCATCGCAGAAGGGATCCTTTGGAGGCTCTGGACTTAAGAAAAGCGGCAAGAAATGATCTGTTTTATCCATGAAGCCTGTTTGACAGTTCAAATTTATCAATTAAAACAGTTAAATCGTGTGTTTATGTAACTTTAATCATAATTGTAGGAGAGTAACTTTGCGTCTCCTTACATATGTTTGCTTTCGCCACTTTTTCATGAAAAAAATGATAAATGGTTTCTACCCTAATATTTCAACATCTCCGGATTCAGAATTCAGTAGGTTGACTCTCATATTTCTCTTTCTCGGGATCCAGTTTTAGAAAGTGCTATTTGTCATAACTTGAAGAGTAAAATATGCTGCATTGATAACGTGCGTAGACTAAAGATGAGGTAGTAACTGAGGGTGACAGGTAAATTGACCAAAGAGGTAATAGTAAAATATATATGTGCTGCGTAATGGATAACAAACTCTTCCTAAGAAGTGCATACTCTAAACGAAGATACCTTCGCCGTGCCCTGAAAGCAAAGCTGATGGAGAGGGTCGTCTTAGAGCCTGAAGGAGCCTGCTTTTCTTCTGGAACCGTTGTTAATACTGGAAGAGGTGCGTGGATCAGAGAACTCGTAGTACATGTCTGTGAAGAAATTGTCAACAATGTCGAGGTAGACAGGGCTTCTGATGCTTGAATAGCATCGAAGCGCTTCCCGTACATCCAATGCATGGTCCACGTCTCTCAGATCCACCATGTTGAGATCTTTCATCTTTTGAGCCAACAAGTCACCTCTTCTCTTTGCCTCCTCGAATGGCTCTGAAACTTTCTTCTTCTTCTGTTTCTTTTTAAGTTGGTTCTTGTTGGGACTCTCCTCTCTAGTTTCTGCAACGGCCGTGCTCTCACAAGAGATAACGCTGTAGGTTTCTTCGGTTTGAGAATCTTCTGGACAGCGTCGGCGAAGACTGCATGAGAAGGGGCTCAAGAGAGGAGTGTTGTTAGGTAAGTTGTGGTATTTGCCAAAGCAGATAGTGGACTTGATGCTCCCAATGCTCTTCCTTAAGAAACGACCAACTCTCTGAATTGATTTTGTTGTAGGTTTCATCATCTTGGCTTTTGTCTCTCTCCTGCAGTTCCTTGTCCGAGGCAAAAACCATATTTATTTCACTTGGGGAGCTCAAAACGAAACCTAACATTCATTCAGTGGCATGTAGTAGTTGAAGAAAGAAGCTGATATGATACGTCAGAGTCAGACTTTGATGAGTGTCTACTTTTATAGGTAAGAAATCGTCATCACATTGATAACCAGTGTTAAATATGGTCCCCTACTTATCATCATTGCCACCACCACTGTTCATCCAGTTGACTCTGGCTAACACTAACAGAACTAGGCCCATAAAGCCCATTAAAATGGCCAGCTTTCTGTTTTCCTGCTTCTTAGCTTTTTTTTTTTTAAGGAGAGTTTTGGGAGTTGGGACAATTGGCTTTGAAAGCACTAGGCACCAAAAAAAAGTACTACTATGCATTCTTTTTCTGCTTTTCGTATATCATTGATTCAGTGAAATGCAACCGTGCTCTGTTACTGTTTAAAGAAATCTAGAAAACTCCATGTAATATGCAGAGGAGTTACAACCAAAATCTAAAGTATTAATTTGTTGGTGTGAATTGACCGAAGAGGTGTTTTTCGGCGTGTAACTGTTTGAAAGCCTGTTCCATTTCCGGAAATGCCGAGAGTAGCAGCAGCTCCAGCAGGTCAAATGCCAATTGCTTAAGACACACCGATGACTGAAAAAACAACATTTAAAAAATCAAAACCCACTTCCTGAGATTGAAAAATCAAGGCAAATAGCGGAATGTTTTACCTGAAGGAAGAAGTAGAGATCTTCCGCACTTTGTTCATACTCCTTCTGTCCCACAAGACTCACTATGGTCGCTGGGGCTTTTTCTGAGGGTTAATTCAAACATTTATGTTAATTCAACAAAGCTCACATATCACTGATGCAAAAGAAGTATCAGATGACAGGACGCTCATTACCGATCATCAGCTCATGAACAAACTTGGCTCGTCTCTCTGCTTCTTGTTGCTGCTCCTCGTCAGAACTGCTGGATTGTTGCTGTCTTTTTGGATGCTTTGTCATGAATATCCCATCCGGCCATAGTATCTGAGAGGTCATACCAAATATCTCTTTAAAATCTCATCATGGATTGAAAATTATATTATCAGACCAGAGACATCACAGGGATATGTTACGTTAGGCATTCTTTTTCCATTACTCACAGTGACTTTCACCACTACCTCATTTTGCAAAAAGAAGTTCACGTGGAGGGTCTCACCTGTTCTATCCGTTGAATTCCAGAAGCGACTACAGTTCCCTGCCGCAGAAGACGGATTTTCTCAAGTACCCAATCGTCCAATGCATCCCCCATCCCAAGTTGAAGTATCTGTTTGGCAACCCAAAAAGCTTTCCTCCTTGTAATGTGCAAAAATAGATGATCAAAATTACTCCACTTTCTTCACTGAGAACCAAAAAACAAATCTAGTATGCCCCCTGGTTATAAAATTATGTACCTGATCCACCCACCCTCCTGAAGCTGAAAGACAACATCTACCAAGTCTAGCAGGGGTAATGTAAGCTTTGGAGGAACCCACTGAAAAAAACAAGGGTTATAACAAGCATAGGCCTCATGGCTCCCCACAATGCAAAAGACAGAATCATCAGAAAATCGATCGGCTTATGCTAGGTGTGGATCTAAAACATACCTCTGTAGGCAGTCCTGCGGAGGCCACAGCCTCAGCATGTCGAGTACCCACTTTTAGCCCGCCATTCTCTTTGCTATTTCTCACATCTGAATCAGGCGCCTTCATATGATCATTTTCAGGAGCTTTCACTTTTGACTTCAGATCATCCACCTTAGCATTATCTCTCATATGTTGACCCGATCTCCCATTCTCTGAACTCGGATTTTCTCTCGAAGGAAGAGGACCTGGCGTCGCCTCAGTCATATCGGCCATAATTGTAGAAACCGTAGATGTCTTACGGACAGGTTTAACTGAAACAATTTCATAGTGACAATAAATAATAGCAAGCTAATTAAATCCCATTGTGTTGTGAATTACTCACCCGTCAGTGTCTCAATGATTGAGAAAGAACTTGAGAACGCATAAGTCTGCACAGAAGCAACATTTTACACCATTCAAAATTTGTTAGCACAAGTGGTTTGAGTCAGCGGAAGAATACCTACTTGGGAATCCACACTGAGGAAGTCCCAAACTTCAATTGATCCTGAAATTCTTGGTTGTTGCAATAGCTTCTGAGCAAAGTAGAGAAAGGAAATTTCGAAAATTAAGGAAAACTGGGGAATCACTTTCAATGCAAAGCTTTTCATTCAAAGTTAACTGTGGAGAATAAAAGGCATGTGAAAAGCAACTGAGTACAAAGCTTCAAGCATAATAACTATCAGCACTAGTTACGTGACAGATCGAAGTACATAAGTACATAACTTCAGCACATCAAAGTAGGCCAGACTCTATTTCAGACTAAATACAGAGCAGTAGCTTCGGAGAAAATCCATGGTGAAGTTTCATGCATAAGAACATCCAGCATTAGCTTAATAGCTTTTTAGAGATTCAAAAGTAATTACCAAAACACGAAAACACAAACCTAATTCACAGTTAACCTACTCATCAAAACACCTAATCCAGTAGAAAAACAACACAAATCCTTATACAAAGTAACATGTACAAAGCATCAAGAGAGACTAGAAAACAAGAGACATGACGTTTGACCTTGAGATAGTCATCAAGTAGTACACATCGCTCTTGGATAACAGGTATGTCCACGCCTGTTGATAGGAAGTGCTTCGGCGGTAAATGAAGATTGTACTCAGGAAATACTTTAAGCCGCCGGTGAAGTTCCTCAAAATGTCGAAATCTGAAGTTCACATAAATAAAAATTATAAGAAAAAACAAAGCATCATCATCAGATCCGTAACAGTCATATTCTACTACCTTCTTTTGATAGACCAGCTATGATTACTTTCATCTGTGACAGCAATTGAATATACAGAAAACATCTTAGAACTGCTCTTCACAATATTGGCACCCAGAACCTGCAAGAAGAACCTAAATTTATCCATCATACGGAACATCATTGTCTGCAGCTTTATGGAATATCTGAGTGCATAACAGATATTTCAATGTACCTCACATCTCAACTTGGCAAAGGAATCAATCAACAAAGAACTTTTAGGGGCGTTGGGAAGGTCACTTTCCGCCACTGAAATGTATGATGCAGACGACGTTGCAGATATCCCACTGTTTGATCTACCCAAAGAATCATTTTCAGAATCATTGCTATCGTCATCGCCTAAAATGCGTCCAGAATGTCTGGATCTCTTCCTGCTAGACTGATAACGTTCATGCCCTTTACTGGTCTGTTTGAAACGGCGGCCAGAATTTTCAAGTGGATGGTGTATCCGTGAAACACCAGGATTTCTGTTCGTTCGACCATCCCAGACTCGAGTCCCAGGACTGTTTAGACCTGTTACCGTTTCCTCATCCTCAGATGTATAAGAATGACTACTCTTTGTTTGTTCGTCGTCCTCTTCAGCAGAGGAATAACTTGATAAGTGACTGTCTCTATTTACTACCTTTTGCTGACTGGATCCTTTTGCATTCGTAGTATTTTCGTTGAAGATGTTAGGCCTTGCCCCATCATCATTGTTGCACCATTCCTTGCTAGACCATCTCGGGGGCACCCGCTCAACAATTTTCTCACCTTCCTTTTTTTTATAGTTTCTTCCCTTTGCCCACAAACTTTCAAGATTCTCGGGAGCAAGGGTCTCACTTTTCCTTTGTGACATCATGTCTAATACGTCACCCCATCCCTCTCTTCCTCGATGTCCTTGAAGATCTTTACTATCATCCACTATTTTGGAAGTTGAGGGGACGGAGTTCCATGATCGGGAAGATCGAGTGTCCACTGAAAGCAATGGATCTTTAGAGAAATCTGTTGCATGCTGTTTATCTGTAGCATTCTTCCTTTTCTGCTGTTCATTTTTCAACTGCACCAGCTCAACACCTGTGACAGAGGGGTCCAGATCTCTAGAAAAATGATCAGGAGAAACTTTCGAGAGATCTTCCGACTGAGAAGTCTCTTTGGCAGCACTAGATCGGTCATTAGTCTTTATCCTTGATATCACAGCAGCTTCAATCCTTTCGTTTATGAACCTGGTAGAGATTTTGAGGACCATTGAGGTAAAAATACGAGGAACCAAATGTGATCTAAAGAGGCCATAGCTTACCGAGGATTGGCTAAATTCAGGACTGGTCGCATCACACAGCAAGCAAGAAGCTCTCTCACGGTATAATGGAAAAAAGCACAGTGCAGATCCTCGGGCCTGAATGTTAGTAAAATGAGACTGTTCACTATATGCTGCAGAACCTGCAAAATAGAGACCATAATATCACCACCTGATAGCGATAAAGTGGTAAAGCATACAACATAAACTCTACATAACAGCTTGTCGCAACTTAGACTGCAGAAAACCTTATGCTCGGATTCAGGAGAGAATAATGCAGGGTGCAATTTATCTTCAGTGGCCATCACTCGTCTTAGTTCTGAGTCTCGGTCATCAAAACTGAGGCTTCTCCTTTGTTGTCTCTCAATCTTTGCTTGACACTCACGGAAAAGCTCCACACGGCGACATATAATATCAATTAGATCCCTGAATCAATCCGACATTTTAGTTATTTTTTTTTGGATAGGCGATCGTTAGAGAAACTCAACCTGAGCAGAAAACATTAAGAAAAACAGACCTTGTCAATAGATCAATGAGATTTACATTCCTAAACCGCCGTGAAATTTCCCCAAGAACATCGTTAATAACAAACACCAGTTCTTCAGGACCTTGCTTATCCGCTGTTATGCGAGAGTACCAGAGATCCAGTACCCATTCAGAAATGAGGTGACGGGTGAAGTGATCTATCGCGTCTTCAACGACCTGGGAGTTCACTTTGCTTCTCCAGTCAGACCGTGGAGCTGCTTTAGGGAGCTCTGGAAGTTTCTTTAGAGATGGAGCATTCAGTGACGAAGGTTTGTTGTTGTAAGCTGCAGCCTTTCTTTTCATTTCAATATCGAATGAGAAATAACGGAGGAGGATGATCAAGCACGCAGCAGCAGGGAGATTGACCCAAACCGATGAACTTGTCACTGCAGGCGTTTAAGCAAATGTGAATATTCATAAGAGATTGCTGAGGGAAACAACATAGAGTGGAACACATCAGTAGCTAAGTGAAGAATGCCTCCTAAATATAGGAAAGCTCATCAAGTTCTTATAATACAGAATAAACTGAAATTACCCTTGAGCATGATAAAATGAGGACATCAAACTTACACGAGAGGAGGTAGGATAGTCCGACGACGCATATCACCAGGATTACAATCCGCTTCTTGGCTTCCTCTACCAGGTCCCGAACTGTCACCGCCTGCTTCAGGGTGCTCATAGTTGAATCAAACCCTTTTCCCACTCTATTCTCTCGGACGCTCAATCCGTCCTTCAATGAACTCTCTTAGAACCTAAAGTCCCATTTCGTATGTGAGTGCCAAGCCGGATTAGGACCCGATTTTCGAAATAACTCGGGATCGACGAAAGATTAGCTGATTCTCGATCGATGCCTGAAAAAAAGGAAGGAGAAGGGGAGAGAATCGATGTCTGGAAACTTAAAGACGGTCGAGGAATCAATGAAATCGGCGGTAACGGAATCTCTGCCGGTGAAGCTTGTTGATTTGGTACGTATCTCCGGCGAGCGTTTCCCGGGAAGATGGTAAGATCTTTAGTTCTCTCTCTCTTCGTGGTTCGCAATTAATTAATCGTACAATTGGCAACCAAATGTCCCTCCATATGACATCATTAAGTGTCGAACCCTCGGCTAGTTTGTTAATTTGATCCAACCTTTATGTATAGTGACAGATTTGCCCTTATCACCGCCTTTCCCTTCCCCTCGGAAAGATTAAAATTATCCAAATTAGGGCTCACAAATCACAGAAGAGAGCTCCGAATCTCTACACGAAATGGAGGCTGCGAAAGAAAGGGTTGGCTTGCTCGACAAAATCCTCCCGCCGGCATTGGCAGACGCCGGGCTCGAGGATTGTGCTCTGCCGCCGGATTCTATACAGGAAGCATTTCGTAAAGCCGCCGACGCCGTGAAATCGCGCGCGGCCTCGCTTTTCGAAGACGAGGAGGAAGGCGGTTGTGTAGCGGATCCGCGACCAGCATCGAAGGGAACCGAGACGATTCCGAGACCGGGAGCTTCTGACACGGTCATCGTGGGCGGGGGAAATGAAGGGGATGCTGGGCCGTGTCTAGTCGGAAAGGGGAATGAGAAGTTGGCTGGTTCGGAACAGAGCGGAGATGCGTTGGTGGTGGCAGGCGAAGGAGGAGAGGGGAAGAGCTGCGGTGATGGTTTGAAGGACTTAGATGTTGAAGGTATGGAGAGTAGCACTGAGAAGAAGGATCAGAGTGAAGAAGATGAAGAAGAGGAGAAGAAACCGATCTTGGTTGAAGGATATGTCTGAGATTCCTATCACGTTGCTCCCTCGTGTATATATAAAATAAATGCATTTTGACTTTAGCAGCTTGCCCCTTTAAAGTCTGAGCTTTGTCTCCGTAGGCAATGGTGGCAAAGCTTATATGTATCTCCTGTTTGACATTAAACTTGGATGAAATACGAGTTTGGGGAATAAATAGGCGACTCTCTCTTTTGGTTTGATTTTCCTGCTTCTATCCCATGAAAAAAATGATTGTTTTTGCTTTTAGTTTGAAATTTATAGTCTGTTGTTTCCTGTTACTGTTGTTGAGTTTGCACCGTTCCTAGCAGAAAAGCAAAGATGAAGTTAGGATAGGTCTGAATGAATAAACATCTTTCACTGCATCTAACATCCGATGCTTTACTGGTCTTCACATAACATGCCACGCCCACTTACATATCTTCGTGTGGACAGAATTGAGGCCTGCATCACAATATTAATCAGAAAGACAGCAAATCATTGGCACCATGGGGCTCCAGAAGAAAGAGCTGAGACGATTGTGCTCATATTAGGGTACACGCGAGAGAGAGAGAGAGAGGGAGATCAAGCATCTCTAGCCTCCATTCACCAATGGCTCCACCATACCCCACGTACAAGAGACCAGTGTTGGCGAAGAAGACAGACCCATCACCAACATCAATTTAGCTTAGAGAATGAGTTATCATTTTGGTGCATTTGTTCCAATCTCACTTTCTTCTACTATAGAAACTGTTATCTACAGTGTCATTGTTGTTCTACAAATGTTCCTTCTTGGCTCAGTTTTTTTTTTCGGGTCGAAACTTGGCTCAGTTTTATGTTTTGGTTCCTTCTTGGCCCATGTTCTATTGTATATTTGAAGGGCCCATGTTCTTTATTTTCCCTTGAGCCATACTACACGCGCGAATCTCGTCTTCCAACACCCGTGGCACGCTCCTTCACGCGCCTTCTCGGTCTCACGTCCGCATCCGGTTTTTTTCACAAGCGAAAGGTTTAATTTTCGAGCTTGAGGTTATATCTGATCGTACTAAGCAATTTCTTGAATCTCTCTCGCTTCCTCTCCACCCAGGTTCTCCCTTCATGATTTAATTTAAATTCCATTCTGATTGGCTCTTATATTAGTTTATGGCCTGTTGAAAAAAAAAAAATTTGGTTTATGGCCTGTTGTCCACAAAGTGTTTGATGAAATGCGTATGTGAAAACTCACTATTAATCGGTATCATGAAATTTTTATCAGCGCAATGGAGAAAAAAGACGAGGACTTGAAGAAGGCTCAGATGCTGGACGCTAGAGCCAGAAACATCAGCCACAATGTTCGTTGCACTGAGTGTGGGAGTCAGTCCATTGAAGACTCGCAGGCAGATATCGCTATCCTCCTTAGACAGGTGAGTGTTTTACTCGAAATTTTCCAAATGATGGTTTGAAGATAGTTTTGCTGTCTACTCCTCTGACAAAACCTGAGTTTTGCAGCTTATCCGCGATGAGATAGGAGCTGGAAAAACTGACAAAGAGATCTACAATAAGCTCGAGGATGAGTTTGGGGAGACGGTGCTTTATGCCCCAAAATTTGATCTGCAGACGGCGGCATTGTGGCTAACTCCGGTCAGTTTTAAGCGGTCAATTAAAAACTGAAACCTCCAAGAAGACGTTTAGTTTAAATGGACTGTGGTGTTTTTGTGTGATAGGTTCTAGTTGTTGGAGGTGCTGCTGCTGTGTTGGCTTACACGAAGCACAGGCAAAGGACGAATGTACACATCATGGCGCTGGATCTTATCAGAGGTGTTCCATTGACTCCAAAAGAGAGAGTTACCATTCTCGATGTTCTTATTCCACCTCCACCTCCTCCTCGGGGACTGGCTTCCCGGTTTAGGACATGGCTTAACCGGTAGTTCCCTTGTCTCCTTAGCTTTGTTGTTCCTGAGTCAGATATTATGGTTCTTAGCCAAATAAACAAATATGTGGAAGGAGTGAGTACCACATTTTGATTGTCTTGGAGAAACTGAACGGGGACTGGTTTTGCGTCCTTCATGAGCAATTTTCTTGCCTATAAAGTTGAAACATAGATTCGTCCATAGGAATATCATTTAAGGATAGTTAAGCGAATGTGTGATACTTGTTTGTATCTTTGATGTGGAATTGAAAACAGAGAGCGGGTCGTTGTTATTAAGCTTACGGCATTTGTTACAATACTTGATCTTCATCTTAACATCTTCAAACTATTTTTTAACATCTTCATCTTAATACCCCAAAAGCCCACATAACGTAGCTACTTATTATCATACAAGATTATTACCATACAAGATCTTCGATACAAGAAAGAATGAGTTAACGGTAAGCAATTTGGTATTGCTCACGGGAAGAAACTAAAAGTAAATTTTGACCAAGGAGTCCAATTCAAAGTATTTGTATGTACGTAAACCACAAAATAAACCCCAGATGTATTTGATTTTCTCAAGTTTAGGATAAAACCAACCCTTTCTCTCCTAGGAAGGTGTCCGATGAAATAAAAATGAGGCTATAAACATACTAATATAAGAGGGCCTGTGATTTCATGTCATAAAGGGCATTAATTGCTTAAGCATTAGGGTTTTTATTACATAGTATCATCGTTCCCTTTTCAATCCTAAACCCTTTTTACACTTTATTCCGCATGATTGACAGAAAAAACTAACATACAATGGCATTACCCTTGGATCAGTTCTATATTATCAGTCGGTCTGGTTCTAAAGATTACTTAAGAACCAAACAGATTCACTCATCAGGGCGACGGCAAATTCTGTCTAATCCCAGCGGTTCCTGTTCATATAGTAAGACACAGCTTCGTGAATACTTCCCATAAAGGCAGAGAACAAGCTTTTTTAGATTTACCTCTGTATTGTCATAATCATAGCGAACAAGAAACACGCAGTTACACCTCGTGTTGTCATGAATCTCTCTCTTGATATTCACAACATGAGCATCACAGTATAGTGCTTGATCCTCCCTTTCCTGCTCATTAATCACCCCAAGTATCCATTCTTAAATTTGAAGTTTCGCTCAAGGTTATAATTAGATCAAAGTAAACCCTTACCTGAAAACATAGCAGCAGGTCTCCAACATTCACTCTCCCACACTCTGATGGTACTACAGGAATAGACCGCTCACGCACTGACGTTCTGACGTTTACCCACTCATCGTGTCCGTTGTCGAACCCAGAAAATCGTACACGCACTTCCTGTTGCAGACACTCTCAGATGCAGACAAATCAGCCATTGAACAAAAGCGAAGAACCTTACCAGTTCACCCGTGCGAAGAACTCTATAAGTTAGGAACGAAGACACGTCATACCTGAAAGACCAGAATTCCAGCAACTAAGCACAGATATAAAGCACAAGGTTATATTACATGTTTTGAAGTTCAGACTGAACATAGACTTAGGTTGGTGCATTGCTTGTTAAGTTTTTAAGAATCAACAGGGAATATATATTACATGTTTTTTACCTTGGCCAGTTAACATGACTATCAACAGGGAATATACATTACATGGTTTTTACTTTGGCCAGTTAACAAAGTCATGTGTTAAGAGTTGCGCTTAACACATGATAATATGATATTCAATGGTTTAAGCATTAGGGTTTTTATTACATAGTATCATGTTAAGCATTAGAGTATGTTCTTGCATTAATTGCTTAAGCATAGGGTTTTTATTACATAGTATCATGGTAAGAGTATGTTATAACTTGTTCTGTTTGCAAATCCAAGAGTTAATCGAAACATGATCATATGATATTCAATGCAAGAAAAGCGTGCTTACCACGCGTAATCCCTTGCTGATTTAGCCTCAAAAGCGAGATCAGATACATCAGAGGCCTTACCTGTGTATCAAAATGTTTAGAAACTAAGAGAGGATAGGCAATAAACGAAACTAATAGGGCACACAAGAAAAGGAAACCAGCCTTTTGGTCTTTGACCACATGTAGCGTTTCCGACAACATTTCCGGCATTTCCGGCATCACTGAGATTTGATAAGTCAAAAATCTGCAAAGGGGGAGATGGCACAGTCTTCTTGAATTTGGCTTGATTTTGCTGTTTCTGCTTCCCTTGAAACCAACTCTGTACCTAAAAAACGTCAATTAAAAGAGGATATTACTTCTTTTGGCCTACTTGAGTTTACCAATTGAATGAAGAAAAAGAGACGCACTTGTTTCCAGGTTATTGTTGATGACTTTCCATTCCGATTCACAGAGGAGCTTTGATTCCCCGAAAGAAAATAGTGGAACAAACATAAAGAATTTAGATATCCAGCATGAAAATAAAAACTGATATACAAACACACAAACAAAAATCTAACCTCACAAATCCTCCTATTCAGAAAAATTCAGAAAATGTATGCAGCACCACGGACTCGCATCTCTATAATCTTTTGTCTACCAAACACATTCACAGGATAAGTCCAAAAATACCTAAAAGTGGAGGCAACAGTTTGACAAAAGTCCTTGTGGAGAGATTGATCACCGAGCTCCTTATAGAGATTCTCCATGTCTACAATCTTCGTAGAAGAAGAGCAATAAGGTTACATCGCATGAATCTCTAATCTAAGAAAACAAACGACAGAAAAGCAAAGGACCTGGGCTAAGGTAAAATCGGTGAAATAGTTAGAGGAATCTTCGGGAGCATCCATTATCGAAGGAAGAAGAAGATGTCGATGTGCTATTTTGCTCTCTGCTGATGCCTTGGAGAGTGTTCACAGTGGAGGTCACAGTGTGCTTTAATTGGTTTGACTAACAGCCAACAGGGAGATGCGATGAGATGGGCCCAATATGGGCCCGAAATGAGTACTAATCTTCTATATGGGCATCCTCGTTTCTGGCCCGATCCGATAAGAACATTTTACAAAATTGCTAAACATTGACCATACACATTAGGTGATGTATTAATCTATGTTAAAATCACTAATATTTTTATCCACGTAAACAGCAAAAATTTCGGATAAAAATTTAATCAAAGCAGTTGGAAGCCGCCTCGGGGAATCTTCCGCGTCATGAGCTGGTAGTGGAGTTTATATTAATAATTCATGATAACTGACATCTATTATTAATCAACTAGTATCTTATTTTGTTTAATTATTTACTCCTCAATTCAGGCTCTTCCTTATTTTTCGACAATCAAGGGCTTTAATTTCTCCCATACATGATTCTACTATACTCCCTCTGTTTCATAAAGAGTGTCGTTCTGACATTCTTCACACAAATTAAGAAATAAGATAAAAAGTCTCTTATACCCTTATTAATTTGCAGAAAATGACTCTTGGAATTATATTTATAATTAATTTTCTGAATTTATTGAGGTTAAAAATGATATTTTATATTAAAAATTACATTGGAATTCTAAAACGATACTCTTTGTAAAATGGAGGGAGTATTAAAAATTGAAACATAAACACATAATACACGTGCCTTTAAACATTTAAAACGCAAATAATCCCTTAACATTGTTGAAAATGATGGCAAAGGGGAGCGTTTTGACCGAGGCCATGTGCTGTCATTGATAAAAATGGAGTCAAAATGTTTGAACTCTATCTTCATAAGGGTTAGACATGGTATTAACCTAATTGTTTAGTATAGTAGGCTAATTAAAAATTGTACATATGAAGTCCAGCTTCTCTTTATTTGTTCTCCAAAATTGTAATTAGTAGTCAATAAATAACGACTCTCATCCTTGTCATTACCACTGTCATACGTATCAATAATCCATGAATCTAGTAGTATTAAACAAAGAAGCCACCTTTCTCTATTGTTCACGAGAGATGGTGAGGAAAAACAAACACATAAAAGCCAAAAAGAAACAACCTGGCCTGACTAGCTACATCATGTGGCATCATACTCTTAGAAACGTATTACTATATATTTAAGTGGTGCGTGATTGATTGATTAAGCAGCCTTTTATTTCCCACATGTTTATTCTTTTTTAAAAAAAGAGGTTCCATTATTACACGGATTGATAAAATAATCACAAACTTTAGGACTCAATCATGTGCATAATTTCTTTCCGTTTGGTTTTGACTTTTAGTGAGAAAGAGAGAAGAAAAAAAAGTAACAGAGAGGACCCGAAGGAGCTTGCAGAAGTCGTTGTTCCTATTTATCCTCGTCTCTTCGTCATTTTCACCTACTCTCCCTCTCTTTTCCTCTCTCAATGTCGCAAAAACACGGAAAAATACATCCTTTCCCATTCCCATCAACTTATTTTTGACCTTTGACTCGGCAAAGTCTTTACTTATTTTGCTCTGTTTCTCTAACCAAAATTTCATATCATCTGAATATGGTCCCTCATACTATATAGTCTGAAAGAAAGAAAGAAAGAAAGAAAGAAGAAACATCAACTTAGTAGAAGCAAGACAATAGATTCATTCATCGGGTCTCAAGATGGATTACGATCCAGCTCACGCTATGAGCAGAGGAGGGAGTATGCGGAGAAGCATAAGCCGAAGTGTGAGCAGAGCAAGCAGAAACCTTGAGGACATATTCTCACCAAGCTCTAGACGAACCAAATCCGTCAACGAAGACGAAGAAGCTCTCAAATGGGCTGCCATCGAGAAACTCCCAACCTACAGCCGTCTCCGCACCAGTCTCATGCCCGCCGTTGGAGAAGACGACCTCTACGGCAACCAAATCCTCAACAAGGAAGTCGACGTCACCAAGCTCGACGGCGAAGAACGCCAAAAGTTCATCGACGCAGTCTTCAAGGTCGCAGAGCAAGACAACGAAAGGATCTTGACCAAACTCAGGAACAGGATCGACAGAGTCGGGATCCAACTTCCGACAGTGGAAGTCAGGTACGACCATTTGACCGTGAAAGCAGACTGTTACACCGGAGACAGATCTCTTCCGTCGCTTATTAACTCGGTGAGGAACATGGGAGAATCTGTTCTTGGCATGATCGGAATTCAGCTTGCCAAGAAAGCGCAGCTTACTATTCTTAAAGATGTTTCTGGAATCGTCAAGCCTTCAAGAATGACACTTTTGTTGGGTCCTCCTTCTTCGGGGAAGACAACGCTTTTGTTGGCTCTTGCCGGTAAACTAGACAAATCTCTTGACATCTCTGGTGATGTGACTTACAATGGTTACCGTCTCAACGAGTTTGTTCCAATCAAAACCTCTGCTTACATTAGCCAAAACGATCTTCATGTCGGTATCATGACCGTTAAGGAGACTCTTGATTTCTCTGCTCGGTGTCAGGGCGTTGGTACCCGTTACGGTATAAATCTTTTTCAACTAACATATATTCATTCTTAATTTTTGATATATTGTTATTTTTATTCTCGAATGAAACAAATCTAATTTGTAAATGGTAGATCTTCTAAATGAGCTGGCAAGGAGAGAAAAGGACGCTGGGATTTTCCCTGAAGCTGATGTTGATCTGTTCATGAAAGCCTCTGCTGCTCAAGGCGTCAAGAGTAGTCTCATCACTGATTACACTCTCAAAGTCAGCCCTTTTAAACTTAAACCTTTTTTTAATCTTGGATAAATGTTATGGTTCTTATGATTATTCAACTTAGCTCTTATAGTATAGTTGACCGGTCAGTATTAATGGAAAAAGTTTTAATGAAACAGATTCTAGGGCTTGACATTTGCAAGGACACAATAGTTGGAGATGACATGATGAGAGGTATTTCAGGAGGTCAGAAGAAGCGTGTGACAACCGGCGAGATGATCGTCGGGCCAACTAAGACTCTGTTCATGGATGAGATATCCACTGGGCTTGACAGCTCCACGACTTTCCAAATCGTGAAATGCCTGCAACAGATCGTTCACCTCACAGAAGCCACTGTTCTCATCTCTCTTCTTCAGCCTGCTCCTGAGACTTTTGATCTATTCGATGATATAATCTTACTGTCGGAAGGACAGATTGTGTACCAGGGACCAAGAGACCACATTCTAGAGTTCTTTGAGAGCTTTGGCTTCAAGTGCCCTGAAAGAAAAGGAACAGCTGATTTCTTGCAAGAGGTAAAAATATAGATCTATCTAGCTTTCTTGGTATTCATATTTGGATCCAAGAAAATGACATTTATACCAATTTACATTTGCGTGTGCAACAGGTTACCTCTAAGAAAGATCAAGAGCAATATTGGGTGGATCAAAACAGACCTTATAGATACATTCCAGTGCCGGAATTCGCCAGCAAATTTAAGACATTCCATGTTGGAAACCAGCTTTCCAACGAGCTATCGGTACCGTTCGAAAAATCTAAAGGCCACAAAGCAGCTCTAGTGTTTGACAAGTACTCAATGAAGAAAACAGAGCTTCTCAAAAGCTGTTGGGACAAAGAGTGGATGCTCATGAAGCGAAACTCCTTCTTCTACGTTTTCAAGACAGTCCAAATCATCATCATCGCTGCAATCACGTCTACTTGTTTCCTCAGGACAGAAATGAACACGAGGAACGAGAATGACGCCAACATGTACATGGGTGCACTGCTGTTCGCAATGATTGTCAACATGTTTAACGGTCTTGCTGAGATGGCCATGACGATCCAGAGGCTTCCCGTGTTCTACAAGCAAAGGGATCTTTTGTTTCATCCACCTTGGACATACACACTTCCTACTTTCTTGCTAGGGATTCCAATCTCCATCTTCGAGACTACGGCATGGATGGTGGTGACATATTACTCCATTGGATTTGCACCAGATGCAGGCCGGTTCTTCAAACAGTTCTTGATCATTTTTCTGATCCAACAAATGGCTGCGGGAATATTCAGGTTCATTGCATCCATTTGTAGAACGATGACCATAGCCAATACAGGTGGTATGCTCGCTCTACTAGTCGTGTTCTTGACTGGTGGTTTCCTTCTTCCCCGACGTGAGATCCCTGTTTGGTGGAGATGGGCTTTTTGGGCATCCCCTCTTTCATACGCTTTCAATGCCATCAGCGTCAATGAAATGTTTGCTCCTAGATGGATGAACAAAATGGTAATATCTTCTTAATTACTGTTTCTGTTAATGCTGAACAAAGGAAAGTTGCAAGGTTCTCATTTTGTTGTGTAATTTCAGTCTTCTGACAGGACGACGAGGTTGGGAACAGCGGTGCTTAACATGTGGGATGTATTTGATGATAAGAACTGGTATTGGATTGGAATTGGAGGCTTGCTTGGTTTTACTGTCGTCTTCAACGGTCTTTTTACACTCGCACTTACTTATCTAGACCGTAAGTTTCTTTTGTATTTGGATCCCTTTTCGCTGTTACCAGCTCAAAAGGATATTGACATGTCTTTTATGCATCATAACATAACAACAGCCCTTGGCAAGCCACAAGCTTTAATTCCAAAAGAAGATGGAGAAGAAGAGGCAAAACAAAATAGTAAGTAATCCTCTGTTTACACATATGAAGAATTCATATAAAACTCTAAATATATATTAAGAATTTCTATACTCGTTATCTCATCAGGAGAGATTCCGATGGAGAGTATGAGCAACAAGAAAGGAATGGTTCTTCCATTTACTCCTCTAGCTATGTCCTTTGACGACGTTAAATACTTTGTTGACATGCCAGCGGTAATCCTTTGAAAACTAGTTCAACTTTCTTCTTATTTTCATTTTCTTCTAAGTAGTGTGATACTATATATTCAACAAGAAAGGAAGCTTTTACTATCACAATCACAGTTGCATCATTTTTATATTGTAGCAGAAACAGAGGAGTAGTTGAACTTTTATTAATTAGTATTTGATATAAACTCATAAAAACTTTGATGGTACAGGAAATGAGGGACCAAGGAGTTCAAGAAACCAGGCTGCAACTTCTAAAAGGAGTGACAAGCTCGTTTAGGCCAGGAGTGTTGACAGCATTGATGGGAGTGAGCGGCGCGGGTAAGACAACTTTGATGGACGTTTTGGCCGGAAGAAAAACCGGTGGATATATAGAAGGAGACATAAGAGTATCTGGATTCCCAAAGAAACAAGAGACATTCGCAAGAATCTCTGGTTACTGTGAGCAAACAGACATTCACTCTCCACAAGTTACCGTAAGAGAATCCCTCATTTTCTCTGCTTTCCTTCGCCTTCCTAAGGAAGTAAGCAAAGAAGAGAAAATGATGTTTGTGGATCAAGTGATGGAATTGGTGGAGTTGGTTAATCTGAGAGACGCAATCGTGGGTTTACCTGGAGTCACGGGGCTTTCCACGGAACAGAGAAAGAGATTAACAATAGCTGTCGAACTTGTGGCTAACCCTTCAATCATCTTCATGGACGAGCCTACTTCAGGGTTGGATGCTAGAGCAGCTGCTATTGTAATGAGGGCGGTGAGAAACACAGTGGACACAGGTAGAACTGTGGTTTGCACCATACATCAACCTAGCATTGATATTTTCGAGGCGTTTGATGAATTACTACTAATGAAGAGAGGAGGACAAGTGATATACTCAGGTCCATTAGGCCGAAACTCTCACAAGATTGTTGAGTACTTTGAAGCCATTCCTGGAGTGCCAAAGATTCCTGAAAAGTATAACCCGGCTACTTGGATGCTCGAAGCCAGCTCCCTAGCGGCTGAGTTGAAGCTTGGAGTTGACTTTGCTGAGCTATACAAGTCCTCTTCTCTATGCCAGTGAGTGAACACAATTCTTTTATATATATATATATATATATATATGTTAATAATGATTTGATGCATCCAATGAATCTAACTAACATATGAATGTTGTTGACACAGGCGAAATAAGGCGCTGGTACAAGAACTAAGTGTGCCTCCAGAAGGAGCATCTGATCTCTACTTTGCGACACAGTTTTCTCAGAACACATGGGGACAATACAAATCATGTCTGTGGAAGCAGTGGTGGACGTATTGGAGATCTCCTGACTACAACGTTGTCCGGTTCATCTTCACACTGGCAACAGCTCTTATGATCGGTTCTGTCTTCTGGCAAATCGGAGGCAAAAGATCAAACGTGCAGGACTTGACGATGGTGATCGGAGCAATCTATGCAGCTGTTGTATTCGTGGGAGTAAACAACTGCTCGACTGTACAACCAATGGTTGCAGTGGAAAGAACGGTTTTCTACAGGGAAAAAGCAGCTGGTATGTACTCAGCTATACCTTATGCTATCTCTCAGGTGACTTGTGAGCTACCTTATGTCTTGGTTCAGACCACATACTACTCGCTTATCGTCTACGCTATGGTCGGATTCGAGTGGAAAGCTTCCAAGTTCTTGTGGTTTCTCTTCATCAATTACGTCTCTTTCCTCTACTGGACTTACTATGGCATGATGACCGTCTCCCTCACGCCTAACCAGCAAGTTGCTTCTATCTTTGCATCAGCCTTCTATGGTATCTTTAACCTCTTCTCAGGGTTTTTCATCCCTAGACCTAAAATTCCCAAGTGGTGGGTCTGGTACTATTGGATCTGCCCTGTGGCTTGGACCATATACGGCTTGATCACCTCTCAATACGGTGACGTGGACACTCCCATCGCTCTCCCTGGTGGTCCTCCTGGCCTCACTGTGAAACAATACATTAAAGACCAATACGGTTTTGAATCAGACTTCATGGGACCTGTTGCAGCCGTCCTCGTTGCCTTCCCTGTCTTCTTTGCCTTCATCTTCGCCTTTTGCATCAAGACTCTCAACTTCCAGACTAGATAAAACTCTCCTCTCTGTTTTTATTTTTTCTTGTGAAATATTTGTTGCAGTAATTAAAACTCTTTCTTTGCTTTTTGTTTTTGTTTTGCTTACACAAGATATATTGAAATATGCATAATAATGATATGTACATGATCCATTTGAATATCTGTAACATGAGAGTAACCAAGCATACAAATCAAAGATCCAACAAAATTATAAAATTGAAACAAAGTACAATGGAAACATAAACAGTTCTCTTACAATCAAGCGAGCAATTCTTCCACCTTAGTGTCAACAAAATTTATCCATATAATTCACTTCTTTTTCTCATGTCTTATAACATCCTTGTTTAACAAAAATTCTGATTAGTATAACTAATTAATGTGGTTTTTTTTTTCTTAAAATTGTTTTTTTCTTCTTCTGAAGTTAATGAAAGTGGACTCTTACCGTATGTAAGGCCGAAACTACCGACTGAAGAAAGCGTTTTAAAGCCCATAAAAAGATTTTCATCTCTTCCAACGACTCTGTTGAAGGGTTTCGAGCGAATTACTTAGCAGCGGCGACGATGGGAGACAACACCGCCATGGAGAAAACCGCGGATGAGCTAAGGCATGAGATCGATGAGCTTCACCGTCAGCAGCGAGAGGTACTTTCATCTCCACCTCAGTCTCATTCTCAGTTTATTAATCTCTGTTTGGCGGCGATGGATTTTTATTTATTTCTACATCGTAATCAGATTACGGAGAGGCTTCGTGACCCTCGTGGACTCCGCCGAGGAGGCCTCTCAGGCGCTGCTCCTCGCAACTTAGCCCGTAGAGGCTTTCTTCGACCTGTAATTTTTTTCCTTGGCCTTTCCTCTCTTTTCTCTCCTTTGACATGTAAAGAAATTGCGTTAATAAGATTATCGGATTTTGTGTATTTGAAGGCGAATAGGAATGACGTTGAAGATGAGCCTCCTGCTAAACGGAGATTGTCTTCCGCCGTTGTCAAGGTATCTGAAGACTCTTGTTCGAGAAGTAATGCATTCTCGTTAATAGATCGTAAGAAGTGGTTTTCTTATAGATCTTTACTCGATAAACGTAGGTCGAAGGTGAAGATGTTAGTAGAGATGAAGAAATGCCAGTTGATGGTGGCAACGAAACTCAGGTTTCAACTGAGACCTCTGATCAAAGTGACAAGAAGCTATATGGTCAGCATCGTGGAAATTGGTCCCATAGGGATGCCGAACAAAGAGGGACCAAGAAGGTAATCAATCACACATACTCGAGCGACCCTTCACTCCTTTTATAGTAGGGGATTTAATTGCGACCTTTTACTGAATAGTCTTCGTCGCTATGCTCTTAACAGGGTTATGAATCTTTTGCATTGCCTGAGCCTACACCAAGGGAATTACCTAAGAATGAGGATCCTAGTCTGGTTAATAGGAACAAAAGAATGCTGGGGAATCTTCTAGGGACGTTGGAGGTATTTGTTAAGAATTACATTGACATAGCTCTGCTCATGTTTCTCTAATCTCTCATGAATTAGCTTTTGTATTCTCACTTGTCTTTTCCCTTCTGCAGAGGTTCAGAAAGGAAGATAAGCAGCTTTCTGGAACAGATGCATACGCCCGACGGTCTGCTGCTCTACAAAGGGTAAGCCTACACTTGCTGTTGCTGTTTATTGAGGGAAACATCAATTTATTGACTTGGATTTGATCATCTTCATCTTCTATTTAAGACAGCATCTTCGTGCAGTTTTATTTTTTTACTTGACTAACGTTTGTATAGGAGCATAAATCTCTGAAGATATGATTTATATTTTTGGAATTGAGTCCTCTTGCACTTTAATTTGGAGATAATAATAATATTGCTCAGATAGGTGTACGTATCATAATATTTCCAGCTACGAGTGCGTTTATTTCTAAACTTCATTATTAGTACTGCAATGCATTAACACTGTTTGTACGCCGTATCCTTCCCACTCGTATAGGCTGAGCAAAAGGCTCGTGAAGATAGTGAACGACTGAGGCTGCAAGAGCGTGAAAATCTGACTGAAAAGAGGAAAAGAGATCTTGTAAGCTGCTTTATTCTATTTTACATAGTATTCCAAAGGGCAGTCTTGTGTAGTGGTGATCTGATATACACAATTTAACTGGCATAACAGACTCTTCGAGCGCGTGTTGCTGCCAAGGCAGAACAAAAGAAGTTGGAACTGCTATTCCTTCAGTGGAGTGAGCACCAGAAAAAACTTAGCAATTTTATAAGGTAGTGTTGAGATGCTGTTTTTTTTTATTCCCATAGTGTACCTTTACTTCCTCTGTAAGATGAGTCTTAATGATGAGTTTGCAATGTATTTGATTTGCAGGTTATTTTTAATTTCGGTCCAAAAAGTGTGCATATTCACAATTTTATAGAGACAAAGATAAGTTCCCATTCAAGTGCATACAAATGTTGATGGGAAAGGCAATGTTTTTGGTGGTATATGGCTTGCCATAGGTAGAAATTGCTAGCTGATAAATAGGTTTCTGTTTTAAACTTATTTTATTTGATTGCATGTGGACGGCTGTTTCAGGACTAAAGCAGAGCCACGGATATATTATGCACTAGCGAAGCCTTTGGAAGATGATACAACTGAGGTGGAGCAACAGAAAGAGCAGGTAAGGTGTAATTTTGTGAACTAATGGTTTGACAGGCATGCTATGGGATATTGATATGTGATTGGTGAGGTGTGGGCGCAGACATTCTTAGAATGGAAGGCGGCAAGGAGACAAGAAGTGAGCGAGTATCAGAAAGAGATAGAAGAGAAATATCTGGGTAATGTTGAGAAAGAGCTGGAGAGGTGGCAAAACGCAAGGAAGGCGAGGAAAGGGAACAACAACGAGGCGATGAATTTGCAGGAAACGATGGATAAGGAATTAGAGACGCATAGGATGGAGCATGGGCCAAAGAAAAGGAAGATACCTGGAGGAGGAGATGAAGAGGAGGAAGAAGAAGAAGAAGTAGAGGATATGAATGGTGGGGAGGATGAAATAATAATGGATGATTTACTGGAAGAGGGAGGAGATGGAAACAGCAAGGAAGTGGCAACTGAGACAGCAGAAGCAGTGGAGGGCGACAGTAAACATGAAGTTGTCGAGTCTTAGTGTGTGAGTTTGCGAGTTATGAAAAGTGAAAACTGAGATCATCTTTTCACAAGGGTGTAAGGTGTGGGAACTGCTAAAATCTATTCTGGAGTTATGATAGTTTGTAGGAAGGATTTGCCTTTGTGCGATAATTTTATTTCTATATCAACTATTGTGGCCATTATACTTGAAAGCTTCTGGCTCGATGGAAAGCTACCTGCGTTGACATTGATTCAATGACATAACAATCGTGAGCGATGGTATTTCACATAAGTTTGATGGTAGCGTCAGTGAAATTCGGTTCAAACAAAAGCAGGAATGGATTTTACAATCAAAGATATCATTTCAAGTTTCGCTCCAAAAGAAAAGGTTTTTGATGTCAAAAAATAAGAAAAGGACTCTTTGGGTCTATACAAGAAATCGTAGAACTCTTGGGTCTCTTTACAAGAAATCGTAGGACTCTTGGGTCTCTTTGTAAAAGAAAGAAATCGTCTACCGCTAAATCTCAACGATTACGACACGTGTCCATCAAAAGTGGTTACTCGTCATATCTAACGGACCTCCTTCATCGCCAACGATCATGTCTTCTCTCCACGGCGATGGCGAAACTTCTTCAACTCTCGGCGACTCTGCTGGAGTGCGACCCAGAAAGGCGAAGTAAGGCTCTGGTGCCGGTGAAAATCTTGAACCTACAATCCACGGCGACTCTGCCGGCGAATCCACCACGGGAGGCAAAGCAACGAAAAGTTCGGGAGACGGAAGGGCCTTGAGTGAAAGAAGATCGGCGAGACCGTGGACGGCGAGATGTTGGCCATAGAACAAACCAGGGAGGAGGAGGTGGACACCGTCGATAAAAATGGAGTCGTTGGAGGAAGAAGGCTTAGTGAGGAGGAGGTGGTGAGAGGGAAGGATCGTCGGGAGAGAGGAGGCGTTGGGGAGGGATCGGAGATCGGAGAACGGGAGGCGGAGAGGTACGGAGTGGAGGCGGAGGGTAGAAACGTAGAAGGAGAAAGAATGAGTCATGTCGAGATCAAAGAGCATGGAATCGGTGGGAGCGAAGAGTGTGAGAGACTCGACGGAGAGTAAATCGAAGAGCAGATCGGAGGTGATGATGGCGTTGGCGAAGAGAGCTCGGCCTCTGATGCGGAGGACTGTGATGGCTCTTTCCAATTCTTCCAAAGGAACTCCGGCGGAAGGATGAGTGAGGGAGAGGATGAGAGCACCGAGAAAGATGGCTCTGAAACAAGCGCACGAGAACGAGATAGTCGCCATTGTTGTGATTTGTGAAGAAGAAGAGAAGATGGAAGAAGCAAGAAAAAAAGCGGTTACGAGTTGTTATATAGAGAGAGGGGAAGCTTGGGAGGTTTTGTGGAGTCTGTTACAGACGAAAAATATTTGCGCTTTTAAATTTCTCCGCGCTTCCTAAATTTCTGGATTTGATTTTGAGCTATTTTGTCTGTGTCTACTAATACAAGCTAAGAGCCATTGATAGCATTTTCACCTTTTCAAAGCCGTAAATTACCATCCGATTTCAGTAAATAAACAACACCATTTTGGAGATATGCTGTAGCAGCTGTACGCCAAGAGTAGATGAAAGAAACGAGCTCAAAGTAGGATGCAAATGTTTTTGTTTTTTGTTTTTTTAATTTATTTTTTAACTTGACTGCTACCAAAAATGGTTAAAAAGTCGGAGGAACATATGGTCCTTATGTAATCTTAAGATGCAAAGTTCTGACCCGGTAAGTTCTCTTCTGCCGTACATAACCCTTAGGCCAAAGCCATTCGCTTCCTCGCTTCAAGGGCCTAGAGTAGAAACATGCAAACAAATTGAATATCTATATGTTTACTTCACAATAGAAAGAAACAATTCATGAAGAAGGACAGAAAGACAAGGAAAGGACCTGAGTTTCCCAGTTTGTGCAGCAGGTGCAAAGAGCTAGCAGAAGAGTTTGCAGAACGGCACCGGCTTGTATCCCCATCCAAAGGCCAACACCTTTCAGATGAATCCAAAAGGCTAAAGTTGCTGCAATGGGCATCCCCCAGAGATAGAAAGCTCCTAAGTTTATGTAAGCCCCTATATGTTGCCATCCGCATCCCCTCGCAATACCTGCAAACCATTAACCGACGGTTAGGAGTGCCAGAGAAGTGCCAGAGAAGCCGCTTAGCCACTCTGACACAGAACTAAAAGGGGAACAACAGGAATAGACATGAAGACTTGGGACTGTGATGAGAGATCCATTAGCAAATTGATTAGAAAAGAAGAGAAATGATTTCCAATTTATCATGTAAAAACACTCCAATGTGGAGATTCAGAAGCACTTGGCAGTTGCACTATGGGGAGAAGGAACAAAAGAGTAGATAATATCTGACAGTAGTTTGTATTTGAGTAGAGAAATAGGACCTGAGAGAACCCCTTGTAAACCGTCCAGTATGAGAGAAATAGAGACCAATGGAGCCATCTTTGCAACATAGTCTACGGTTTCCTTGTCACTGCTGAAAACATAGCCGAAAACATTCCTGCCGACTAATAGAGTCGTACTCACTATCAATGCTTCCATTACTGCAAGACACATTGCCGCGTAGACCACGATATGTGCTGCTCCAGAGTTTCCAGCACCTAATTCATTTGAGATTCTTGTGCTGCACAAGAAAAACTCTGCTTATGAACATGAAACCATATGATTCCTTGCCACAGTCATTAAGAATGCGTCAGCTCTTATGTGCTGCATAGTTAAAAGACTAAAGCTCTAACCTTGCTGCAGCCGCAATGGCAAGTGGTATTGAATAGATTGTCGCTATTGTTTGGAGACTGCCCATAAATTGAATAAAATTAAGTTTAGCAGATGCAAGTAGTTGACAACAAAAATTAAAAATGTAGATGCAAGGGGGAGTACCAGACAGAGAGCACAGAAGTCTCAAGTTGTGGATTGGGTAAGAGACCAGAGAGTAATATTATGAGTTCATATGACCACCACTCTAGGCTGCAACCCATAAAAGAGATTCTTTTTTAACAAAACATGTGGAGGCATTGAGAAGTGAAAGGCATACAGAAAAATGAAGTACCAAACCATAGCCGCAGAAGGAATAGCATATTTGAAGAACTCTCCAACGCCGTTGAATATCTCCATGGAAAGGGGTGCACGAGTCTTAGAACAGGCGGAGGAAAAGCACATGATGAATCCAAGAAGAATGGCATAGAGCCAGTTTGAAAAACCGAGAGCCAAGGCTCCTCCAAGAAAACCAAGCCCTGACTTGTAAACCAAAAGCCAGCAGAGTGGAAGGTGGAGACAGAAGACAAAACAAGAGGTGATGAGAAGAGGTGTTATCAAGCTCTGGGTTTGGAAGTAGCGAATGAGCGGCTGCAGAAAAGCGTAAGAGAACAGCCCAGGGATGAGCCAGGCCGCATATCTGCCGGATTCGTGTGCAATGGAGTGGTCTTGGCCAAGGAGTACAAGAATCTTTTCCATGTTGAACCATATGATAGAGAGAGGGACACAGACTAATGTGAGACAGAACATAGCTGTGTATGTCTGAACACCCATTTTCCGGTATAGCTTAGCTCCATAAGCTTGACCGCTCAGAGTATCCAAAGCACATGACATTCCTATCTAGCATCACAGGGCCAAAAAAAAAAAAAAAGAGTAACCATCAAATGCTGAGCGATATGCAATTTCCATAGTTCTGTGTAACTATTAACAGGGATAAAATGTGGCAATTGATAGGAGAAAAGGAATTAGTGTATGAATTAGAGGAAAGAAGGGAAAGGGAAAACAGACGATGAAACTGAAGCCAGTGACGTTGCAGAAGGAGGAGGCGAGGGAAGCGCTAGCGAGAGAGAGGTTTCCAAGGTGACCCACCATCACCATTGAGATGATCTGCAACAAGAACTGAGCGATAAGCACAGCCGCCATAGGAGCAGCGAAGCAGATAAGCCGCTTGAGCTCTTCGATGAGTGAACCGTCTCGCAGATCTCTCCATGTCACTTTCTCGACTCTGTCTACTGGTAGCAGCAAGCTCTCATTTGCGTCTCCCATGGCGAACACCAAAAATCTAGCCGCAGAGAGAGAGAGAGAGAGAGATTTGGGTTACTAATGGTGAAAGGTCAAACAAGGCGGTGAGGTGATGCTGTGACTTTCCTTCCACTTTCCTGCATGTCTCCGTTCAACAAATTTTCCCAAATCCAATAATTAAATAAATATCCTGGCCTAAATCCCAACTAATTTGCGCTTTACATGATTACTACAATTCTGTATCTTTATTGTTTGTCATCGTCGTAGGTAATATTGAATTGAATCAATTGGCAATATCATCTTGTGTGTGTGGTACTACAATTTTGTTTGACTCAAATTCGTGTTCCTCCTCATCTCACCAGAGCTTTTTACCTTTCCACACTCTTTTAGTCTTTTTCAATCACTGTGTGCAACTTTGGAAATGGGTCCAATCGAAGCTGGTAAATTTTCTTGGAGTTTTCTTCAAAAAGATCAACTAAAAAAGCTGCCATTTTTCAATGTTTGATTATAGTTTCTTCTCCTTTAGTACACAAGTGGCTGGGAGGAAGATAACAAATGATATCTTGAGCGTCCACGTGGAACAACTACAGATTTAGGTGTTTAGGAAAACTCCTCGTGCCACCGAACCCATCGGGCCGCCATTTCCTGCCGCCGGCTAAATTTGACGGTCAAATAGCCCAAAACTCTTCCACCACCATGTCTTCTCTTTCTTTCGCGCCCTGTGTCACCCATGCGCAGTTTAGCCACTCCCTCTCTCCCATGTTTATCCTGCGCAGGCTTCCCCTTACCCGCCATCTCCGCTTCTCCCGCAATAGCCGCGTCGCCTCCGTCGTCTCCGCCGCAGCAGTTCGCCAGGACGCCACACTCTGGACGCCGGCTCCTCTCTCTCATGTCGAATCGGCTGCCGAATCGCTTTTCCACATCTCAATCGATATTTCAGATTCCCCCGATCTCGTAGCCTCCTACACGCGCCCCGGCCAGTATCTCCAGCTCCGTGTTCCTGATGTCGAGAAGCCTTCTTTTCTGGCGATCGCTTCTCCTCCTTCCTTCACGGCTTCTCGTGGTGCTTTCGAGTTCTTGGTCAAGAGCATCGCTGGATCCACCGCTGAGATTCTCTGCGGGTTGAAGAAAGGGGAGACCGTCGAGCTTAGCCCTGTGATGGGTAATGGTTTCGACATCGATCAGATCCATCCTCCTGAGGAATATACCACGGTTTTGATTTTCGCCACTGGATCTGGAATTAGGTGAGGGGCTTTGTCCACTCTCTATTTTTACCTCGTTGGATTGCTAAAGTAGAGTTTTTTACTTCAAGTTTGATCGCTTCTTCTTAGTTAATATACAGTGCTCTAAGTATGGTCTAGTTTGAAGGTTTCAGTGCAGAGTATCAGCCATTTCTAACGTTTTCAAAGTCAGTATCTTGAATCTGGTTTAGATATAGTGCGGTGAATCCTCTCTGATGCTAAGCTCAATTGCTTTTATTCTTCTGGTTTATGAAGTTTGGGATCCCCTGCTGCTGATCGCTGCAACTATTTTTCATTTGCAATTTGCAAGTGTATGAATCAAATCATATTCAGAGGAGCTATGGACCTTTTTTATGCTGCTTTTCTTCTCTGTGTTAATGTAATTCTGAGACAGAGTTTATGTGTTGGCCTGGTCGAATCAACAATGTCTAGTGATGGCGATAGTGACTGAGTTACCGTCTTCACTTGGAATGTAATCTCTCATGTTCTTATCTGTGCAGTCCCATCCGCTCACTAATTGAGACAGGATTTGGCGCTGATAGAAGATCTGATGTAAGACTCTATTACGGGGCTAGGAACCTGAAAAGAATGGCTTACCAGGTTTGGTTCTTTCTCCCAATTTTTTTTCTTGAAGTTCATGATATCACTAGATAGAATTGTGTGCAGCTGAATTATAATCATCTTTTGATGATAAGCGCTTAGCCTAGCTCTCGCTCTGGATCTGACCTATAGAAGGATTGACCTTGGAAAACGCTCTCCATTTGTAGGAAAAGTTTAAAGAATGGGAATCATCGGGTGTCAAAGTTGTGCCGGTATTATCACAGCCAGATGATGGATGGAGAGGGGAAACTGGATATGTGCAGGTGAGACTGAGTAACATCAATCTAAATGATTAAACTCAAGGTGGATCAAACTAATATATACATCTCGTGTTGTATAGGCTGCGTTTGCAAGGGCTAAACAAGTTTCAAAACCTGGGGCCACAGGAGTGGTGCTGTGCGGACAGAGACAAATGGCTGAGGTATGCACTCTTTTGTTGCTGGGAACCTACTAAATGCTTTAAAGGATGTGTCTCTATATCATTGTTTGATTTGTGTTGTTGCAGGAGATAACCGCAATGCTTGTAGCCGATGGAGTCTCAAATGACAAGATGCTCAAAAACTTTTGACAGATATACATTACTTGTATCATCTTAAGTTCGTAACTTATACTGTACCATCATCATTATTCTTTTGCTACCAAAGTCTCTTTAAGGCTCCTCTAATTCATAAACACAGATTTTTGTAATCCCTTAAAGATAAATAATACTGTGTTGATTGTTACCACAACATTCATCTTAATGATTATTCCTGTCATTCCTACTTTGATAGTAGAAAATCGTACATGTACCAAGAAGAAAAACTTGTATATCTTGTATGCCAAAAGATATTGAGAAATTACAAATGTTTACTGCATATAATTTGATAAAACAAGTTGCAAACTTATAATAGAATCTGTGTAATTTATCATGAGGAAAAATAAAGTCATGGACTCCTGTTAATTAGAGATAGGACTGCTCGCCGTTTTCATACAAAAGCGAAGGAGTTAGTGCCGTCTCCTTCGCGATCGATCCTTAGTCAATAAGGATCAAAGAAACCAAGAATCGAAGAAAGTAAAAAAAAATCGGAAGAGCGATCAAAGGGGATTTTTGATCCGCCATGGCTTCTTCGGCGCTCTCTAATCTGATGCTCGCCATTCACGAGAAGAAGACGAACTCAGTCGATCTCTACCGTCCTCTCCGCAACTACGTTACTTTCACCTACTCTGAGCGCGAGGCCCAGCTTATAGATGACGATCTGGAGACCCTGAAGCAACTCCGCTCCGATGTAGAACGCGTCCCCGATCCATCTCCGTCCGCCCGGCGAGACCTTCTCATCTCTTATTACAAAGCCCTTTGCCTTGTGGAGACGCGATTTCCAATCTCCCCCGAGCAGCATCACGTCAACGCCGTGTCTTTCCTATGGTACGATGCCTTCAAGCCGAAGCACAAGGCCACTCAGCAGAACATTAATCTGGAGAAATCTGCTGTGCTCTTCAATCTTGGCGCTACCTACAGCCAGATTGGACTCGGTCATGATCGCACCACCGTGGAAGGGCGTCGTCAGGCTTCACATGCGTTCATCGCTGCGGCAGGAGCGTTCGCGTACTTGAGGGACAACGAGTCCACTAAGGCATCGATCGGGCAGAGCAGCACCACCGTAGACGTGTCGGTGGAGTGCGTGGGAATGCTGGAACGGTTGATGTTGGCGCAGGCACAGGAATGTGTCTTCGAGAATACCATTGCCAAAGGAAGCACTCCTGGTGTTTGTGCTAAAATTTCTAGGCAGGTTAGTGTTGCTTCCATCTCTTTTGGTCCTGCAATTTTGTGCACATTTGATTTAATGGATTTTTCATGCCGGATTGATTATGAGTATATACGGTATACTACAATCTTACTTAGTTTTTTGGCGGAGCTTCTGTTTTACTGAACTTTGAGGATGTGACAAGGTCGATTGAATTTGCACTTCTTATTTGCTTGTAATCAGGTTGGCATATACTACGAGGAAGCTTTGGCTGCGTTAAGCGCTCCACCATTGAAAGATCATTTTGAAAAAGGATGGATTTGTCATGTGCAGCTGAAAGCAGCACTCTTCTATAGTGAAGCTTGTTATAGGTATGGAATAGAGTTGCACGAGAAAGAGGAAATTGCAGAAGAAATCGCACGTCTGAGGAGCGGAAGCAGCCGTTTGGCAGAAGCAAAGAAGTATTCAAGGGGAGCTCCTGCTCAGCTTATAGAAGCGATGAACAAACTAGAGGCGAGCATTAATTGCAATTTGGATAGGGCTGTCAAGGAAAACGACAGAGTGTACCTCATGAGAGTTCCTTCTCCTGCTTCTTTGTCTCCACTTCCCACCTTCTCAATGGTTAAGCCAATGAACATGACTGAGATATTGGATGCAAGCAAGGAGAAGATGTTTTCAATCCTTGTTCCAGACAGCAGTGCAAAGGCTCTCTCTAGATACACTGAGATGGTTGATGATGTAATTAGGACTCAGGCGGAGAGATTACAGCAAGCAAGCGAACTAACTCGAGTTAGGCTCAAAGAGATGGATCTTCCAGATTCTATTCTTGCGGTGGATGGTCATTTAACTCTTCCTGTTGATCTTAAAGAAGACGTAGAAGCTGTTCAGATCAGTGGGGGTCCAGCTGGATTGGAAGCTGAACTCCAGCAACTTAGAGATTTGAAGAGGGTTAATCAGGAACTGTTGGTGCACACTGAAGAGCTTTTGCAGAAAGAAGCATCTGAAGACGCTCAGTTCAGAAGCCAATTTGGGACTCGGTGGACGAGGCCTCAGTCTAGCACACTGACGAAGAACTTGCAGGATAGGTTAAATCGGTTTGCAGCCAATTTGAAACAAGCTGGAGAAAGTGATGTGAAGATTGAGCGATCCGTGAGAGATAATTCTGCCCTCATGTCAATTCTTGATCGACGGCCGGTATGTACTTCCTTTTTTTTGTATATCCCAGTATATTTCTCTTGCTGAGACTCAAAATGCTGCCGGAAGTTGTCTCTTAAGGTTCTTCATTTCGGTTAGCCTAGGACATGAAATCTTTGGGTTCAGGTTATTCAAATCACGCACTTGGGTCAGCACACTCAAATCTAGTATACTAATTCTTAGACGTTATGGTTTTCTGTTTTAATCATCAGATAGAATCTGCCGTCCCAACTTTAGCGAGGCCAATAATGTCTCTGGACGCAACAGAGGATGCTATCGTGGGAACTCTGAAGCAGAGTCTGGTAATCTCGATTTCCTTTGGAAGCAGCTGCAGAGTATATACTTTTGGGAGGGTTTTGGACTTCACGAATCATTATTCTCACAATTTTGTTTCCTTTTGCACAGAGGCAACTGGAAAATCTTGGTGCTCAGCGGGCAGGTCTTGAAGACATGCTCAAAGAGATGAAAAGAAAAGTAATACTTTTTATTAATTGATCATCATTGTCTTTCTTCAGTTATTGTATGATATTGGAGTCATTAGGATTTTCCTTGGTACTTGGTTTTAGGATGACATACTGCCAAAGCTGATGACATTCAGAGGCTCCTATGAAGATATGTTCAGGAAAGAGATATCAAAGTATGATCACATCTGTGAAGATATTTCCCAAAACATCGAAGTTCAAGAACAATTGTTGATGCAAATTCAGGTCTACCGCTTTTGCCTATTCTTCTAGTAGCACTTTTACTTTTCATTAGTTTTGTCCTTTTCTGATAACCAAATAACGTATAATGATGGTAACCAATATCTTAGAAAATTTAGTGTGCTACTTTCTACTGGGACTGAAATGATCATGTTTCACTGCTGTTAGAAACTGACTACTTTGATGGGTTTCTTTCCTTGGTTATAGGCTCAAAATGAAGAGTTCTCAACTCTTTTCAATCTAGAAGATTATAAAGGTGAGCAAGCAGCTTCTCTTGCATTAGCTCTCTAAATGCTATGATAAAACTGGCACATTCGACTTTGAAGAAATTGATTTTCTGTGTTTCCTTGTTCTTCAGCATCCAGAGAGAAGTGCTACAAGCAGATTCAAGCAGCTATATCCAAGTATCGAGAGATCAAGGAGAACGTCAATGAGGGCTTGAAGTTCTATGTCACTCTCCAAGTGAGTTTCTTTTCTGTATATAGTCGCCAGCTCTTCACTGTCTGAGCTTGTCTACATTTTGCCACTTGTCCGGTGTGGCACTTCAGTTTTGTATTTTACACACCTCATTGAGATACCAAAAAACTTTCATGCAACCTGAGACATTGTCTGTGTTGCGTTTAATAGGATGCAATCACGAATGTGAAGCAGCAGTGCAGTGATTTTGTGATGACAAGGAGTATCCAGTGCCGAGAAATGATTGAAGATGTGCAACGACAGATGTCTGGTCTGAGTTTTCAGGATCATAGAAGCTCCGGTCCATACCCATCTGTGCATCAGCCAACGGCTTCAAGTTCGCCTCCTCCGCCAGAAACTCAGAATCCATCTCATCCCCACCCACAAGCACCATACTATAGACCACCTGAGCAACTGCCAAGGCCTGGCTACTCTATCCCACCCTACGGTCCACCTCCCCCATACCACACACCTCATGGCCAGGCGCCACAACCGTATCCTCCTCAGGCCCCCCAACAGCCTTATCAATCATGGCAACAAGGCTCGTACTATGATCCCCATGGACAGCAGCCTCGACCTCCTTATACTTCCCAGAACCCATACCCACCTCCTCAACAAGGCGGCGGATACTACAGGCAGTGAATTGTACCTTGGAAAGCAATAAACTGTTGTGTTATTGTTCTTATTGTTGTGTTTCCTGTTAGTACTTGATGGATATACTACCTCTTTTTCATGTTTTTTGAATGAAATCTATGTTCAATAGTGACTCAAATTCTTTGAATTGTTTGTTCAAAGTAGAGACGATGTGATGGGTGAGAGTTGTGTAAAGCACATTATTCATATATATAATTCATATATAAATAAGGTCATTTGCATAGAGATTTGGAAACTGGAGGACATATATCAGATGTAACGACGGCGAGTGAGAAGGGTAAAGATCATGATGGATTTGTGTGTTTGAGGATTGAGTATGAAAGAGGATTGAGCAAGTTTGAGGGAGTAGCGATCAAACAGGTCATCGAGGATATGGTGGCCAAAGTGTGACCGAATGAGACCTTCCAGCACCGCTCTGAGATACTGAACCCTCGACTCGAGGTCAGGCATGGTGTCGTATGCGTAAATACCCTCCAGTGTCTCCATTTTCTCGAGCTTCAACTCTCCATTGCTTCTGATGATGTCTTCCAGTTCCTTTGGAGTTGTGTAATATATGGGCAGGTTGAAACTGTCTACATCCTCCTCCTTTATTCTTCTCTGTAGTCAAAGTGTTTTAGGTCATTTTTAATCTGTCACAAGTTCTTATTTTATAAAGAAAACCACCAAGTACCTCTCTGGCCATGTCCATGAGGCATGAGCCTAACAAATCAAACTCGGATCCTGTTGAAGCCTGAGAATCGAGAAACCCATCTGGTACACCGGGCACGATCAGTGCCATCAACCCATCTTCTGCGAGTTCCCGTGACCTTGCACACAAAAACGACTTGATATCCTTCTTGTACTGACAGGAGTAGGCTTGTGCAACCTCTGCTGATGCTCCCGTGTAGTGAATCCTGCCTTTGTTGTAAGCAGGAGAGGTTGTGTCTCTTATCTCGTGTGGCAAATCGGAGAGCCAACAGAGAGCGCAAGAGGAGTATGCTAAGTTGAGATACGCCTTGGGAAACAAGTTTCCATAAAAAGATCCGGGGACACCTGCTTCGCAATGGGACCGAATATTAAGTGGAGGAGTTACTTATGCTGATTTGAACTAAGTAAAGTAGTGGACCTGCAACGAAATAGGGACGTTGAGGAGGGAGCAAAGCAAAGAGTGAATTGAAATCAGTTTGCGGGAGGTCGTTGAAGAAGACTTGAAACTCAGGGGTTTTAGCATTAGGCATAGAAGAGCTGAACTTGTGAAGGAGGGTCTGAATGATGATGTCTACAGCAAGAAGGGTGTTGGGGCCAGAGGAGCATCCAAAGTCTGCGATGGTAAAAGAAGAAAAGGAATGGTCGGTGAGGTCGAGACGTTGGTAGATCTCCTTCCTAAGGAGTGCTTCAGCGGCGTCAATGGCTCCCCTCTACGCAGCACACACACAATTAAACATGTTGGTATATGCTTAGAGAAAAGGAAGTGGGAGAGTGATGTATATGGAAACCTGATAGGAAGAGTTGCGAGCGTAGCTAGAAGGACCATCTCCACCGTTCATGGCTGGCTGTGTGATGCGATGGAAGTAGACTCTTTTCTAAACTCTTAAAATAAAAGGGTGAAATGGGAGAATCTACATTATTGGTGTAGAGTGCAATGATAGGTCAGGGAGAAACGTAATTTGACTCAGTCTATTTGCAGGCCCAATGTGCCCTACATCCCACTCTCCCCCAAAAAATGTCCTTCAGAGTCGCGTTGAGATGTCATTTCACGCCAACACACACGTAGCATGGGGATATCTCTTGTAGCCGCCATAACACACGCCACATGGGGATTATCTCTTGTAGCCGCCATAACGGTTATCTTTAGAAGCCCAATATGTTTCAAAGGTTAGGCCTCAACTTTGGGGTGGCTTTAACTAATCTTAGTTCTCATCGTACGGTTAATACCGGAGGCCTGAAAATCTATCAAGCCTAATGATTTGTTCAGTGCATTGTGGAGGGAAGAATAAGGCACATACTTGTTATTAGGCATGCAATTACTCAAGAAGAACAATAACAACATCTGTAGCAAAAATATAATAACCGCAACTTGCGAGAGAGAAACAAAAACAAAACCGAGAAGCAGAGCCATTTGGCATTCAGGTTTGCAGTTAAATAAAAAGTTCCAAGATTCACTGCGTTTTATACATCCTTTCAAACCAAAAGAAGAAGAATCAAGACAACATAGCCTCCAGCTTCGCCTCTTTTCATTTCAGTTTTGCAAAAAGCTTGGGTGCAACCTGAAGATTCAAAAATCCAATTTCCTCTCAGTATCAAATAGTAAAAGGAAGATGTGAACAGCAAAGCATCTATCTCAACTACTTACACATTTGTCAATGCAATGCCAGTAGTCGAAATACTGCCCAGTGCAATGCTTGTGGCCAGAGTCATCACCTTGGATTCTCTTGACACACGCCTGAGAACAGCAACAAGACTTGTATTAGTCAAACAAAAGAGCTTCACACAAATGGCAGTGTCTCAATCTTACTAAACAACTCATAATCATATATTGTCAAAACATCAGTTTAGCGTCAGTTCACCTGATAACTGAGTAGTGGCTTCACACATTTTGGTTTGCACGATTCTTCAAGGTACTTCTTTGGATCAACAACTTCATCGTCTGCCCTGAAATAATCAAAAATGAAAGGAAAAAAAAAACCATCACATCATCCCCAGAGGATAAAAAATTAATCCCGTACGATGGTAAACAAGAATCGTCTTTTCGAGAATGGAAACGAAAATAATAGATGTTGATCACACTTTGACAGAAGATCATTCTTACAAGTTTCAGCTCTGGTTATTTGATGCAAAACCAAAATGGATCGAACCGATTATCTATGGAAAACGCTACTGAGCAAAAAACTAATCAAGGATAAACCACATCTCAATCCGCAAGCTAACCTTAACATATGGAAGAAGAAGATATGGGAAAATTAGTACTATTTGCAGGTAAACTATATCTAGATCATTATGTATTACACACTATAGAGCACAATACAATAAGGGCGATGATGATTCCGGTCTAATTGCCCATTTCTACACAATATGAGATCCAATCTACACAACATGATGTGGAGATTGATAATCAAAATAAAAGAATGTCATCGAGTTTAAGGAATATGCTTACATGGCGGAAAGTCAATCGGAAGCTGTAAACTGCAAGACAAAAGATGAGATTAATGTAAGAAAATAGAACCGATTGGTTTGCGGGACGATTACATCAAAACGAAGGAAGAAGATCTAAAAAATGGTGAAATCGAAAGTGGTGAAGAAGATCCACTGAATTCTTATTACAAAACAAAAGATTAGCCAATACCTGATAGAGAGATGAGATCGAGACCCGAACGAGGAACCCTACAGATGTTGTTTTGAGTCAGTCTTCAGAGTTCTCTAGATTCATTTTTCATTTGCCTTCTCGATGGGTCTCTGATGCAATTTGGGCCCAAGCTACGTAGAATCGTAAAAAGCCCAGAGCCCATTAAAGACTCGAGAAGCAGAGCATCCCACCCAAAGATTCCCTATAAATGATATTTTCTTTTATATTCTTAGTCATCTCCCATAGGTCATCTCTGACGACATCTTTTTGGCTTCTGAGGAAGTTGGGAATACAATATGATGTTGGAAGAGTGACGAAAGATGGTCAATATTGTCGTCTTAGATGCCAAATTCCCATTTTGCAAACATAAGAAAGATATAAACACATGTGAGATGTTGGGCGGCACGTCATACAATCTAATAATTTGACTGTCTTTTTCATTTATTTTCGTCGTAAGAAAAAATCATAACTTATATATGTTGATTGAATTATATGCTAATACAAAATATTAGGGAGAGAACTCCGTTGCAATTATATCAGACAGCCTACCACTGTTGGTCTCTAAATATGTAATGTACAAAGAATGTCGTTGTACCATGTTTATGTATATGATATAGGTATGTATATATAGGTACCTATATCACATACCCAAAAAAAAGAAGACAACAGCTTTGAATAGCATATTAAAATAGTACTAGTAATAGAGTTAATAGCAGTGAATAAGTGATGAAGTTAATGGCAGCAATATCTTCAATGATAATAGCATTGATGTCAGTAGAAGCACGATAGTGTTGTCAATGCCATGTAAAGATTGACAGAATGTTATTAACGTGCGTTATACACTAGTAAAATGTGTGAATGGTAACCAAATCAACATTAATGATTTTAATGTCATTAACATGTTTACCATTTCAAACCAACATGTTTGTCAGTTTGGGTGGGCAGAATAAAAGATGAAAGCAATTTTGTTGCATGAAAGAATTGATGAAAGCTCTGTAATGTAAATATCACACAACTAGCCCTAAAGAAAATTGCATTTACATTGTTCTTCTCCCTATTTACAAAAACCAAAACCTACAATGGCATTTGACTGTCTCACCTCTCTCTCTCTGTCTCTATGCTGCAACAATAAGGACCACTAACCAGAGTCTCATCTGCTGCAACAATAATGACGAGCTTAGCGTCTCTTTCTCTCGAGGGTCTTCTGGATCTTCCATGTCCAACCCAGCAAGAAGGCCACAAGTCCAAGTCCCACACTTCCCCAAAGTGTCACTACCCACAATGGCATTTCTGTTGGGTACAATCCTGTTTTTGTGGCACCCCACAACCAAGTTGATACACTATGTAACTATAATTTTTCTTGAATAATAATAACGTCAAGCAGAGCATATGTAAGCAACCACTTACCACTTCCAAACTTGATGCAGATGAGAAGTTCTACTATGCAAATCCCCAGTGACAGCCAACAGAATGATCCCACCTTTTTCACAGGTTTCCTGTGAACAACCAAATTTTTGCCAGTTATATATAAAACCCTATCTCAACTAACACAAACTAACATCACAGTGGCTAATAAGCTAATACCGGTCTTGGAGATATGAATTGTATTCCCGTGTTGTTGGTATCGCTATGAGCCACCACAGGATCAGCCTATAAAGAATCACTGGGTTTCGAGGAGGGATCCACAGGCTAAACTTGAGGAAGAATGTGTTCAGCTCCACTGTCAAGAAGACGATGCAAAGAGTGAGTACTTGAATAAAACGCCAAGGTCCCTGCAGCGGATGCCACTCATCTTTGTCCCAATGAGCTGGTGTGAACTGCCCCAGTGTCCTTTTCACCTGAAAAAAATATTCAAAATTCTCAGCAAGCGTACAACGGCTAGGACCATGTATATGCACTCTTGAGGTTGAACAAAACCTTACTTTGCCAATAATGTTAGGCTGGCGGCTAATGCCAACCCACTCGTATGTTTTTCCATCAAAGTAGCGTACTGTATACATTCCTGCCCAGATCCCTACCCCAATTAAAACATTATAAACTGTTATCCACGACATCTTGGAAACAAGACATATAGAATTACAAGGTGGGCTTAAGAATCATACCAAACCAGTTGCATATCAAGATATCAAGAACAATACTGTCCCACCAGCACTCGTTGAAATTGGGTAACATGTGCCGAAAAGTAAGCTGGAAAACATATATATACATAAGTTTTGGTGACACAGAGGAAGCCATAGCCTTACATGTATCAAACTGAAAACTGGAAAACATATGGGAACGAAGACAAAAACCAACCTCCAATAGCTCAAAACCAATTGAAAGCACCCACAGAAGTGGCTGATTCCGGATCAGAATTGCTTTTCCCCACCATCCAAAGATGTGAGCCAAGAAAAACTCGTCAAATACTGTGTCCTGGGAAATTTTAACCAAAAGCATAAGCCTTTAGATGATATGAAGGTTATGCGCAACGACATGAGAAGCAGATGCTGAGACAAATTTGTGAAATAAAGGGGAGTTGTAGAGAAGATACCATACATAAAGATTTTTAAACCTGTTTGTTGGGTGATCAGGCACATAAATACGGCAATCAGCACCGTATGATCTCTCAGGAAGCTCTGCAACAGAGCAAACTCAATAAGAATGCTCACTCATAAAAGAGTGAATAATTAGCAATCCACTCTGAAAATATTACCGATTCCAAGGTCAGGGTGAAGAAACTTCATGAACTGCCGGGCATCATCGCGTCTCTGGGAGGAAGAATTTTTCAACTATTATTAGAGTTTGCTCACTAAAAGCAAGAACTCAAAAGAGCTATAATCACAGGCATAGGCAGTGTTACTGTATAGGGGGGGATATACAGAGAGAGGAGAAAGTGAACCTGGAAGAGTAAAAAAGTAAGTGCAACTAAGTAAATGACGGCCATGCCATGAACTAAGCGCCAGATCGCAGGATGTGGCCTGATTAAAACCCTGAATAAAGCAAACAACTTGATTAAAGACACAGCAGCACCAGTAAGTATCGCCATTGACAATCTAGAAGAGAGCATTATAAAAGAGAAGCTGGTTACGTTGAAGGGGCCTGGAGCAAAGAGTAAGCAAGAAAAACTGCAATCATAGCCCATACTCCTCTAGTAAAGAAACATAGTAGAGTAGTGTCAATTGATGGATTCAGATGAAAAAGAAAAAGAGAAAACATACATAAATAATGGGATGTAGGCAAAAAGGGAAGGAGAAAAGAAAACCTTTTGACAGAAGTGACAAGATCATCAGATGTGGTGCTTTCGGGATCAAGAGCTCCACTTGCCCAACTAAGTCAGTTCAAAAAAAAAAAACAAATTGAGGATTACAAGAAATGGCACAGAGGGGGGGGAAGAAACGCAGGAGGGAAGATAGACTCACATGAGAAAACATGCGCCAATAAGGAGAAGAGAGATTGTGCGAGGCTTGTAAGCCCATGCAGTCCATGGATCAAGATCAGTCTCAACATCACCATTGACTCTCCCAAAATGTTCCTTCCTTCTCTCTTTCCTGTGCCCATTGGGTTCCATGGCTTACAAACCAGCTTCTGAAAAGAGTTCAAAACCAAAAAAAAAAAATGAAGGAACAAAAAAAAAAAAAATAAGAGAGTGAGAGATAATTTGAGTTGGAAATGAGATTAAGAAGGGCTTTAGGAGCAACCTCGAAAGAAGCAAAGGGAAATAATAAAAGGTGAAAAGAGAGAAGAGAAAAAGGGAGACAATGGAGTAGATACGGAGAGGAGGGTACAAGGTACAAGCAGAGACAGAGAAAGGGTCTGTCTTTGCAGAGGTAAAAGAATAAGGAGATTTGAGTAAAGTAAAAATAAGCGAAGGGGAAATAAAAAACGAAATGGTTTAGGAAAAGAAAGGAGAGTAGATTTGAGACGATACCTGAGGAGGAAGAAGAAGAAGAAGAAGAAGAACCCTAACACGGTAGAGAGAGAGAGAGATTGATGGATTGATTGGAATGGTAGAGAATCAGAGGGAGAAGTAGGAATCGGAGTAGGAAGCTCGACGATGATGATGAGGCTCGAAGAATAATAAGAAAGAGGAACGGTCAAAGTAGAGAGAGAGAGGAATAGATACGCTTCTGCTTCAGCTTCACGATCTGAAAACGACTCTGCTTTCCTTCCCCCCACGATTTCCCCTTTTTATTATTTTCCCCGAATTACCCCTTCTTCCTCTTCTTCTTGCTCGATTTTTTTTTAATTATCTGTTCTTTTGGATTATCACAGTAGAAGATATTACTGTTCACAAATTAATTTCCCATTTCCAACAAAAAAAACATATACTCCAAATATCTGTGTTAACATTGCATCACCAAATTCATCCACACGATATACATTGATGACAAAATAAAAATTGGTCTATTTGATAGATAACCGCATGCATTGTCATCATAATTGGCAAAAAAAGGTAAAAAATAGAAGGTGTTTTCTGGTGTGACTTGAAGTTTTAAACACTGTGTCATCAGATTAAATCAAACATACACAAAGTCCATGTTATTTCTTTCTATCTTAAAAACAAAAAATAATCATGCCCCATAGTGTAACTCAGACGATTTGTGGTTTGAGAGGAAAATAATCCAACATTTTATGGTTTTGGAATGATGTACAAATGCAATAACTCAGGTGATTGTGTAACTGCAACCAAATAAAACAAATAAAACACATAAGTTGCGAAATATATTAATACTCTTATTTAAGTAATTGATTTGACAGATATTCCCAAAAGTACAAAGGATATGCAGGGGATAATAACCCTAATTAGTATAAAATAATTTCTTATTTATTTTGGTGAATAACAAAAATTAAATAGAAAAGGGGGAAAGTCATAGTATGGAATTTAAGAGAGAACTAAGAAGTGAATGATATAGACATGTCTCTGTGTTTCCTTATTATTGCTGTCAAAAAAAAAAGAAGAGAGACATGTGTCTATGTGCTTGAAAATGATCACAATAACTCTAGCATAGTTTTATAAATGTACAAATGTGTAGAGATTGGAAAACCTAGTTAATTCATCAAGCTCTTGAGTAAGATCACTAAACTGCGAATAAAAATAAAAACACCAAGGAAAATTGGAAAAATTGAAATATGAATAGAAACAAAGATAAACAGCTCATTCCTATAAGAAGACCATGCAGATGGAGACACCACTTGTGGTCACTTTTTTTTTGGTTTAAATCACTTGTGGTCACTTGCACTACATATCCCTTCTCTCTCTATCTATCTCATTTATTTTTATCTTTTACCTTTTCATTAGTAATAATAACCAAATAATCTAATAGTGGGATCAGTAAACACAACAAAAAGAAGTTGTTAAAAAGATGGGGATTTTTTGGAATTAAAGCGAGGATGATTCACAGGTAAATAAATAGTAGCAGAAGAAAAGCGTGAGAGAGAGAGAGGGATAATAATGATTAGGGTCAAAGTATATGATGAGACAGAGGGATTAGGAATATCGATTTGATGATATTCGAAATCATTGAGGTAGTAATGATTGGCAGAAGAAAAATCATTACAGCTCTAACTATATATTATCACTACATTATATATCATATATCGATCGATAAACACCAATAATAGTGTGATAATGCTTTCGTAATAAAGTACATACACCTGTAAGAAGTATAATTATGACGAAACTGTAACTAATAAGCCTATCAATTAATTGTTTTTCACCACAAGAGTTATACTAGTAAACTTAGAAGAATTTAATCTCATGTAAACGAGGGAGAGAGAGGGAGAGAGAGAGAGAAGTGTGGTCTACATCTAGAAATGATGCGAGGAGGACAACCTCAAAATAGTCAGTCTCGAGTATAAGTGTTAGCATATGAAGACAAGTAGCAAGAGTGGTCCATTCTTGTTTCTGATCCGTCCGGGCGACTTTAATTATGGTTTCTATTTTATGCATATCTCTGATCCACCACATGCTCCTAATTGCTAATACGACCAACCCCTAGAGTTTGGACATTTTTTTTTCTTTTAAGATAATTAAAGATAGTTAAGTTTCAAAGGCTTCTGATCAGTCAAAGCTTAAAATGTAAGTAAGAGAACTGAAATCAAATGTTATACTCTCACAAAAGAAAAGCGTCGAACTGGATTTTGATTTGTAAATCCATCGGATTAATACAAGAGAAATGATCACGACCACCCAATCCCCAATAAATTGTCCTGCAATGCGACCAACAACAACACATCTTCTAACTTGCTGCTTTCAGCTCAGAACAACCACCAATTGCTTCTTGTTAGATCCAGGCATTACGTCCAACTCTCATCATGTGATGTGATCCCTTTTCATTCTCAATCAATTTGGTATTATAGCATTTTTAGAAACCTATTTTGGAAAGTATTATTTTGAATGATTTTCTTGGAAACTGTCATGTGATTTTTTTTTTTATTTACCCAAACGTTACTGGAAATCAAAACGATTGAAATATTTGTTTTTTTTTTTGGCTGAATTAGTAGACTGGATGTATTTACATGATGATAGATAAACATATGAACATGTGCGCATCCATACTATATTAAATAAACTCTGGAAAATGTTTTTCATTAATATTTTTTTCACTAGAGTTGTATAAAAAGAAAAACAAACTCTGGAAAATGTTATAAAAGAATTGAAAACAAAAAAAAAACTTTCATTTGTTGTCCCAAGGAAAATAATGATAAAAGTGATAACGAATTGGGCCTTAAGGACTGCAAACTGAAATGGTCAAGCCCATGACGTATAGAAAATAGGCCCAAAGCAGGGTTTAATAGAGATTGGTCTGATTGCTTCAACTATGCCTGCGACTACTTGCATTCTACACCAACACCACTACTATTAAAACTTGTGTGGTTTCCCTTTGGCCACATCATGCTTAAAATGAATGGCCTCTACGTTACCTGCCTCTTCTCCAAAGATGAAAAACGAGAGATACTCATTATAATACTTTATTATAAAATGTTTTGACACCACTCAATGCTCATCTAATTGGACTTGGTAATCACCGATTAATTAAGCCCTTGCTAATTATGATATACGAGACAATACATCCTTTTTGTCAATTCCTTTTAAGCCTTCCCTTTTTGGAGTTTCTCTTTATTTTAACCCCATATCATTTCGTTATCTATATCAATGGTATGGTTTTATTCGTTCACTAATTAATGTGTTAATCAACTTTATTAATCCCAACTTGCGTCCTTTTTAATCAGCCGGTGGATTCCCAGATCTTTTGGACGGCGTAAACAGACTTCTTTTCTCCCACTTTCCTTTTTAAAATATAAACCGAACTTATAATTATATCTATACTGCATAATTAATACTTTGACAGCGTCGTTTGTCACCACTAATGTTACTTATCCTTCACTCGTTTGTTAAAGTTTTCTTCATTATGATAATGTTTTTGCTTTGATTTTCATTAACTACATCAACTCATCAAGTGATGTTCTATTCGAACTAGAAGCGCACTTTTGATTTTCTAAGTACTTATCGCCTTTTACCTACGATTAACCTTTTATATTTTAAAAACATTTGATCTGCCATTTCACATAACTTTTAACTAATTTAATAGCTATTCAAAATAAACTAAAATAAAATATGCAAAAATAAATAAATTATTGTGTCTAGAGGTATTTTAGTCATAACTTTATGTTATAAATCTTACTTATGTTAACATATGTATACTTTTGTGGTCAAGATGTTAACTTTCTTTTTCTGATTTGATTTACGTTTTTTTTTTTTTGTTGAGAAAAGGCTTTTGATTTACGTATATTATGAAGCTTTTTTGTCTAAAATATTTCTCGTTTTAAAGATTGGAATATGTAAGGTAGATACCGTAGAATGGATATGATTATTGGGGGTCCAAAACGTATAAAATATGCAAGATGGTGAGACAACAAGTTAGCGAGGATCGTGCAAAATCTTCATCAGTTCAACAAACTGTTCTCAATAAAACAATGTCATTTTTAATAAGAAAGACTAGTAAGTTGGTCCCGTCCGGCTACACATATTAAAGATTTGGTATTTAATTGGATGATCATCAGAGTGGTAAAAAAATGATAAAATAAGTGTTCACAATAAGATGAAAAAATGAATATTTGGAAAATATATAAAAATGATAAAATTTCAATATACAACTAAAGCATTAAATTTGGTGCATTTGTTAATTTTGTTTTTTATGTGCAAACTTTAGAATTCCGACTGTCTAATTTCATTTAGTGATGAATAAAAACGGGGAAAATAAAGGAACAGTGTGACAGCTATATATATATTGAAAATAAAGAGAGAGAGAAGAAGAAGAAGAAGAAGAAGAAGATGGGGCTACAAGGTCAGCTCAGTGACGTCTCTTCCGATTCGATTCCTCTGATGCTCCTCTCTCTCCTCGCCGTATTTTACAACCGTCTCCGGTCTTTCCTCCTCCATCTCTGCGCTTCCAATTCTAATCTCCCCGTCGACGATGGCTCCATCATAGCGTCAGGACTGGCCAACATCATCGTGCTCGCCGATCAGCTGAACCTGAACCGGTTATTCTCGTACCGGTGCGGAGACGAAGGCGGTTCGGAATGCGTGGTGTGTCTGTCGAAGCTGAAGGAAGGAGAAGAGGTGAGGAAGCTGGAGTGTCGACACGTGTTCCACAAGCAGTGCTTAGAAGGATGGCTCCACCATCTCAATTTCATCTGTCCTCTCTGTAGATCTGCTTTGGTCGCCGATGGTTGCGTCTCCCGAACGCAGCGACGCGTCGGCACGGATTTGATCTCCTGCTTCTCTCTCCACTGATTTACCCGTGCGCTCGATAAAAGGAGATGATCGGATCGGAAGATTCTGATTTAACGGCGGTGATTCACCCATCTCCAATTGTTCTTTTTTTTTTTCTTTCCATATATCTATATATAAAAAGTAAGAAAAACAAAATAGAGAGAATTACGGTGGCTGGCTGGTTGATTTGACCACGCGCGCCCTTATATTTTCTCGGATTTTTGTGTTGTATTTGGTTTTTGAGGTGTCTCTCATCTGATGAGATTGGAGAGAACCTTTGTGTTTTCAACTTCATGTGTAAATTTGAATATACAAAGTTGTAACAGTTTGGATTTTGGTCTCCTTAATCTCATATACCATTACTCTTATGTACGTTTGGGTTATGACTTGTTCACAAACAAACAACAAACAAAAAAGGAAGTGGGGGATTTTGTAGTAATAGAGCCTGGAATGATTTAGGAGGATTTTTTGGGATTTTGGTAACAATACTTCTCATCCTCTGAAATTCGTATGTGTAAAATAAGGATGGACATTGGACAAAGTTGCTTCCATCCAGTTCTATATGACTCATTATGATTCTGCTTTCCTTAAAACTAGGGAAACTGTTCATTTTGTTTTTTGTTTTTATAGAATTTGAAAGAGTGAAGAGGCTTGTATTCCATTCTCACTTTGGAACGTTCCATCCCAAAATTCCGTTTGTATAAATACTAAAAACAATGGAATTTGAAAGAGTGGAAATGTTTAGTTTACTGTATTTTTGTGAACTTATGTGAGCTAAAAATTCGTGACGATATCAAACAAAATATGTGGGCTTAGAAGATTACATGCATCTCCGAGTACAAACTGTACAATCGAAGGAAAGGCCCGTTAACAGTATGATGAGCCTTCTAACACTACAGAATTGTATCGATCTTCTTCTTTTCTTTTCATTTTTTCAACATCTAATTGTATTAAGTCAACCATCGTCTAAAGAAGAAAAATCTATAACATAGATTTGATTTACTTACCAACTTAAAACGTCGTTTAAGTGTTGTTTTAGTTGGGAGAAGAGGAGACATATATAAATCATTTTAATTCCTGTATAATCCATAATCCATAATCCATTTTCTTTTCAACTCATAATCCATATTGATATTAGCGCTGCTACAGTCTTTTATTTATTCGAAACGTAAACTTTGTCATATAGTTGATACCATCACTACAAGGACACTCCTCATTACATAGTAAGAGTAAGCAATATAATCGTAGATTAAAAACACACGCAGACACACACACAGAACACTAATTAAGAGTAAGAGATATAAGAAGAATGATTTTTTTCGGGTTAAGGAAAAAAAATCGGACCAGTAACCTTCGATTCCCCAGCAGCAAGCAATGCAATAATCTCGCTCTCCCCAGACTTACTTTTCTATGAAAGAGCGTAAACTATTGCAAAGCTCATCTTTCTCCAAACCATCCACAAATGTTATCATCATTGTTTCATATATAAAACACCTTCCATCATCTTTCTCTGACCGTCGTCTTCTTCGTTGGACACCATATCTGACTTTGGGAAGTAAGGACTTGGCTGTATCTATATGTTTAAGAAGAAGCAGAAGAAGATTGATATAATTATAGGCAATGTGCAAAAGGATGGAATGATGAGTGGGTCTTATATAAAGGGTCAAGGAGGTTATGTCCCTCCTCCTTTATATATATATATATATATATATATATTTTTTTTTTTTAAAAAAGGTAATATGATTGTGTGTACACTATTAGCAATGATATACGAGTGATTGACACACAATTTGGGGTCAGGTTTGGAGTTTAGAATGGCGTTGAGGGCCAAAAGTGAAATTATATTAAACTAAACTTTGGGAATGTGAAACGAGTTCTAAATTATTTTGATCTCCGAGCCTCTTGGGTATGTTTTCCCTAAAACCCTTTTTACAATTTTGAGAGGAAGCATGGTTGTTGGAATAAATATAGACTTTAGATAGTGAGAATGTTAATTAGTGAAATACTTATAAGAAAGGGATGCATAGAAAGGCTCGTAGATGTGAGATAGTGGAATAGTCTTGGCCTTGAGTGTAGTGCAGCTTCCTTCTTTTCCTCAGTCTCTTCACTATATCTCTTTCTCTCTTTTTATTTCCTTCATAGTTCATTCATACATATATAAAGCTGGTATATTTATTTTATCAGTGTTTGTATATATTAATTCGGACATAGGTGAATTGTAGCTCGACGGTGTTGATCAGTGTTATAACATTTAGTTACTCACGATTTTTAGATTTTAAAAACGCAATTTTGCAATTTTCTTTCATTCATAGTTTTTGTTTATTTTTTATGATTTTGAAAAAAACCTTGGTATATATGTGTGATTCTCGCATCACCGTTCACATGTTATAATATAAATACAAAATATAAGAAGATTTACCAAACTACAAGAATTAGTTTAGTAGCATCTCATGATTGTTTATCGAAAATTTGTTTACTTCTATCATTGCACATCATTTGACATACTACTAATTGCATACGAAGTTTTTCTTAATTTATGTTAAATTTTGTTACAAAGAAAGTAGCAATTTTTGCATATAGAAACAAAACAAAATGCGGAGAGCAATGAATATAGATTTGGATGTTAGGTTATAAGCAGACAAATAAATGGGCCTTCCTCATTTGGTCATCATGTCACCGTACGTTCTCTCTATACTTGACATACACATACGTGTGTTTTTGTGTGCTATTTTTAATACGCATTCATCGCCCAATGCACATATATCCATCTTCCAAATCCCAACCAATCTTTTTTTTTGGACAAAGAAATATCCCAACCAATCTTAATTCCACCAATTCGTAGTCTTTGTAGCCTCTCTGCCTATAATCACATTAACATTTCTGAAAAACAGTTAAAGATAATTTTCCATCAAACAAAAAAACGATACAAGAAACCAAAACAAAAGAGAAGACGTGCATATGGTGTAGTCAGAGGTGGGTCTCAATTTCATCGTGTCGTTAACTTTTTTTCAAATTTTTGTCAAACATCTTTACTCTTTACTCTTTAGTGACTAAAGAGACAAAAAGGAAACACCTTTACATCTATTTACGTTGACCCTCAACTCTAACGTAATATTCCCATTTTACACCGTAAGTGGGACCACTTTCACGGCCTCCGCTCAATCTTAGCCGTCCACACACCGCACTACTCAGATTAGACTGTATTACATCATCACAACGCCACTCTCTGCGTCATTCAGTTGTCTTCCTTTTTTTAATACGTAGATCATTTTTTTTCTGTGTCTCTCTATTAACTTGTTACTTTAAAAGATCTAAATAATGATCAATGTCATATGAGCATATATACAACGCAAATCACTATCTTTTCCTATTACTCGTGTGTGTAAGGGAAGTCAAAGGGTTGCTTTAAGCCCTAATCATACAGAAAGATATTACACTTTAGGTTTTTTTTCAAAATGATAACAAGAATCTAGCATGAGCTCTCTCTATATATATATATATATATACAGGGCCGGCCTAGGGTTTTAGGACAGCCCATTATATCAAAAATTTTGGGGTAACAAAATATGACTTGATTTTTAATTTTAGCTTATATTTAATTAAAACTCATCGACATTTTTTTTAAAAAGTAAGATTTTGGTTTGTCCCACATCGAAAAACTAATATAATGTAGAAGAAAAACTGCATTATAAATAGATCTTTGGTCTGATGGGGGCATCATTGATCTTGGGCCAGCCCTTACACTTTAAGTGTCATATGAGCTTGGGCCGGCCCTGTATATATATATATATATATATATGATAGCGATCTCCATGACTCCATCACAAGGCAAGGCGAAAAAGACATTCTTACCATGAAAATGAAAAAGAATAACAGTTTCTCAGCAATCTTTTATATATACTCTTTGGATTGTTAACGAGTGTCGAATAATACAAGAATGGTGAAATTTACAAAGTACAACTATCCATAAACCCTTTTTTTTAAGGTTTCTAGTCCATATACAGCTTATACACTAATTAGAAATAGTACAAGTTAATAATCCAAATTTCATAGAGTTTTTATAAATATAAAGTATTATAGTTTTTCAACAAAGGTAAAAGTAAAAGGGGTGAAAAATAATGACTTTTAAGAGGAATCCAAGACATAGAGTGCAAACCTCATTGGACAAAGTCATCAAAAGCCTAAATAATATGGCTCATATTTTATTATTTGCTCATTAAAACGGCAATGAATAATAGAAAAACGCAATCATTGGATACTCAAAGGAGAGAAAGGGTGTGAATTGTGAAATAAGAAAATAACGATATCCTAAAATTAAGGAAAAGGCAAACCGGCCGGGGGTCATTTTGTAAGGGGCGCATGGCCCTCGAACCCCACAAATATCCTTTCGCATTACCTTTTTGACAAGAAGAAAATAACATGTAATATACGCGCGCAAATGCCATAAACGAAAGACAAAAAATAAAATATCTATCCATCACTTTCATAAATCTTATCCTATATCATGTGATTGACCGGAATGTAGTCTAGTAGTTTATATCATAATCCGGTTTGAAATTCGATAGTGTGAGTTTTCGACCATATTTATGTGTGATTGACCGGAATAGTGTTTTATAGTGTGATTGACCGGAATAGTGTTTTATAGTGTGATTGGCCGGAATAGTGTTTTATAGTGTGGTTGGCCGGAATAGTTTTTTTAGTGTGATTGGCCGGAATGTAGTTTAGTAGTTTTTTGCCTTGGGCTCTAGCGTTTCATGTATTTTCCTGCGTTTTAGTTATTCCACACTCTACTTAATATTTTAACTAATGGGTCTACCAACAAATACAGGCCATTTAATTGGTGCGAGTCTGTTTTTTTTCATTCAACTGCGAGCTACATGGCCTTATAAATAGAGCCCAAGGCAAAAAAAATCAACAGAACCACACACCAAAGATTGATAACGATTACAAGACAGGGTTCAGTTAACGGCTCTCTAGCATTCGAGTGGTGTCCCGCGTGTTGCTTCTTGATATTTCCATGGAAGTCTCTTGTTGATCAACGTACACGTTCTCTAGCTCCACCGGCCTCACGCTTAGATGATTCATTCCTGCTGAATTTTGGACATCGTTTCTGGAGTCTGCCAGCATCTGGAAGTACGCATGAGGCCCCCAACCTGTAAGCAATCCATAGAGAGATCGGTGTTTGGTTACTATAATATCAAAGTGACTTTATCTCAAGAGAAGAGGGTCCAAAGTCACACACCGTCAGGATCATACGGAGGGGGGAAAAATTGCAGATAACAAAAAGAGGACACCGTTAATCCTGGACAATGCAAGAAAGATTGGGATTCCCATCAGTTTGGTTTCTCACAAAATGTTGAGCGCATGAGTTTGAAAAAACAAACCTATGATAGCTCCTCCAAAAACATCTTGCCAGTGATGCCAATAGTCATCAACTCGGGATACAGCAACCAATGCTGCAACCAGTAGAGGTAGGATCACTATGCAAAGCTTTGCAACATGCCCTCTGCGATCAAAAACCCTGATTTTTCCAGACAAGTATAACGCTAGAAATCCTAGACCAGCAAACGACCCTGCAGGTTACATGACCAAGTCTTAGTCTTAAGACCAACAACGTGTCATCCTGTTTTATGAAAACATTAACCATAGAGTTCTGTCATGGTATAGTTATCCTCTACAACAACAAGTACAAAGATAACCACTTACAAGATGTGTGCCCGCTTGGGAAGCTCTTGTGTCCCTCTTTGATTACGTCCTTATCTCCAGTACACAGAACATCCCTCGTGACATTGTGAAAAAACTACCATTTCATGGCGAATCACAACTTCAGTCATCTAGTTAGCGATTATTCACAGTGTTATAAGAGTAAGCAATGAGATGAGCTGCTTACCCCTCTACCATCAGGGAAACAACGCCAAAAGAAGTCAGGACGAGGTCGACCTACAGCGTCCTTGATAGCATCGGTTATGACACCAGTTATGAGTATAGAGAACAAAAGACCTGAAAACCCAAGAACACACCTTAAAATCAAGAGCTGCAGAGAATTTAGAACATCAAAAGCAGCGTTGGAAGAATAAAAGAAACAGGTACCTAATATTGCATGATGCAGGTCATAAACATCTCTTCTGATGAAGTAGTAAACAGAAATGACAGCAAAGGGGAGCAAAACTGCTATCAACTGTCACTTGTAAAGACTTGGAGGAATTAGAATAGGTCCAAGACTGACTCTTGGATAATATATATCACAGAAAATCCCAAAAAAAAAAGACTATGTACCGGGACAGCCCAGAAAGGAATGGTGTTGTCTTGCAGAGGGTATCTGAGGTCAGTGAGCATATCCTCTCCAACAAAACGGTGAAAGGGTTCGATGACATTCAGAACAACCTCGATGACGATAAGCAGCAGAAGAATAAGCCAGTCATGCATGTGGAACCTCGCCACAGTGACTCCATGGGATCTTATCGTATGAGCACCCAACTGAATTTCGGGCATAGCTTACCTATAACCCCAAAAGAGAGGCAGTTTATGCATAAATTGAGAGGTTCAGAACTAGGGTTTCACTGAAATGTACTAATTTAGGAAAACCTCTGGAAAAAATGGAAACTTTTTCTCGAGCTTTCAAGTTTCACTCCCGCTTATAGCAATGCCAGTAACCAAAATCAAATGCACAATGGCCACAAACAGAAACACCAGGATACCTCAATTCCACTATAACATGCGTCTCAAAACCTATCGGTGATAAGAGAGAAGACGATGAGTGTACCTTTGGCGTTAGAGATGATAAGCGGAAGTCCGACGCCGGAAAACGTACAGGAAAGCGTCTCTACTCACTGTGAGTCACGTGATTTGGGGAAAATAGGAAAGGAGGAAGCGGGAAACAGAATATCTCTTTGGAGTTTCTCGGGAGAAATTCAAAGGAAGGAAAAGATAAAGGTACGCTCCAAAAAGAGAAAGCTACCTCAGCTTTAGCTTTATGCTTATGGCGCTTTTTTTTTTCTTTCACAGAAATGAATTTAGAAACTGCAGTAGTCTAATGAAAAGAAGTAAGATAGGATTAGGAGGTGTATACATTAATTAAAAAAATTACCTTCACTTGCAAGATTTTTATTTTTGTTATTTTAAAATTTCATATAATCTAATGAAATTTAGATTGAAGAGAACAATATTATTTTTAACTAATAAATGAAATATATTACATATTTTTATTATAATAACTTTAATAGTTTTTCCTTTTTGAAATTATTTAACTATATTTTTAATAAATCGATTATAATGAATACATGATTTAATTTACTAACATTAATCCATGGATTTATAGTTTTGCTTCTTTAAGAGAATATTTTTTTGGTTTGAACTTGTCTCTTTTATGAGTTAAATTCATAATTCAATGAGTTCTTCAAATCAAAACAAAAATAAAGTATTCAACAAAATTCTCAAACTCTTTTAACAAAAAAAACACAGTCTTCATCAAAATTCTTAATTCCTTTTATCTTTTTTTTTGTTTGTTTCACCAAAGGCCGGAAACCCAAAATCTATTTGTTAAATTGGGTTTGCCATTTGGCGGGCCCAAATTATTTCCGGTCAAAAGAACAAAGTCGCATTCTCATCAGTCATCACCGGTCATCCTTCCACGTGTACCGGAGATGAGAAGATCCTTAAAATTTCCGGAGGGAACCGAGCCACCACCATTTTCCAAATCTGTCAGTGTGTGATTACGACCCACTGTGATTTGATCGATGGCTACGATGCCTCCCCAATTCCCTTTGGAGATCCGCTCGGCTCTTCGCTGGGCTTCCTCCACCGTCTACTTCCTCCGCCCAATCGGCACCGCCACTCCTTCTTTCCGTCACCGCACGATGCTCTTTCGTCCGAGGGCCTTCTCTTCCTCCGTTAAGCTCCCCAAGAAACCCTCGCTTTGCACTGCAGACGAGCTTCATTACGTCTCCGTCCCCAACAGCGATTGGCGCCTCGCTCTCTGGCGCTACTTGCCTTCCCCTCAGGTTTCCGATTTCACCAACCATCTTTCTCTCTGCATCTAACAATCTTCTGTTTCTGTGATCAAGAGTTCTTATTCTCTTCAGGCCCAGACGAGGAATCACCCGCTCTTGCTGTTGTCTGGAGTTGGAACTAATGCCATTGGATACGATTTATCTCCCGGTGTATGTTTGCCTACATTTCTCTTTCCTTTTAATGCGATTTTGTTTCATGAAGGTTCTACATTTCACGCTAAGGACATGAGCTAACCATTTTCTTACACCTTCTTAAGTACTTTTCGATGAGGAAATAGATTATCGTTGACCAAACGCTCCCAAGCTTAAGAAATGCTTTTTGGTTCACGCTTTCCTAACAAGGTTTCTGTAATTTGCAGTGCTCTTTTGCAAGACATATGTCTGGTCAGGGATTTGAGACGTGGATACTTGAGGTTCGTGGAGCCGGTTTGAGTACACGAGTATCCGATCTCAAGGATGTTCAAGATTCTGCTCACAAATTGTCCGATCAGATAGAATCCACTGCTAGAGCTGCAGCTAAAGAAGCTGGTTCCCCTGAAAAGAAGGCTACTGGTAATGTGGCCAGTGCACCATCTTCGGATGTTTTAATTGTTGGTGAAGCCTCTGCTTGGGACGAATCGCAACTTGTGGCGAGATTGACAGCAACTTTTATGCGTTTGTCAGAAAGACTTTCTGGCTTTCTCAGTGAAGGTCAGTCTGCGTTCATGTCTGCTAAGTTATTTGACAAAATTGCAATGCTTTTAGAAGATTCACAGCTGTACGAGCGCTTTAATGAAATAAGATCAAAGCTTTTGAGTTTGATCGAGTCAAGGCAAAACTCAGGACTTGGTAACCAAATCAGAGAACTGACTCAGCGCCTTGTGGATCTTTTCGACGATGGTCAAAGGTCTGTCTCGCCTCAGTTGATTGATCTTCAAGAGCGCCTCACTTCGACCATTGAAGATTTTCAGAAGCAACTGGATTTGATGATTCAATATGACTGGGATTTTGATCATTACCTGGAAGAGGATGTCCCTGCTGCGGTGAGGCGACACTGATCTTGCTAAATATTTCACGTAACCGTGTCCGCTTTTGTTACTGAACTGGGTGTTCTGTTTTATGGTTTGCCATAGATTGAGTATGTAAGAAGGCAAAGCAAGCCCAAGGACGGTAAACTATTCGCAATTGGACACTCCATGGGAGGTATCCTACTCTATGCAATGCTGTCACGTTGTGGTAAGTTAATATTCATTCATCTTGACAGTGGGTTTTTGATTAGATCTCATTTTCCTGAAAACATAGGCCAATAGATTTAGGCCGTTACTCATTCCTTCTATAATTCTATTCCATTTCATTAGCTTTTGAGGGACGAGAACCTTCCCTGGCAGCTGTGGCAACTTTGGCTTCATCGGTTGATTACACAACTTCAGATTCTGCCCTCAAATTGCTCATACCTCTTGTACGTAATTCAGGTTTTATCACTTTGAGTTGGATTCTGTATGAATTGATGCGCTACTAAGTTCTTCTGTGCCAAACTTACTAGAAACTTCTTCTACAGGCCGATCCTGCACAAGCTCTGAGTGTTCCAGTTGTTCCTTTGGGCGCTTTGTTAACTGCAGCTTATCCTCTTTCAACACGCCCTCCATATGTATTATCTTGGCTTAATGATTTGATATCAGCAGCGGATATGATGCACCCTGAACAGTTAGAAAAGCTTGTCTTGAATAACTTCTGTAAGTACAGATATATGATCCCATTGAAGGACGTGGGTTTTTAGTGCTATATTTTTTAATGTGTTAGTGGAAAAGAAATGCATCCACCTCAAGAAAAATAAACTGTTGATGAGTTACTATTAGATGCGTTGATGTATTGCCATGATAGTTATGCAAGTGATATTAAAGGGGTTTTCTGTTTTGCAACCTTTAGGTACCATACCTGCAAAACTTCTTATTCAGCTGACAACAGCCTTTCGAGAGGGAGGCTTACGTGATCGTAGTGGTAAATTTTACTACAAGGATCATCTTTCCAGTACCAGTGTCCCTGTCTTAGCTCTTGCAGGTGATCGGGACTTGATCTGTCCTCCTGTAGCTGTAGAAGGTATACTGGATTGATGATTATTATTAATAATTTGTGCATAGATGAACAGCTACGCAATATATAGATGAAACAATTCATATCCCAGATATGCATTTCATATTAAATTCTTTGACGCTAATACTAAGTTGCTTGAGTTAGGCTGTATAACGTATACAAGGGTTAGCTTTCATGATACTTTCCACACATACCATATATTATGCATACATTTATTTTCTTATTCACAATTACAATTGCTTGTGAATATTGCAGACACAGTTAAGCTGTTTCCCGAGAACCTGGTCACGTATAAGCTACTGGGAGAATCAGACGGACCACATTATGCACACTATGATTTGGTTGGAGGACGACTGGTATGTTGCATTTCTAGGTCTCCCATGTTGGAACTTTGGTCCTTATGTGTGAGCTTGTTTTCTGTCTCAGTCATTTCTCTGATAATCTCTCTGCAGGCCGTGGAGCAAGTGTATCCTTGCATAACCGAATTTTTTAGCAAACATGATTCAGCATAAGTGAAGCTTTCTTTTGTTTCTGGCATGCTATATGCATGTAGACGTTGCGCTAAGGAGGTGTCCAGTTAGTACCTAACAAGTGTGTGTATCAGAAGCGCCTGTTAATAAGGATGTCATTTCCGTTTAAGACATGTACATTTAGTATCCGGTCAAACTGTACATTATTATCTTAGGAGGCAATTTTTCAAGTCATACACCTGTGAATTAGGAACAGCATCAAATGAGATACTGGAAGCTCATGTCTACTGTAATGATATAACCATACTTTTTGCTAAACTCTGAACTTTTAAGCATGTATCATTTTCACCAGATTGTGATTATCATAACATCAAGTTTTTATCACTTAAACAAATGGATTGATTTTTGAATTTTTTGATACAACATCTATGAACAAAGTTCATACTGTTGAAAATAATTTCCTATTATCTTTTATTTTAAATTAAAAAAGAAAAGAAAAAATTACTGTAGGAGACATGATGTGGTGATAAGCACTGAAGGGTCTGGTATTTATTAACAGAACTCCCTTTTGAAAGATGTTAATTGTCTTTCTACCGTCCTGTAAAACTATACTAAATTCTTCTCTTTCTCCATCCACACTTAAGGGTGTCTCAATAGTTTCCAGACATGAGAGCTTAAGTACTACGGCAACAATGGAGTATTTCTTTTCTTATATATTAATTCCTTAACACGAATTTATTGGAAGTCTACGACGTTATCTACTTATCTTCTTACACGTATGAATGACTGAAGCCTAACTAACAAGATGAGGCTGATTTGATAATTTGATTAAATAAATAACGTAGAACATGATATCCATAACTTAATTCAACACTTTCCAAATACAGAATACATGCATTATATTAACAATAAAGACAGATATTTTAGGACCGCCTAATAATGTTACAAGTCAATGGGTCATCCATTCATATCTAATCCTCCTAAAAAAAATTAAAACATTCATCCGAAAACCCATTTATTACTAAGAAAATACATATGGAAACGTATTATACTTCAACCAAATAAAAATGAGGAATAATCCTATTGGAATATCCAGAAAATTGTCACGCCAGCATCTAATCGTAAAGCTTTGACCAAAAACATACAGATAAAAATGATGAGGTTACAGAACAGAGGAGTGTGCGTCAGCTTGTGTGTGTGTGTGTGCATTGCATTTGCATGTACGCTGCGCCTCGACGCCTCCATTCCCATCTATAAATAAGTAAGAGACTTAAAGACATAAACATACACAATTAAGAAAGATAATTAACTTAAGTCAATACAAAAACACATATTAATCAAGAATGGTGGTGGCTAATGATCTCTCTTCCAAAATTCTCCCCAGAGTTCTCATCGTGTCTCGTCGGACTCTACGCAAGAACAAGTTCGTGGACTTCGTAGGAGAGTACCATCTAGATCTCATCGTCTCCTCCGGTGCCGTCCCTGTAATCGTGCCACGTGTCACCGGGATCCACTCTCTGCTACAGAGCTTCGAGCCCATCCACGGTGTCCTCCTCTGCGAAGGAGAAGACGTCGACCCTTCTCTCTACGCCGACGTAGAACTCCCGGGACTCTCGCCGGAGGACATGGACGAGATCAGGAGGTTGCACGCAGGAGACACGACCATCGACCGAGAGAAAGACAGCATCGAGCTGACTCTGGCCAGGCTCTGTCTCGAAAGGAATATTCCTTACTTAGGCATTTGTCGTGGCTCTCAGATTCTCAACGTCGCCGCCGGAGGAACTCTCTACCAAGACGTCGACAAGGAAATCGGAACTACGACGAAACATATAGACTACGACAACTACGACGAGCACAGACACGCGGTTAGAGTTTTGGAGGAGACACCGTTGCACAAGTGGTTCGAGGAGAAGGATCAGATAATGGTGAATTCGTATCACCATCAAGGCGTGAAGAGACTTGCGAAGAGCTTCGTGCCCATGGCATACGCTCCTGATGGTTTGATCGAAGGGTTCTATGACCCGAATCGATATGATCCAGAGGAAGGCCAGTTCTTGATGGGTCTACAGTTTCATCCCGAGAGGATGAGAATCTCAGGCTCTGATGAGTTTGATTATCCAGGATGCGCTTCTGTTTATCAGGAGTTTGTGAAAGCTGCGATCGCTTTCCAGAAGAAACAACTCAACGCAACAGAGATGGTGATGATGATGGAGACGACGAAGAAGAAGACGCTAGTCAAAAGCTTCTCCGGAGCTGAGTTTCTAGAGGTCAGCTTTTTTCTTGTTTTACACACCCAAGCTTTCTACTAACTGGCCATTGAGTATTGGAATTTTCTGACATGGGTGAATCACGCAGGCAAATACGGTTCTAAGCAAGCAACAAGAGAATAGGCTGAAGCAGATGGGAGCAACGGTGAGGAACTCATGTGTGTATATGAAAAGGATGAAAAGGAAAGAGGAGCAAGAGAGGGCAATGGACAAGTTGTCCACTGAGCGTTTGTCTGATCTGCTTTCCTTCCACCGTATGATGGCTCGTCTTTGCTCCGATGCCATCCAGAGGAAGCTACTAGAACCTGCAGATAGGACCGTCGAGTCCTTCTCATTCCTCAACTACTAGCTTTTATTGCTTAAACATGTTACAAATAAAAAGAAAAGAAAATTAGCATTCAGTGTACATTACTACTTGAGCAGGGTTCACAACAAACCCAACACATACAGAAGCTCCTTATATGTATGTATATATGGGTTTCCTCAGGACAGTAATTATAAAGAGTTTCCTTTTAAGTGACTTCCTAAATCTTTTTTCGTCATCATCGTATAATCATATCATCATTGGCGGCAGAAGAAGATGAAATCAGGATGGCTGACTTGATGCAACCGCAACCAGTTGTCTGCGGCTTGGAAGAGGGAGTTGACTAGCTGGTGTCCAGAGCCCTTGATGCTTGTCCATACAGAACCTCTCAACTTGTATGAGGCAAGGCCAAATACTGGCAGCGCCGTCTTCTCAACACTCTCGCTTGGCTGCACCTCACACATAGACTGTGTTGTAACGCCTGAACCTAAAAGAGGCAAAGGTAGATAGTGGATGAATCTTTACCCAAGAGTTAGTTATCCACAGAAAACATGTCCATGGCTAGCATAATTTAACGTATTACTGGTTGATTTACCTAAAATCCAGTTTGAACTAGTGTTTCTTACTGTAAATAATGTTTAACACCAATCTTACCTTGAGAGGGTGTGTGAAGGGAATGATAGGTCAAGAAACAAGCATCCAGATCCTTGAGCGTCCGTCCTGTGGGTATTTTGTAAATTGGGTACCTACAAAGTATAGTAATGGATTCTAAGAGACACGAGGGGGCACCGTGGAAGAAAAGCACATGCGCATGGTAAAAAGAACAATACCATGCCACAGAAAACCAGCTTGCAGGTAGTAAATCACAGCTTCTCAGCGTTTTCAGCTCCGGAAATCTAGAGGCAAGGTCAGACATCTGCAAATGGTAACAATTGAATAAGATAGCTACAGGGATTGCATTTTCGTAGATCATAAAATGGTGTATTTGAGAATTGGACAAGATACTAGACAGTAGTTGAACATTCCACAGCAGTTGGTAGTTCTAAATGGATGCTTTGGAACAACTACAGATCAGAAAAGTTGTTGGGTTTGACTAAATAGCATTATTCTTATAATAAACATTTGATGTTACTTCAAGTCTTTGCTTCTGGAACTTAATGTTATCTGATTACAGAAACTAGAGCAAAAGAAGCTCAAAACATCAATAAATGCATCTTTCAGTACCTAACTTCCGTGTAGCCTCATAAAGAATTTATGAGACGTTAATGTTTTAGTCTAAGCACATTTTACCTGTTTTCTGAATCCTTATGGTTTCTAATAACTTGATATTCAGAGATAAGAAATAGACAAACCTTGTCGGCAAAGGGTTCACGGATGTAAGGAAGATCTCGTTCAAGATATTCAAATATCAAACGAGATTGAGAGCTTAAAGGCTCGCCATCATCACTAGACGAGTCCTCCTGATGCTGCTTTCTTAATGAGAGTTGGTTCATTTGAGCAGAGATGTGCTCCTTTGGATAACAGAGTCCTCTTTCGGATTCACTGCTGCTTCCTTCACTGCTTGAATCTTTGAAATCGCTGTCGCTCTCCTCACCTGGTACCCTGCAGTGTTAAAAAACAAATCGATACATTATAAAAAAGACAAAAACTTGAGCTCTTGGAATGAGACCACAGGTTCAAGAACTTAATCGAATAGCAAATACATGATGAGACTGAAGGGAACTGTTTTTTTCACCTTGTTTGAAGAGAGGAGCTCAAGGCATCAGAATCAGCATAGATTTGAATGGCCGAGAGCGATGGCACGTAGTATTGAAAGACTCGATCTTTACTGTAGTTATTCAATGTAAGAGGAACTCCAGTGCCGTACGCACTCCACTCTGCAAAAGAGTCCCATACATCACCAAGAACAAAGTATGGCTGCAACTCAACATCACTGCCTCTTCTTTCCCTAACTGTCGTCTGCACAGAAAATTTACCTCTCGATTAGAAGAAGGGAACCAAAGAAAAGCTGAAAACTTTTTTGTATTTTACAAAAAAAAAAAATTGACTTGACATGTGGAAGAAACAAAAACCTTAGATAAACAATGGGCGGGGACAGATGGTGTGACCGACGCCAAAAACCGTTCCACATTACTTGACGACGAAGCGGCAGAAGCATGGAGTTTCTTGAATGCAGACAAGTTCTCTTGTTCCAGAGTGTGAATCGATCTGCCATAAGAGACGTCGCTCTTAGCTCTCTGCAGCTGATTCAAATGAAATCCAGTCCCCGACATCTCTTCTTTACTCAGGGCACCACAAAGACGAATCAAACGACAAAACAAAAAAGGGCTTCTGATTAAACGACAGAAACACTCCCACTAGTCGTACTCGATTCACCTCTCCCCGTAAAATACAAAGAGATTTTGTCCGACGAGATTTTTGAAGCAGCTTAAAAGGAAAGGTCCAATCGGAGATTCTGAGGACGAATAATCGGAAATCGAAGTTCCCACTAAGCAGGCGAAGATTAGTGTGCGAATCAAAATAAAGGCAGGAGTTTTATAACGATTGAAGCAAATGAGGAGAAAGATGATTTTGATTCATATAAGGAGAGAGAGAGAGAGAATATAAAAGTCTCGGAATAAAAACACTTCAATTTGTTTCTTTTTGCATAATTCGACCCTTATGCTCGATGATTGGTTCTTTTTTGCCCCGCCTTTCTTCGTATATAATTTAAACACCCAAACACTTTCAACTCTGTGAGATAAAAAAAAAAAAGTGTTGTAGAAAACAATTTTTAGAAACTTATTTGGCAAAAATAATTATTTTTTAATCAATCGAAGCTACAAAGAATTTACGAAGTTCGAAATTAGAATGATAGGGCTATCATGATTTTAAAACAAAAAAAGAAGAAGTGGTGATCCGCATAATAAAAAGGGGCATATAACCCAATGAGTAACTTATGGTCGATACTAGATGTTATATTCTCTTCGTTTTACAAAGAATGTTGTTTTAAGATTTTATTTTTGTTTCACAAAGAGTGTCGTTTTATATTTTCAATGCAGAATTTTAAACAATATTCCAGTTTTGACCGTATTGATTTAATATATTAATTAGAGAAAAAAAGTTATTTAATGTATTAATAAAGAGTAAAATAGTATTTTTAATAGTTTTTTTAATAAGTGTGAAAAATGTCAAAATGACACTCTTTCTGAAACAGAGGAAGTATATTTCAACTGGACTTTTGAAATGCTCTGGACTTTTATCGGACAAAAACAAAAAAGAATGACTGTCAATTTTTCATCCTTTTAAGTTGTAGTTTATAAGAAAACAAAGATATAAGGTGTAGAGGAATATATTTTCAAAGTAAACTTTCTATTTTGTTTCATTTTTTCAGGTAATGTATGCATGATAATGAATAATGATACTATGATAGTATAATACGTATATGGCTAAAGGGTATTTATTTATTTTTTCTAAAGGGTTTATAGCTACGTAGTTTGTAAATCGATTCAGGAGTTGAGAACAGTATACTAAAATGGTTCTCGATCATAATACTTCCTGAAATCAGGAAATTAAATGTCAGAAGAATGCAATATACATTAGAAAATGAATTCATGCACGTGGACCCCGTTATTGTAGATTTATTTTGTTTTGTTGCAAGTGGTGATTATTAGACGTAGAGAGAGAGAGAGGATGTGCACATGAGCGAACCATTTTAGTGTCATTTTGTTTTTCCCGTACGAAAAAAGGAACTAAAAACAATTTGATAATGCAAGAGAAGTGGCAATAATAGAAAAGGATATGTGTAATGTGTGAGGTGTGTTGTGTCCTTGTGACTAATACAGATGGTGTTGACTTGTGGTTGGAATTACTTTGTCTATTTTCCAAGATCATGCTGACTCAGCCGTTGCTCACTCACTTTTTGTCTTCTACCTCACCGGCGCGTAGACAACAATCGTCCGATGTTACGCGCTGACCTATTTTGCAACGTCATTCTCCGGTCAATTATAACATTTATTTTTTTAACAACCGTTAGCCTTTAAAATCATATTTTGTTATGTCGACAATGATACTTTCAAAGTTGACCAAAAAAAAGAAGATAGCAGATATGTATCTCCAATAAATCACTTCATAAATCTTTATCCGATAACACAAAACGGTTCCACTATTTGGAATCAAAATATGTTGCCAACTTTTGGTTGAATATTGACTATCGAGTCAAATGCAACTTTGAAAGTATATTACTTTCCATCGGCCCAACTAAAATTTCTTTTTCTGGAAATATTATAAATGGGCTTATAATGATATTATTAAAGCCCATTATGAAACGTGTCGGAGAACAACAACTATCGACGCCGGTCAAAGCGATATACGGCGTCGTTGCCTAACCAGAGACCTTCGTTTCTCAACGGAAGGAGGAGGGAAGCTCCGTTTCTGTCAGATCTTCCCTCTGTAACGCTTTCACTCTCTCGGATCAAGTCACCGTTGATTTATCCTCTATTGGATTTGATGTCTTTGATACACCTGCTCTTGTTCGCGGGTTTGGCGAGCCTTGAAGCTGCGGCGTCGTTTTCCCCGGGATCACGCTCGATTCTCCGTGACATCGGAAGCAACATCGCCGGTCAGAAAGATAATGCTGTCGAATTGAACGCTACCAAGTTTGATTCAGTTTTCCAAGATACCCCCGCCAAATATGCCGTTTTGGAGTTCTTCGCTCACTGGTCAGTTTCCTGATTCTCTCTCTCTCGAAAATGTCTGAGCAAAAAAACAAAAATCCATTTTTGGTTGTTTAGTGCTGGATCTTGAGCGGAATGAAGTATTTTAAATTGTATCTACGAATGCGAAAAGCTTGTTTGTGCCGTACTGACATTGACCATTGTTTCGTCTGGCTAAATTGATGATTCAAGGTGTCCTGCATGTAGAAACTACAAGGTAAAACAATGCCAAATTCAATTTCCTCTCTTTCATTATTCAATGCTTTGTCTTGTCAAACGCTGTTTGTATTCAATGCTTGATTACTGGTGACTCTGCAGCCGCATTATGAAAAAGTAGCAAGGCTCTTCAATGGAGCAGAGGCGATACATCCAGGCCTCGTTTTAATGACCAGAGTTGATTGTGCACTAAAGGTACTTGCGCCATCTTCCCTGATTTCTAGAGACAACATGTACCAATCACTTCTCATTTCTGTTTCTCTTAATTGGTGTGGATCGTATGAGTCACAGATTGGGGCTTGAAAACTAAATCTTATTGGGGTGTGTATACTTTCATTCTAATTTGTTCCTTATGACTTTTCTGGCAGCGCAGATGAATGTCAAGCTCTGTGACAAGTTCTCCATCAATCACTATCCAATGCTCTTTTGGGGTCCTCCGAGAAAGTTCATTGGTGGCAGCTGGGATCCTAAACAAGAGAAAAGTGAGATAATTGTAATCGATGAATGGCGCACCGCTGATCTTTTGCTGAACTGGATCAACAAGAAGATAGGCAGGTATGCGGACACTGAATTTTTCATGTCTAACTTTACGTTGAGGTCATATCAGCAATCTATTTCTCTCTATGTTGGCTAAATGAACACCCCCGTGGAATATTCTGTTGGGTAACGTTGCACTCAAATCTGTTTTACTTGTCAATGTTGTGCAGCTCTTACGGCTTGGATGATCAGAAATTTGGAAATGAGCATCTCCTGCCAAATCTATCTGACCACGAACAGGTCTCTTATAATGTGTTCTGCCCCCACTTTGCTATAATGGTAGCATTTTGTTTGATTCCAAAATACTAAATTGAGCTGGTTGTTGACTTACCACAGATTTCTCAGGCCATGTATGACATCGAGGAAGCAACTGAAGAAGCTTTTGATATCATTTTGGCACATAAGGTAGAGAACTTTCTCATTATCTTTTTTTGTACGTAAGTAATTCCTTTCAGCCTTTGTTGACGAGTAGTGTTCATGGCCACAGGCAATCAAATCATCTGAAACCGGTGTTTCGTTTATTAGGTTTCTGCAGCTTTTAGTGGCACATCATCCTTCAGAAAGGTAGTATCTCATCTTCATATTTCCATTCACGTTTTACTGCTCATTCTTTTCTGTCATGCTTAATTAACTGTTGGAAATTTCCTGCAGGTGCCGTAAAGGAAGTGCTGAAATTCTGGTGAATTTTGATGATTTATGCCCGTCAGGCGAATGCTCTTATGACCAGGAATCTCGGGCGAAAGATACCCTAAGAAGCTTCCATATTTGTGGAAAGGATGTTCCGCGTGGATATTACGTGAGTCCACCAAACCAATTTGACCATTCTCTTTTTTTTTTATATGTGGTGCTTAAACGCAGAGAAATCTGATTCTCTGATTTTATATACATAATCATATTTGACAGATGTTTTGCCGTGGCAGTAAGAACGAAACTAGGGGATTCAGGTAGTGTTTTGCAGAATCAGTCCTTTTTCAGATTTCGTATGGTGATAGGATCTTTCAATTCAAGCAGATATGCCAGTATTTGAACTCTTTCAAAATGATTTGACTGCAGCTGCGGATTATGGGTTTTGATGCATTCACTTTCCGTGAGGATTGAAGATGGAGAAAGTCAGTTTGCATTCACGGCCATTTGTGATTTCATCAACAACTTCTTCATGTGTGATGATTGTCGCCGCCATTTTCACGACATGTGCTTAAGGTAACGACAGATCCGGAGGTTGGCTAACAAGCTCGATTGTTCGCATCCTTTCTCATCTAACAGCTTATGTGTTTCACTGACAGCGTCAAAACTCCGTTTAAAAAGGCGAGAGATATCGTCTTGTGGCTGTGGAGCACACACAACAAGGTCAATGAGAGACTCAAGAAGGACGAAGATTCTCTTGGAACAGGAGACCCCAAGTTCCCAAAGATGATATGGCCACCAAAGCAGCTTTGCCAGTCGTGTTATCTTTCCAGCACCCAGAAAAACATTGACTGGGATCACGATGAAGTCTACAAATTCTTGAAGAAGTATTACGGACAGAAACTGGTGTCCTCTTACAAGAAAAATGGTGTCGGTGCGAGCAAGGAAGAGGTGGTTGCAGCTGCAGAGGAAATGGCAGTACCCACCAATGCTCTGGTTGTGCCGGTGGGAGCTGCATTGGCTATAGCACTTGCAAGCTGCGCATTTGGGGCGCTCGCTTGTTACTGGAGGACACAGCAGAAGAACAGGAAGTATTACCACAATCCGCACTATCTTAAGAGATATAATAGTAACTATATGGTCATGAACACGTTAAGTCACAATGAAAGCGAAAGGGAAAAGGAGAGATGATAATTTAAAGAAGTAAAGGCTCACATAATTTAAACTTTCAGGCAAAGGAACTGAGGTTGAGCTTTGTTTTTGTTGTAACTTGAGGTTGAGATGACGAAGTGGCCTGCTTCAGGTCCTGTTCTGTCTTCTCCTCTTACAGATTGTATAGATTCTTCTTTTCAATTTTGGAATATACAATACACCCTCTTATATCTATATGTCAAAACAGAATAGCTGCTTTTTAAAATTTATTGAATATCCCGCCTATTAATATTGTTTTGTGACCATCTTCTTCTACGGTTTCTATCTTATCAGCCACCTCTACGCGGTTTGCAAATCCAACATCTGCAACGTACGTCTCTGTCGTCAAGTCTATATATGTTTTCAGTCTTAATAGAAGAAACGAAAGCATATACAATTTTTTGAAAGTAAATTAAAACATCAAAACAATTAACTTTTGTCAAGAAGTTTAGATAGTGATTAACCATCGTAAGTGTTCCTCTCTTGAAACCAGTGAAATGACCCTTCTCTGAAGATTATTTTTTATATCTACTAAGCTGTCTTAAGTGCATATTATACTTTGTCATTCCCGCTTTTTTATATCTACTACTCTGTTTTCCCAAACCAAACCAAACTACTAATTATTTTTGAACAACAATCCTTGTTAGTTGGTTGTTATCTTAGGAAAGGAAACAGTTGATTACGAGAAAACATAATACAACATGTACACGATCATCCTACGTGAGTGGCATCCAGGAGCCAAATAACGATGTCAAGGATGCGAGACGCAAAGACGGCGGTGGAGACAGGAACGCTAACGAGAAGAAGAAGCAGCGTTCCAAACGCAACGCTGGGACGAGAGTTCATGAGGAAAGTTTGGAGAAGAGAGAGCGCGTCACAGATAGTAGCGTCGTAGTTGCAATAGAAACGCTTCTCCCAGTGCATCCAATGAGAAGGAGGTTCATAGTTCCTCTCAACCATCTTCATCTCATGGATCCGTTTCCTAAGGACCACCATGTTCTCGTCCACCACTCTTCCTCCTCTGTAGTAGTAGTTGCCGTAGCCACACACGGTGGTTTGCTTTCTTCTCTTTGTTCCGGTGGCGATCCTTTGTGAGCTCAACAATGGGTGGGATCTGAGTGGCGACGACGAGATCAGTAGTGTTGCTTCCATTTTTATTTCTTCTTGTTGCTCAGGAGACAAGGTATTCGTTATTTATAAGGGAAATATTTGGATAAGTTTTAGAAAAAAAACGGCTAAGGTTTGCTTTGGCAGTATTATTAAGAAATAAAAATAGATAAATGATTAGCGCGTTGCCTTCTCGCAGCATCGATGGGACCGCATTACTCACGTTCCTTCCAATTTCACCTTTGTTTCTTCTCAATTTCAGCTACACGTCTTTTACAGAATTGTCGACACGGACATTCAAGATTTTAATTATGCATATCAAGAATTTAATTATGATCGGAGTTAATATGGTTATATTGTTAAATGTCATATGCATTGCACTATCTCTCTACTCCCAGTTATCAACCAATAATTATACTGTATGTCCATTGACCACTCCTTTGTTTATGTTTTTTTTTTCTTAGAAGAAACGACGAGACGGTGCCCCTATGATTAATTAATCAAGGTTTAATTTTCATACTTAATTATTCCCTCCGTTTCATAAAGAGTATCGTTCTGACACTTTTTTTTTGTTTCAAAAAGAATGTCGTTTTAGAATTCTAATGTAATTTTTAACATAAAATACCATTTTTAACCTTAATAAATTTAGAAAATTAATTATAAATATAATTCTAAGAGTCATTTTCTGTAAATTAATAAGGGTATAAATGACCTTTTATCTTATTTCTTAATTTGTGTGAAAAATGTGAGAATAACACTTTTCATGAAACGGAAGGAATATAATAACAGCCTCGATTTAAGAAATAATATTTAAGAAATAATGAAGTGGGATGAGCAATCAAATGATAGACGCCGATTTGACACTTAAGCTCAATGGGCTTATAAAGTTAGCTAACTCGAAACCCACAAGTTGAAGTAAGCCCAATTTAAACAACTACCGTCAGCCCTAACTGTCCCGCGATCGCACTATATATATAGTTAGCTTCGAGGTAGAATGATTGAGGCAGAGCCGTCTTTAGAGTTCCGATTAGTTTGGTTTCGATCTTAAGCAGAGAGGCTTCGTTCTATATGTTTCTTTTTTTCTCCCGATTGCACGAATATTAATCTCACAAATAATGAAATGGGGAAGAGGCAAATAAAAAAGGGGAGAGATTTGATCGATAGCTCTGAAATACCTGTAGGTTTTCTACGGGGTGCCCTTCGTCTTCTTCCCTAAAACGAAAATGGCTTCATAGTACGGGTTTCTCTGTGCTTTCATTGTGTTTGGGTATTTTCTACTCTTCACTTTGATTCTCAATCACAATCCCGCCTCCAATCGCCATTACATTCTTTTTTAATCCATGAATTTGTGTGTTTTAGTCTTCTTTAAAATTAATATCAGTCAACCATACTTTGGGGACGTTTCAGAAAAAGAAAAAAAAAGACAGGCAAATGATAAAACCCAGGAGCAAAATTACATTCAAATTGAGTTACGTTTCGTACATAGTTGAATTTGAGAACAAATTTATCGATTGCCGTACAAGCAAATTTCAACGAACAATTAGAATCAGACTCTTATTCAGTGACACAAAACCCAACTAGTACAATCAAGAATCTTATTTTCTGATCTTCCACTACGTTTGAGAATCTAGTCTAACTCGCAAAGATTCCGTAAAACTCGACGAAAATGTCTGCTTTTCATTTCCACCACCGAACAAGCCTTGTCCTAAAACCCAACCTTCGATCATATCCCTCGAATTAACAGCTTTGTCTGTCGGAACAAAATGCCCAGCTCCTGAAACCACCACGTGGGTCAAATTCCCCCATCTCTGTACATACCCGGCGATATCACCGTCGCCGTCCTTCCACACCAACCTCTCCGCCGTCGAGAACATCCCAATCCCCGACCAATTCATAGTCTTCATCCACTCCTCCGTCGAAACGACACCGTCTCTGAGATCCAACATACCTTGATACAGCAACACCTTGGTTCTCCCCAACGCGTACTCCACCATGAACTTGACGCTCTTCATCACGTCTTCCCTTAAAACCTCTTCCACTTCATCACTGCACTCCTCAAAACGCACCGTTTCGCTCACTCCAAGAACCTGTTTCGTCTCTCTCTGGTTCATCAGCTCCACCACGAGGTCCGTCCTGTACGGAATCGACCGGGCCGTATTGTAGAGCGTCGCGAGTCCCGTCATATTGGCCACTAGCTTCAACAGCTCGGTTCTAGCGTCTGCTGCTTCACGCCATTTCTGGGCCTTGACGAGAGCCACGGATGTCTCTTGAGCTTTCTCCAGCTCCTCTCTCTGTTTTGCGTTGACAAGACCCGAGTAATATACGTTGACCGCATGGGTCCGGATCTGGATCACCGGGTCGGTCAGCCCGTTTCCAATGGCCAGGCCTTTTAGATTCACCTTCCCGTTGGGTTTCTCTTTAAGGATATAGTATCCAATGGCAGGGACATATTTCCCGGCGTAGCTCTCGCCGGTAAAGTAAACCGGTCGGTGTTCAAAACCTGGATTCTGCTCGGTGAACTCAACGAGCGCTTCGTACAGGTGCTCTGCCACCTGTCTCTGATTTCTCGGTATGTCTTGCTTTGAAGCGGCGATGCTGAATCCGACTCCTATGGGGTTATCCACAAAGAGTAGCCCGAAGAGGCGGTTCCAGGCACCGGGATTGCGTTCGAGTTCGGTGGCTTGTGAAACCACGCGCCAAGGGCCTAGCTCGTAGAAGTTGCCGATCATGGAAGAGCAGCCTGGTCCGCCTTGGAGCCACACGAGGAGCGGAGTGTCAGCAAGAGTAGTGGTGGTTGGCCTTTGGGCTTCGTAGAAGGTATAGAACATGGAGGAGCCGGGTGCGTGTTTAACCGGAAGGTAGCCGGATTTAGTGGGGAGAGCTTCATCGGGAAATAGTGGCGGCGGAGGAGACTCGACGGAGACGGCGAGGAGGAAAGTGGAGAGCAAGAAGAAGACTGTAGGGACGTGCCTCATTATTGCCACTAGCTCGTGGCTTGACATAATTCTCTCCCTTTGTATTATTTGACTGCAAAACATACTTTTGTGATTTGTCTTGTAACAACAAATGTAACGTAGCTGATAACATTATTTTTGGTTTTGGTTTTTCTTTTTATTTATCAACTAGTGGTTACTAACTTAATTGCATAAACATGAATAAATTATTAGTGGGCTTTTTTAAATGCTTTTCATAATTTATACTGCAAGTCTAATGGCCCAATATAAAAAAGCTTAGCTAGCCCCACAAGAATGCTGGACAAATAGGAGTCAACTTTCGCGAGAGGTTCTCAATTTGTAATGCGTGAAATTTGTTAAAGTGATCACAAGGTGCTCGATATAATTCCTGAGAGAGTTTCCAGAGGTTTTCGATTCTTACTCGGTTTTCGAGGTGAAGATGATGGTCTTGGATGTTTGCACAGAGATTCTAAAGATCCAGAAGCTACGACGGGTTGTCTCTTACGCTGGATTCTACTGCTTCACTGCCGCACTCACATTCTTTTATACAAACAACACGTAATGCTTCAAACTTTAGCTTCGGATCTCGATTTTCTTCATTTGGTTGTTCTTCCTTTTCAACTTCGTAGATGATCTTGCCGCCTTTTTGTGTTGATTGCTCAGCTTTGTCTTGGGTTCTTCGTTGAAGTTTTTGAGGTGAGGTCTTGTTGAATTTAATGTACGAATTCGAAATGTTTTGTAGAACAAGAGCAGGATTCTCCAGGGGAGATCAGTTTTATGCATCTTACCCTGCCGGCACTGAACTTCTGACCGACACAGCTAAGGTTATCTCTTGTTTCAATTCACACAGACATCTGAGGTGTCGTTTAGAGTTATTTTGTTCTCTGTGATTATTTAGTTGTGTGAAACTGATGAGTTGGTTTTGGTGTGAAGCTGTACAAAGCGGCGCTTGGGAATTGCTATGAATCTGAGGATTGGGGTCCTGTTGAATTCTGCATAATGGCTAAGCATTTTGAGCGCCAGGGAAAATCTCCATACGTTTACCACTCTGTAAGTTTCTTCAACATTTCTACTCTATGGTTCTTAATTGAGCTTAACATAGTCTCTATGGTTTGGATGATATATGTGTTTGAAGGTCAGTTTCCATGAAAACTAGGTTTAGGCTGACTTTGTGGTGTCTCCATATGTTGATAGAAATGTTTGTAGAATCATGTGTTGAGTTCCAAACCAAGTGTTGAGAGTTTTTTATTTGTTTGGTTGTAAATGCAGCAATACATGGCTCACCTTCTCTCTCAAGGCCAACTCGATGGAAGCGGCTAGAAGCGTCGATGTGTAGCTACTCTTGTTTATTGCAAAGTCGAACTCGGGCATATCGTACTTATCCAAGTTGTTGTGTACTCTTTTTCCTCATTTGTACGGCGATGGACTATTGAGATTCCTCACCAAGAAATATAAAAACATGTCTGCATGAAATGTACGCGCACAATGTAATAAACACATAGGATCAGACTTTAGAGTTTAGATGATGTACAAAGCAAAAAGCAAGCCAACACTTGAAAGGCTTAGCTTATAATCATCCCAGGTCTTCATCAAGTACACGATCATGGGTGGTCCCCTTTTCCATTCCAAATCGAATTGAAGACAATCATCCTTAACAAGATTAGTTTGAAAAGGTTTCAAATTGTACACTTAAACCAAAACTTAATGTCTGTGAAGAAAAAACACAAACGGTATTACGTTTTGTTAATCCTCACCTGCAGTTATGTGGCGCCTCAAGTAATAGTCCGACACCGTCTGAAAATGAGGTAGGCCCATTAAGTTTTACCAAAGATATTATAGGCCCAAATACGTGCGAGAAATCCCTAAAACCCTTGGCCTTTATGTGCTCCACTAAACCCTAAGATCTAGAAGAATCATCAGCCTTCCGTCTCTCTTCCTAGAAATCCGATTCGATCCGATAGAAGAATTCAGAAATGATGAAGCGTCTGGTCCCAACGTTCAACCGCATCCTGGTGCAGAGAGTCATCCAGCCTGCAAAAACCGAAAGTGGCATTCTCCTCCCAGAGAAATCCTCCAAGGTAAGAGCTGTTTTTGTTTTACGATTCGATCTTCTGATTTGGCATCAAAAGATCTGAAACGATGAGCATTTCCGGTTGATTTCAGCTCAACTCGGGCAAGGTGATTGCAGTGGGACCTGGTTCAAGGGACAAGGATGGGAAATTGATTCCGGTTTCGGTTAAGGAAGGCGACACTGTTCTTCTTCCAGAGTATGGCGGCACACAAGTCAAGCTCGGAGAGAACGAGTATGTCAATCTCGCTTCCTTCTTAATTTTACATTGAGAGCATTGATCAATTTCATAAGTCTTTTGATTTTTATCAACATGATCGCTGATGTCTTTAGGTAGCTCATTTTCAGATAGTTAGACTATGGAAAATTAAGGGATTTTGCCTGTAAAATCGTGAAGGATTTGGAAATTCTGTAATTCATTTCTGAGTAATCTGATTGGTGTTAAAACTTTTGATCAGTGAAAAGAATGCCAGTCTCAACACAATACATGTAGTTACATATTAATGATTTATGTGTGAAAACTTGTTGATGTTACAAAATGTAAAATTAGACCCATGTAATGAACTTTTGGTTGTTTGTGATGGACGCAGGTACCATCTCTTCCGGGACGAGGACGTCTTGGGAACGTTGCACGAGGATTAAAAATGGCTATAAGTAACTGCGAGTGTTCTTGTTGGCGTTTGTGTTACGGAGATGAAAAAGTCATTTACAATTTAGTTATCTTTTAACCTTGTGGTTGGAGTTTATCGTTTATCATTGAAATTTATCTTAAATGACTATCTTAATCTCATTCGAATCGTTCCAAATTGAATTGGCATCAGAAAACGAAAACCATTGTGCTGCATTGCATCTTGTGATTCTAGTCTTTTGTGTTTTTTTTTCCCCCGTAATTTGGTTATGTTTTGCGTCTACGTTTAGGTATACATTTTAAGTATTATCTTTCGCAGCTGCAGTACGGCATATAGTTTGATTGACTCAAATATCTTCTTCTTTTGAATGTAAGTCTTTGTCTCAAGCGTCTTTTTTTACCCAAAAATGTTGTAGCCCTCGACCCTAATTTTGGATAATTGCCTTTCGTCCTGATAATTCTAAGTAACTGGATTGAATTCTAAGTAATAAGAGTTTTCCATTTAAAGGGAAATGAAAATGACCCCGAGAAAGATTCATTGAACTAAAACACAGAAGAATCCAATAAATATATGAGAAAAGAAAGTGCGAATTGCATGTGATCGATCACGCTTCCACCGCACGAGTGCTCAAGAAATATATATAAAAAAAAAACTCTTTAATAGTTTCTCCTAACTTCATAGTTTCTCCGTCGCCGGGAAAAATCTGTCCAATCGGCGTTTTCCACCTGACATTGTTGCAATGCAAGGATTTTTAATCATGGCGTAGTTCCTTGGCGAAGGAGGAGGGAAACCATGATTTCCCAGGTGGAGAGAGATCCGTCGATTCAAATCCGGCTTCCGGGAAGCGACCATTCCACCACCTCTCCGCCGGCGTCACCTAGTCTCTGCCTGAGCCGGTCAAAATCATCCGTACAACAGAGTCGGACCTTCGCTCACCGCATCTCTTGGATCCTCCTATCGGTTCTTCTCCGGCGTCAGGGAATTCTACTCTTCGCTCCTCTCATCTACATCTCCTGTATGCTGTTTCACATGCGCACGGCGTCGTTTTATGCGGGTCCCATCATCCCTCGCCGTCCAGCGCCGGGATCCGTCTACAGAAGCCCGCAGGTTTACGCTAAGCTCCGATCGGAGATGGACGCTGATAATACCACGGCTGATGCGGTGAGGTTTGCCTCCGTTTTTCCCCGCTTTCGTAAAAACCCGTTTGAGAATGCGGGCATTGTGATATCGTAGTGATTCATTCATCTCTCGATGTCGCAATGTTGAACATTTTCTTTGTTTTGTTTTTTTTTTTTTTTTGCTTGGTCGATTCGGTGGTAAAGGGCTGAATTATTCCATATCCTTGATTCTCTATAGCTAGCATTGCAACATAATAAGATACTTGCTCTTTAGACGCTATCCTTTCTCACCTATCGTCAATGAAATTGTATTCATTTTAGATTTCAACAATTTGGAAACGTTCCTATAAAGGTGTGGAATGGAAGCCATGCGTGACCAAGTCTAATGGAGGTATTACTTAGCTTTTGTAGTTTCCTCTAAGGTGTTGTTGTTCTATGTAATAAGTTACATCATTGGTGAAGCATTTCTTGTTAAAACGTACTCAATTTGATGAAAGAAACTACACTGGCCTTGCGTCATAATCAATGAGGTTTTCTTTTTCTGTGTGTCTTTTGACAATTGTAGTTTTGCCTGAGTCAAATGGTTTCATATTCATTGAAGCAAATGGAGGTTTGAATCAGCAGCGGACTTCGGTAGGTTTTTAACTATCTTTTCATCTTACAGCATTATTCGATTTGTTTCACTCTAGCCTTCTTGCCTGTGTCTGGCGACCTTGTTTAAGTTAAAGTTGATGACTTGTCTCTCCCATGTTTTGCTTAGATATGCAATGCGGTTGCTGTGGCAGGCTACCTTAATGCGACCCTTGTAATTCCCAACTTTCACTATCACAGCATTTGGAAAGATCCGAGGTTTCAGATGATTTTCTTATCTTCTTCTGGGGTTGTAAATCCATCAATGCCATCTCTTTTTCAGCTATTTTCTTACAAAGGGCTTTCCTTGCAGTAAATTTGGGGACATCTATGATGAAGAATACTTTGTCAGTACCTTAGCAAATGATGTGCGGGTGGTCGATTCAGTTCCTGAATACTTAATGGAGCGTTTTGACTATAACTTAACAAATGTCTACAACTTCAGAGTTAAAGCATGGGCACCCACTCACTATTACCGAGACTCAGTCCTGCCAAAGCTACTTGAAGAAAAGTGAGTCATAGCGTGTTCTTAACTAATAAAAGTTGTTGTTTTTTTGTGTTAGGGATTTTTAATTCTGTTTTAGGATACAGGTTTTTGAGGTATTTGTTTCTTTTCATGGCACAGGGTTATAAGGATTTCCCCATTTGCAAATAGACTTTCCTTTGATGCTCCTAAAGCTGTCCAGAGATTTAGATGTTTGGCGAATAATGTAGCTTTGAGATTTGCAAAACCGATACTGACCCAAGGAGAAACACTGGTGAAAAAAATGAAGGAGCTTAGTGCCAACAACGCCGGGAAGTACGTTTCTGTGCATCTTCGTTTTGAAGAGGTTTGTTTCCTGTAAAGGAGAAACGCTTCACAAATCTGCCCCTAGTACCTATCATGGCTATATAATACTGAAAGCATATCTGTGTCTGAGGATAAAGATATGATACATTATAAGAACATGTGTGCAGGATATGGTAGCTTTCTCTTGTTGTGTATTTGATGGTGGCAACCAAGAAAAACAAGACATGATTGCGGCGAGAGAACGGGGATGGAAAGGGAAGTTCACAAAACCGGGCCGCGTGATACGACCAGGAGCTATCAGACTCAATGGGAAATGCCCTTTAACCCCTTTAGAGGTTAGCATAATTCTGTTGATTCTGGACACTGCTCCACTATCTACAAATGTGGTCTATATAAAGTTAACGTTACGAGAATATCTTTGTATTATATTCATCCATAGCTGTGGAATAACCAGAGTAGTGTGGAAAGGGAAAACCCTTGAGCAATGATATAAACAGAGTAACTAGTTCCTGTTAGCTCAATTTTCTTTCTTGTACACCTATCAGGTGGGTTTGATGCTTAGAGGAATGGGCTTCAACAAAAGCACATATATATACCTGGCCTCTGGCCCGATATATAGTGCGAATAGAACTATGGCTCCACTACTCGAGATGTTCCCTAATCTACAGACGAAGGAGATGCTTGCGTCTGAGGAAGAACTGGCTCCCTTTAAGGTCTGCTTGTGGTTTTCGTGATCTTCCACTGTTTACTCATCCACGTGATTGATTCTTTCTGACATAAAATTATTTGTCTGTGTTCAGAGCTTCTCTTCGAGAATGGCTGCACTAGATTACACAGTGTGTCTCCACAGTGAGGTATTTGTGACAACACAAGGTGGAAACTTCCCTCATTTCCTCATGGGGCATCGGAGGTATTTGTTTGGAGGACATTCGAAAACGATTCGGCCAGACAAACGAAAGTTGGCCATACTCTTTGACAATCCCAAGTTGGGGTAACAAATCTCATCTCTTCCAGTTCCACCTACATACTTGCTTTTTGGTTAATAATAGTATCTGGTTGGTTCCTCAATGGCTGTTTCTGGTTTCACTGGCAGATGGAGAAGTTTTAAACGGCAAATGCTAAATATGAGGTCCCATAGTGACTCCAAGGGGTTTGAGCTGAAACGGTCTAGCGACTCCATTTACATATTTCCTTGCCCTGACTGTATGTGCCGCAGGAACAAAACTACAGGAACCACCTGACACATTGTTGCCAGAGATTCGGAAATCTGGTTCATTATTTAATTTCACTGTATTGCTAATTCTTTCAATTATTTGGCCACGTCTCCACTCAAACAGAGCCATAGAGAGAGGACTAGTCTACGCTTGCAGGGCCCTGCCAAGCATTCTTCCCTGGGGTAGATTTTTTGACACATTGAAGCTGATGTATCTAAAACGAGGAACTGAGATAAGCTCCCACCAAGACCCACCCTTTGTTTCTGGGCGATGAGGATAGCATTTTAGATGTTCTTTTGTGCTTTGTAGATTGAAGCGTTTGCGTTTTGTACATTTGGTGTCTAGTGTTGGGTTGAATGTAGGGTTAGGGGAAGAAGAAAGCTGCACAAAAAAGTTTTGTACATTGATCGGTTCCTTTTTTGTTTTTTTTCTCTGAATAAGTATTTTAAATCAACTTATAAATTCTTCTCATTATACTCTTTATGATTCTTGCAAGTGAATGTGGCATTTCTGTAAGATTTGTATAGTGTCCATTTGCTTCGTTGCTTTCCAAAGTACCTTTTTCTACCTTTCTTCCTAGCAATTGTCCTTTCTTGTATGTGAATGTCTTAACTACTGAATTAGGATCTGTCTAATCTACTACACTTCCTAGAACCAATGTTTTAGTAACAATGAATAAAATGGCCCTTCTTCTATCGTTGAAATACAAGATTTTTCCGTCAGATTTTTTTTTGTCGCTAAGTCGATGATGTGATTACATGATATTGCTTTGATCTATTGTCACTGGAATAAAGTCATGAGAATCTAATTATCATGAACATTGGATTTAGCTTTATGAAGTTTATATGTCATATTGTGGAAGAGTCCTGATTATCACTCCTGTATTTTTAGACCCTTTAAGCTTCACTTGATGCATTCATTGTAGACACTCAGTAATGAAATCCACTACTTCCAAAAATTAGTTTCGTTGCACATCTCTTGTTTGCTTTCCAAGCACATGTGTCTTCATAGGCATCCATATATAGGTTAATAGTAAATGCATTTACATATGTGCCTTTGAGTATATTTGGTGATATCTTTTGTATTCTATCCACACATTGTTTGAAATTTTGTAGCTTCGTTTGACCAGCAAAAAAGGATGGCCGAGCCCTAAAGCTCCTCTGTTTTTACTTCATCCAAAATTATGACATTGATGTCCTCCTATTAAATTTCAATATATATCTAGAAAATTACCGTGTAAAAGACCCTGTTAGTTGACTGGAAAAAAAATCTATAGTGTATCTAATTCCAATGCCATCTCCATATCACTCTCTTTCCGACACAGTCGCAGATAAATTGCAGAAGAAGAAAAAGACACCCAGTTGAACAAAGAAAACACCCATTTAATAACTCTAACAAGACACATCTAAAACTTAAATATATATTCCTTACGCAGACAACGAAACATCAAAGCTTTCAGAAACATAGTCTCAGCTACAAACCTTAACATGCTCCAAGCTTCACATTCCGGTTATAACCTAACCCAACATTTACTACACGTCTCCATCTCTAACCTCCTTTCTCTATTTCACACCTTTTCTTCATGCGCATCACTTAAACCTTTTTTCCACAAAGCAACAAAATCTTCATTAAATCAATCCAACCGACCCTCTTTATTATTCACATGGGGTTTGGCTTCAGTTTATCAGAGGCATGAACTCGTAATAATAATAGTAGTTGCAGCACAACTGGTTTGGTTTTGTGTTCTCCTCTGCAAAACCGGTTGCCCCGGGTTTCTCTTGGTTCTCTATAACCGGGAAGAGATTTAGCGTTCGGCTTTTTCTTGTTTCTTCCTCTTCATTCATATTGTACTGGTGGTGCTCTGCTTCTTGCCTTCTTTTAGAAGTAATGATCACATGGTAGTTACTGCTACTGTCTGAAGTGTTAATTGGGTTTATCTGATTTCGCCACTTGCCTTCTTTTTCCTCCAACCCCCTTTCATAATCCTCCGTCTTCCCATCATTGTCAAAATAATTGTTCTGATGAGGAGAAGAAAAAAAAAGAAAACACAAATAAAAAGTTAAGTCTATATATTGAGATTCTTTATGAAAAAAAAAAAACGATTATGAGAAAGTGATATTTTCCCCTTAGTATTCCCAACATGACATGAAAGAAAGCTTTCATTGTCCTTTATGATTGTTCTTTGCTTCTCTTCCATATATCCACACATGAAACATTTGTATAATATACCAAAAAAAAAAATGCGGATGTTTGTAATGTATGTGTCTGTGCATGTATATGTAGTATTTCTAGGAAATTAATAAAATAAAAATAAATTAAGAAATACCTGTGGGTGTGTGTGTAAAGACGTGAAGCAAGTCTTTGTGTGAATAACTCGTTGCTCACCTCTCCTTCTCAAGACTAACAATGAATATGGAATGGACTAATTAATTCATTGCTACTCAATAAACCTTAACATTATATTATTTGATACTCAAACTGTGAGATTTACCTGATGATGAATCCTTGTTTCCCGTAGCCACATTGCCCTTACGTAGTGCTGCTTCATGAACGTTATTGATAGCAACTTCTCCTTGTTGATCAGAACGGCGTCGTTTCAGTCTCTCCCTTGACTTGTGGTTTTGGAACCAGTAGAAAACGTTCTTTCCCTCAATTCTCCCATACTTTTGGAGCTTAGATGCAATCTCTTGGATCTGTTGGGTCGTAGGCGTCCGCGTTCCGCTGCTGTAGACCTCTTCAAGCACCATCATCTGCTCAGGCGTGGGATTCCAACGTGACTGCATGTACTTTTCCCTCTCTTTGTTGGGTTCTCTTACGGAACCGGTTATGATCTGCTCCTCATTTCTGATGTCGTTAGTATTGCCTGAAACGTATTATTCCAAGCAAATCATGTATCACGTACACATTAATACATACATTTGTAGACAAAGCAGCATTATTTAGATGGACACAGAGAGCATATAAGGATACGAGGTAGGGTTTTAGTACAATGAGCAAGAGTCTGAGAAGTTGTGTAGTTGGTGCTGTAAAGAAGAAGAGGTGGGATTAGGTCTTTGTTGTAGGCCATGCTCTTACTTTCCACGCTGACTTTTTAGGAAAGAAATAAAATGATTTAGGAGGTTTTGAAGTTCTTGGATATGGTTTTGGAATGTGTTTTTAAGTTGCAGTGTTGCGGAAATGATGAAAGGTTATTCTATCTATCTTTTGGCCACTTTATATAGGCTAACAAACTGTTGTTTCCCTTCTTTTTCCATTTTCATTTTCATTTTCAGGTATTGTCATAATGTCATATGAATATAAGATATATGTATCTACATAGAATTAGCCAAAAATTTGAAAACATACATATAATCCACATATTACGAAAAAATATAAGTAACCAATTTCTTTGGTAAACCGATATATGATGACGAATAACCGAATGTTCTTGGCTGTTTTTTTGGATCGTATGTATCTTGTGTGTTGCTTGTCTCTAGCTATGTTACAAAACCAAAGCCGTCAACAAATATTGTTTTGTAACAAAGCCAAAATCTTTATACCTAATATCTTAACAAAAAGAATGATTAAATTAAGAATGGCCAACTGGCCATGTGCATATAAACATTAGGTGAAGATTAAAACACGAATAAAGTGGAACCAAATAGGTGAATGCTTCATCCTTTGAATTCGAAGTTGCCTCAACAATGTCGTCGGGACGCAGGCAAATTCTTCCTCTCTCGAATCACCATAATTATGTCTCTAACATAGAGATAGAGTCGTATTTTTATTGATTCATATACTTTATGATATAAATACTTGTTAACATGTAGCAGATTGGAGGGCAAAATCGTAATTATAACAGGCGGAGCGAGCGGGATAGGCGCGGAAGCCGTGAGGCTGTTCACGGAACACGGCGCCAAAGTGGTCATCGTGGACGTGCAAGACGAAGCGGGCCAAAACGTCGCAGTTTCGATTGGGGAAGACAAAGCCAGCTACTACCACTGTGATATCAGACACGAGACGGAAGTCAAAAACGCCGTTAAGTTCACCGTCGAAAAACACGGCAGGATCGACGTTCTGTTCAGCAACGCCGGCGTAGTAGAGCGGCAGCAATACAGCATCCTAGACCTCAACCTCGAGGAGGTCGACAGAGTCATGGCCGTCAACCTCCGTGGCGCGGCGGCGTTCGTAAAGCACGTGGCACGCGTCATGGTGGAGAGTGGGACACGTGGCTCAATCGTGTGCACCACAAGCGTTGTGACGGAGATCGTGGGAAAGGCCCAGCACGGGTACACGGCGTCGAAGCACGCGCTCTTGGGTCTGGTCAGATCGGCTGCTGGTGAATTGGGGAAACATGGGATCAGAGTCAACGGCGTCGCGCCGTTTGGGATCGCGACGCCGATGCTGTGCGACGGTTCGGAGACGGAGACGAGTAAGCTAGAGGAGATCTTCAGCGAATCGGCGAATCTGAAAGGTATTGTGCTCACGGCTCGACACGTGGCGGAAGCTGCTCTGTTTCTCGCCTCTGATGACTCTGCTTACGTTAGTGGCCAAAACCTCGCCGTTGATGGTGGATTCGCCGTGGTTAAGGCTTAACCTTGTTGGACTCATTGAAATCTATAGTAAGAATATGGGCCTATTCTATTGGGCTTTTGTTTTGTTCTTTTCACTTTTAGTGAAAACGAAATGAATTTGAACTTCTTGTTACTGAACTATATATTAAGCTAAGACTATCTAATATGATGGTCCAGAAAACTTAAATTTAAAAGAAAAGAGTGTGACACGCCGGAAAATCAAAGTGTGGTAAAAAAAAGGTGCAGGGAAAAAAGAGAGAAAAGAAGCCATTGATCAGAGTGATATTGTATTTTTATTTTTAATTCATGAAATGGACTATTGATTTAGGCCCAGTAACACTTATTTGGCCCACTTAAGTAAAATTCATAAGAAAGATAATTGAATCAATTGACCCCACGAATATGAATAAATGAAAACTTCAGAATCAGGTAAGATATCATAAAAGATCAAATGTCACATTCACCCAACTATCTACCAACGGGTCACGACTCACGAGTGAAGTGTATTACAACCTCTGTCGAATTTTTTTAAAATCTCTTATAAAAGAGTGAAGTGTATTACAACCTCTGTCGAATTTTTTTAAAATCTCTTATAAAAGTTCCTAAAGGAAGTTCATCTTTCATTTTACAACACATCTGCATTTCCGGTTTTTCTGTTTCGTAAAAATAGAATTTTCTTTATGTGCAGTTAAAGTTGTACGATATTTATTATTAACAGAAAAGATGTACATTTATAGCTTTTCGGTTTTCTTTTCAGTACTTTTCCAATAGAAAAAAAAAATACGATTGAAAACGACTTGCGTTGTTAGAATAATCTGGTGCGCCCACAATGTTAAGCACATATGATTGAATACTGGCTCGTTATTATAAAATTCGACCAATCAATCAAAACTTATTACAATGAACTTATAGTATAGCCTTGTTTTCAATAATAATTTTATTTCCACCAACTACGTACATGAAAACTTGGTAACTACAAAATTCTATATCTGCCTATCCATTTTGGTATTTTACCCTGCAATGTCACATGAAAAAAAAAAACGGTCCATCTCGGAAGCGAGATTATAACTGACCTAGCAAAACTTAGAAACAGGTGACAAAGGGGAAAAACAGTTGTATTCAGCTCGGTTCGATCGAAACTTCTGTAAAATTAAACCGGTCTACTGATCCATCGAATCGACTCAGTGGGACACCATCTGATTGGTGGAGAGCTTCCAAGCCGAAGTGGCTATAAGCGGCCTAGTGTGCCAACCCAGCATCAGACAGCCGTCGCTCTCCTCCACACGATAACCTTCACCACTGTTGAACAAAGCCAAAAGCATGCTCGCTTGCTTGAACGCATTCGAACCAATATGTGCAGCCGAAAACCCCGCAGAACCAAACCGGTTTCTCCATTGACTCAGCGTTTCGTGACGCTCAACTCGGTCAGGCCCATCACAAGCGACAACGTTGCAGATCTGTTTACCCAAGTAAACCTCCGACATGACCTTGTCTTGGCTACTCGGGACTCCTTCCAACGAGTCAAACAATGAAGAGTAATAATGCAGAGACTCGGTAAACCGGTCTAAGAAAACCGGACTATTATGGTTTGATTCTTGTTCCACCACAGTGAAAATCTCCGGTTTAATCTGATTCACGACTCCAAGGACTTTCTCGATCGCACCTGGTCGTCCCAAAAGCTTGTGAAGCTCAAAAACAGAGTTAACCGCAACAGATTCGATCTCACTTGGTCTAAGCTCCAGCATCGACGCGTCGAGATCTGCTAAAGTGTTGGCGACGAATCCTCTGTACTCGAACTCCACGTGAATCGCCTCCGCTAGATGAGCCAGCTTACACCCAACCTCATGAAGGTAATCGAAATTATCCGGTGCCGGTGGACCGATTCCGGTTAGCCGAAAAATCGGAGGACCTCCAGGTCTAAGCGCGAGGGCTTGCATAAGCGCCGGCCATTGTAGACCCTGATTCATGGAGAAATCGATCACATGAACCCTTTTCTTGCCTTGGAAAGCTTCGAGAATGGCTTGATTCGCCGTAAAGTGTGCGAATTTGAGGTAAGGACAGGTCTCATAGAAGTGCATCTGGAGAGTGTCGGAGAGAGAATGGTCGATCGGACTCCGAGACGGACGGAGATGGTAGATTCGGCGCGCGAGAGCTTCGGCGAAGTAAGTAGCTACTTTTCTCATTGCGCCGACCTGAGACACAGCTAAAAACCCGATTTGCTTCACCAGAGCTTCCGCTAGATTTAGATCGTCCTTTTGTACGGCTTCGGCGCAGGCCAAAAGCGCGTGGACGAGACGCACACCGTTCTCCTGTGAGTCGACCAGGACAAAAGCCCGAGTTGGCTCAGTCGTCGTGGTGGCCACCGCCGCCGGAGATGTGGAAACAACCATGGAATCAGAGCTCGAGCATTTTAACCGCTTGTTGTTGGTACCTTGGTTCGACGAAGAAGAAGAAGAATCGGTCGCGAATTGATTGAGAATAGCGTCACCGGGAATAGCTTTGAGGTCGTAATCATCGGCAGAGGACGGAGGGTTGAGATCGGAGAGCATGGAGTCGAGCCACGTGTAAAGCTGCGATGGGTTGTAGTGTACGGTCCTCGTGGCGAGCTGAGAAAGATCGTCTTCCCGAACATTAGACATCATCACCTCAAGCTGCTCAAGCTTCTGAGCAACCTCAGCCATTTCCGACGACTGCACCTTGTAACCAAGCACGGCCAAAAGCTCATCCATGCCGTCTTCTTCCTTCATCGTCTTATCTCCCTGAAAAAAATGATTTTGATCTCTCTTCATGATGGTTATTGGGGGTTTCTCAGATCGATCTTGAAACCTTCCTTTAATGTCGGATCTCTAGGTTTTGCTTTTTCTGAGGGTGAAGAATCTTTAGTATTGGGGATTGGGTGAATGGTGATGCTACTACTACTACCACTTCTGTCTATTATCACAACAAAGAAATTGGGAAAATACTCAAATAGAGAGAGTGAGAGAGGTCCATGAAAAAAATAAAAATCATATTTAAAAAAATATTCTGTATAGAAAAATAATAATTATTGAAAAGGGCAAAGGAAAAAGCTCGTGATGGGGCTCGATGTCCGATGAATCATGGATCAGAGGGCTAACAGCAACGTCTACAGCTCAAAGCGATAAGGCTGAAAACAGACCAAATTTGGTATATATGTATATAGTTATTCTATTTATACATACATATATATATGTATATTTTTTCGAAAACGGAACTCTGTTTTTCGCTTGATTTAAATCATATGGTGGAAGTTAAAACTTTTGGAGTTTAAATGGTCTACACTTTTACAACTAGAAAGCTTGTCACACAACTAGTGTTACATTTTACTTTATCTCGCTTTTTAATAGTTAATTTGGTGTGTTTGTTTTGTATGATTAAATCTTTGATCATACTGATTTTGTTTAAAGTGTCATTATAGTTTATTCTAGTCAAAAAAAATTTATGCTTCTCAGCTTGAACTTTGTATTGAACAAAAATAAATAATCATTGAACCCATTATAAAAAGTATAATAATTAAAAATAAAACATCTACGTGTTATAACACATATCATATATATACTCTTATACCGGTCCATTAGGCCCATCAGGGCATTGTACTTAACCTAGATTCCTTATGTACTCTATATATACATTCCAGTGATTAATAAAGTTTCTAAGTTTTCACAACACGTTATCAGCACGATAAGACTCTCTGAGCGAAAAACCCTAATAAATCCGGCCACCACCAAAACCCTAAAAGCAAGTCGAAACTTAAAAGACGCATATCTTCCAAACCGTGAGGAACCAGAAGACGATCTACATATCAAATCGAAGCCCTCGACGAGACGAATCTACTGGTGAAAACCGTTTGTCGATCCAACGTCGGACGCGCCCTCACGCACACTTACAGTACACGACGATCAACCGAAAAAAAAAAAAAAAACAGATCCGAGTTTTTCCTTCTTCAACCAGCAGCTTCTCCAGTTTTGGTGATCAATCCTTGGAATTTGTAGCGGCTAACTGAGGTCTATTAGCTCCCAGTTTCATTAGCCTGTCAGAAATCCAAAGGTGGAAAAGGTATCTTCTAAAACTGAAAGCCATAGAACCTATTGTTTAAACACTTCAAAACCCTATAAAAAAAAAATTGATCTCTAATTGATTGAAAGTGTTTGATACTCTGATGATTGATTGATAACTTGTTGATTGATTGTTTAAATTACAAGTTTATGCATGTTCAAAGGTTTTAAACTCGTTTTATAAAACCCTAATCTACAAAAACCTAACAACCGTTTTTGGCCATGTTTATGGCATAAACCTATTCGATTTTCTTCATGTTTAATAAGCTTGTTGCAGCTTATTTGATTGTTGATTCTCTTGCTTGAAACACTTGATTGAATAAACTAAGAAAATCAACCCTAAATCCTAAGCTTGATTCACGATTTTGTAATCTTCAAAATCGTAAGTCATAATGCTTAAACCCTAGTCCTTTTCACGTGATTTTTTTGTTGTCCTTGTGAAATTATTAAAACCATCGACCACAGATCCTATAGATCTCGAAATCACATCCAAAATATGTTTTCCAAACCGTTAAAACCCTAATCATATTCGGCTCCCCTAGGGTTCCTCCTAAACCGCCTAAAACCGGCTAAACCTGGTTCTCATTAACCGAAATTATATTCGGCTTTAACCGATTAAATCACAGCTATTAAACCGACATCATGTTCGGGGTAACTAAAACCATACTCTTTAAAATTTACTATTTCCGAGAAAGTTCCCTCTAATAGAAAGTTTCCTCATATAAAAACTTTCCTCATATAGAAATTTTCCCGACATAGAAACTTTCCTCATTTAGAAAATTACCCAAATTAGAAACTTTCCAAATTTAGAAACTTTCCTAAAATAGAAATATTCTCAAAATAGAAAGTTTCATCATCAGCATTCAAAATTTTCTCAAAACAATCCCTAACAAAATCAATCTCATGTTTCAGATGTCAAACATTCAGAAATGTGAATTCGAGGCCCTTCACGTCTCCGGGGATAACTACCTCGAGTGGGCCCTAGACATGCGCTTGTTCCTTGCATCGAAAGAACTCGATGCATGTATTACCGACGGTAACACCGCATCCCGTAAGGGACAGTCTCAGGCGATATGTCACATACGCCATCATCTGGCCCCGAGCCTTAAGCAGCAATATCTCACTCTTGAGAATCCACTTGAATTGTGGCAAGCGCTGAAAAAGCGATATGACCATCAGAAAATGGTCCAGTTGCCTCAGGCAGATTTCGAGTGGAAGAACCTTCGGTTCCAGAACTACAAATCCGTAGATGATTACAACAACGAACTCTTTCGTATTGTTGCCATCCGGAAACTCTGTGGCGAAGATGTGACAGATAATGATCTCCTCGAGAAAACATTATCCACATTCAGCACAGAGAATGTTGTGCTCCAACAACAATACCGTGCAATGAAACACACATTGTACGAAGACTTGTTGTCCTGTCTTCTCCTCGCTGAGAAGAATAACCAGCTGCTTATGAGGAACAGCGCTATGAGGCCCCCGGGATCGGCTCCTGTCCCAGCTTCTCGTCAAGAGTCCTACCATGTTCAACCCGATAGATCCTCAGATCACCGCCGTGGACGTGGTAATGGACGTGGTAATGGCCGAGGACATGGACGTGGAAGACGTAGACGCGGACATGGTCGTGGCAACCGACCTAACCTCAGTTATGGTCCTGGTCGTGGTCGAGGCATCACCAAGCCGACCCGCCACACCAACCCCGATCACTCTGCTTGTACCAGATGTGGGATGTTCAACCACCCAACAAAGCAATGTCGCACCCCCAAGATCCACTGCGATCTATACCAGAAGTACGGAAAAGCTCCTGCTGAAGCCAACATGACTCAGCCAGTCGATGCTGCTAACCTGGAAGGTGAAGACCTCCTTGATGATGAGAACACCACAAACGAGCAGACCGACCCCATGGACTATGAAACAGCTAATCTCCTCGATTAATTCAATCATCTGAAACTCTGATACAATTTGATTTTGTTCTTTATTTTTTTTTTCATTTTGGGATTTGTTTCATTTTTTTTTTTTCCATTTGCCTTTATTCTCAGACACTGCTTTACTTTATGATTTATCACATTTTCTGAATTCCTCAATAATGAATTCTATCTTCTATTCATAATGAAGCACACCAGCAAATGGAAACCATAGTCGTAGCTAGTGGATCCAGCCACACTATCTTAAGAAACAAAAGTTACTTCATAAACCTAACCTATCAAACCGCAAATATTAGCACCATCGCGGGTCCCTCAAACCTTATCGAAGGATATGGCCATGCCTATGTGTTGCTATCAAATGGCACACAACTTGAAATACCAGATGCTCTATATTCTCCTAGTTAGAAGAGAAATCTTCTGAGCTGCAAGGATATAAGACAGAATGGTTTCCACATAGAAACCCAAGGTCAAGGGAACAAAGAATCCCTCCTAGTCACTAAAACCGTAGACGGCCATAAACAAATCCTCGAAACCATACCCGCGCTCTCTACTGGACTTTACCATGCTAAAGTCAGTATGATTGAAGCTAATACCACTCTCAAAGCCCGGTTTACTGATTATACTATTTGGCACGACCGGCTCGGTCATCCCGGTGCAAATATGATGCGTAAACTAATTCAAAACTCTCAAGGGCATACCCTCAAAGAAAACCGAGCTTATCCTCAACACCTCATGTGCACAGCTTGTTCTCAAGGCAAATTGATCACTCGGCCTTCACCAGTTAAAATCTCTAAACAAACACTTCATTTCCTAGAAAGAATCCAGGGCGATATCTGTGGACCTATACATCCATCTTCCGGACCATTCCGGTACTTCATGGTCCTTATAGTCGCATCGACCCGTTGGTCATATGTTTGTCTCTTGTCCTCTCGGAACCAAGCCTTCGCTAGGTTCTTGGCCCAAATCATCAAATTGCGGGCCAATTTCCCTGACTTCCCACTAAAGACTATCCGCCTTGACAATGCTGGTGAATTTACCTCACAAGCGTTTAATGACTACTGTATGGCCATGGGGGTAACCGTGGAACATCCTGTAGCACATGTCCATACTCAAAATGGATTGGCTGAATCATTCATTAAACGCATTCAATGGATAGCCCGACCATTACTCATGAGATCAAAGCTCCCGGCCTCAGCATGGGGACATGCAGTATTACATGCTGCTGAACTCATACGCATCCGGCCATCTAGTGAACACAAATATTCCCCATCCCAACTACTCTCGGGTCATGAGCCAGACATCTCCCATCTCAAAACATTTGGGTGTTCAGTATATGTACCCATTGCTCCACCACATCGAACCAAATGGGACCTCAAAGAAGGATGAGAATATATGTTGGTTTTGACTCTCCCACCATCATAAGATATCTCGAGCCAACCACTGGAGATCTTTTCAAGGCCAGATATGCGGATTGCCAATTCGATGAATCGGTATATCCCTCTTTAGGTGGTGAGACAAACAAGCTGGTCAAAGATCTTTCATGGAATCAAACATCATTAAATTGGCAAGATCCTCGGACTCTAGAATGTGATTCAGAGATCCAAAAGATTATTCATTATCAAAAGCTAGCTAATCAATTGCCAGATTCCTTTGCTGACCCGACCAAAGTAACCAAATCGTACATCCCAGCTTGTAATGCACCAGTACGAATAGCTGTCCCAACGGGACAGACCCAAGTTGCTACAGAGTCTGCACCACGTCTCAAACGGGGCAGACCTCTCGGTTCCAAAGATAAGAATCCCCGGAAATCAAAGAAAGGTGCAATAACCGAAACCGGGATTCCTGCAATATCAGACATAGCCGCGGCTGAGACTCAATCTAATGAACCCTCAATGGAAGTTCGGGACGCCGAATCTCCAGGTTCAGAAGATAACAATGAGATCTCCATCAA